AGGTGACAGAGAAGTGAAAACTGTATACACGAGGGAGATGAATGGTCGTAGACCATGAGGCAGACCAAGAAGACGATTGAGAGATAATGTTCAGACAGACCAACTGGGAAGAGAAGGCCAACCAGAAAGATGAGTGGAGGCGGGTGATATCTGCAGCAATGAACCTCAAGCGCTCCGAATGCTGAAGAAGAAGCAGAAGAATTCCTTTCTAAAATCTCATAACAGGACCCTCATGTATTTAAAACATGCCTTCAATCATTGCAATTACATTCTGCCCCTGGCAACATGTCATACTTTCCCTGAAACCCCGCCCCCTTTTCCCCACCCCATCCCAACCTGGTTCAGGGAGGGGAAGAAGTATTAATCATATTAACGAAAAGATCCGAAACATCAAACTAATCTGATTGGGCAGATCGATTTTCGTGACCACAAGGCCCAGACACGCACGCGACGGGCGTGGTAAAAGTGAGCAGTAGTTTCAATATGAGCAGGACGATTTAGTAGAACCACATGTGAAGGAGCAGCTGGTCGAGTGACTAGAGCCATGGACTCTCCTGCGGGAGATCCAGGTTCAAATAATCGGTAGGGGTGGAGCTTTTGTTTCTTCTTCTTCTCCCCGTCACTGTCTTGTGTCATTCTCTCAACGATTTGTGAATGTCGATATTAACCAGTGTTTCTCTTGGCCAGAACCTAGAGACTGGGATGCGAATTTGGGGTTTTTGGGACGGGCTCTGCAAAGGGCCATCTTGGGATGGTGTGAGGAAGTGGCCTGGAAAGGATCTATAGTCTCTGTAAATATAAACTGGTGGGTTAGGCGTTACGGTTTGAAACAGCAGTGCTGACAGGTCAAGGAAATTCACGACGAAGGCGAAGTCACAAAGTAAGAACACCGCTCACAAACATGGCACATCAATGGCGACCAACGAACGAAAGTAACTTCTTCTTCTTCTTCTCTTCTGGGGAGATGTAATGTTTGTTGATGAGCTCTGTCAAGAGCACTTTTAAGACTGATGTTCATTTCTGTAAAGCTGTTCTTAATGCCATCACTCCATATTTTCCGAGGTCTTCCACTCGCTCTTTACCCGTTGTAACGTTTTAGTGTGGCTCACAGTGACAGTACTGGGGCACCCTTGTTAGGTGTCCAAACCATTTTATTTGTTGTTCTTTGATGACCTGTAAGGCTGGCTTTATTCCTAGCATTCGTCTGATTTCATGATTTCGTATTCTGTCTTTCCTTGAAACTCCTGCAGCTCTTCTAAGGCATTTCATCTCTGTTGTCACAATTGTACGTTCATTGGAGGATGTAAGTGTCCACGTTTGGCATTGATGACATAGTGTTGGCCAAAAAATAGTTCTGATAAGATGCACTTTGGTACTCCGAGGTAACTGATTGTGTGTCAACAGGGGAGATAGTTGCCCCATTACTTGATTAGCTTTGGCACATCTCGAGCTAATGTCTCTGTCCAGTTTTCCGTCGGATGTGAAAATTGCTCCCAAATACTTAAATTCCTCTGTTTGTCTCAGGGTGTTGTTTTTTAATTTTATTTCTAAATCGTCTTTATGTCTTTCTATCATCATTGTCTCTGTCTTCGTAGTGTTTATTTTCATATTATATTCCTCCCCTACGAAAGTAACACATACTGGAAATAACGCAGTAAACAATGAACACACTGAAAAACAAGCAACACAAGACATGCCTAGAACACAGCAGTTTTATTGTCGTAGGATTTATAGGGTTAGGGTGAAATAAGGACTACTAACACTACCTTTAACCCCTTCACCCTCTCCCCATAATATAGGACTGTCCCAGGAACACCCTAGGAATTCCATAGGAAATCTCCCAGATCCTGAAATGGGGTGAAATGAAAGAATAGTACTTTAATTTAAAGTTTTAGGCTCGATCTATTTACCCTACGCGCCTCAAAACGAGGAAACGTCTTTTTACACACACATACATACATACACACACAGGCACACACACAGCGACATACACCCCACGCCCACACACTCATGCACACACACGGGGACATAGGCCTACACCCCACGCCCACACAATCTTGCACACACACGGGGACATAGGCCTACACCCCACGCCCACACACTCATACACACACACCAAACATATACACAATCACACACACAGGAACATCACACAACCAGTCACACACAAACATACACAAACATGCACTGGATACGATTTGCCATGCACGGCTTTACCACAAAAGGAACATATACCACACACATACACAACCACACATGCAGTCACACAGCCACGCACACACACACAAACATACATAAACATGCACTCAATACAATTTGCCATGACACGGCTTTCCCACAAAAAACGTCAGTTATTTGTTTACACGATTCTAGTCAAAGTTCAGTGACCTCCCGGTTTTCACTTTTCTTGTCTCTGTTTTATAATTGGACCCAAAGCCTATTAACCCTTCAATAGCTGTCAGAATGCTACACCCTGGACTGGAAACAACCACAAATTAGCCGCAGAGCCGGGAAGAGCAATTCATTTCTGTCTCTCTCCTTCCCTCCATTGGCCGGCCCTTACACCAATTCACACAGTCGGAGCAGTAATGAGAACTTCCCACCGGAGTCTTATGTCAAACCCGCTCAAATAAACGGATAAAAGGGAGTTTGGCATGCGACTGTTGCAGATGTATTTGAGGGTGTCAGAGAGCTGTTAAGACATACTGTCAGATTTTGTTTACGAACATACTGGGTATTTTATACTCATATAAATATTCTAAATGTATGTGGTTAGCTAGTCGGTAGAAACATTCGTTCACTCCTGGCACCGTCTTTCCAGATAATAGTGTTATATTGTGTTTGCCTTTTACAAAATGAAGAACATTTTGTGCAATAAATCCATGTCTTTGGAGGTTAGAAAAAAAATTATCGAAAGGACAAACAAGCCGAACAATTTCTTGAGGCCTCGGAGATGTGATTTTATAGAAGAAACTTTAGAAATCCTTGGATAGCTAAGAGAAGTAACTCGGATGTTTGGGCAAAGGCGGGTGCTCGTAGACAACTGAAACCTTAAGCGTGTTATATTAAGCGACTTTTTAAGGATTTTTTTAAAATCAGCTGTGTAGGGTCGAAAGTTGCAGACATCACAGCCTAGCTACAAACTACAGCATAAACTGCTAACCGTGATTTTACGGACAAACGCAGAAGAAAAGAGTGTGTTTGTGAAATAAACACACATTCGCATGTTTCCGACTAATATTATAAGTCGTGTTTAATATTGCACCCGACTTATCTTGCCATCCTTTCTAGAATGTAATTTTTCGTTATTTGAAGCCCTGATCTGGCTCTTGCCAGAGGCGGCAATATAGCTCGGCCATAAATATGGCCTAATGGCTGAACGCTGTTTCTGGGACCTCTCCACGGTTATCTTCATCCACATGGTGGCACATTGTGTCATCGGGTGTTTATCGCCTGTGTGATGTCCTGGTGGGGTAGAAAGTCAGTCAGTCATAAGTCATCCTCATGTAGAATGCAATTTTTGTTTGTTTAAAGCCCCACCCTGGCTTCTCCCGGGGGCCCTGAATATAGCCAGGACATAGATATGGTATAGCCATAGAAGAATAAAAGAATGGATAAATACACCAGAAGACATGCATGGCATCTCTAAGGTTGTCATCACACTCGGAAGGTACTGATGGGATCAGATTCCTGCGGCCGTAGATACAGAAGTAAGGGAACTGATAGATCAGCATTCTGACCCAGAAGATATCATCATCTACACAGCGCAAAGAAGGGGGAAAACAATACAGGAGGACAACGGTGCTTACCAGACAACCACGTCAAGCATGACCATGAAAATAGCCGCTGCTTCTAGAGCTTTAGCATGGGTATCTGAGCAAACCGCCACACAGACAGTAATTGTAACAGAATCCATAAATATGCTTCAGAAGATAGCAACAGGCGGTAGGCGCTCTGAATGGGTAGAAAGCATTCAAAATCGCATTTAACCTCCGTAACCTGGATCTACACACCGGTTAATGCGGGCGTAAAGGGAAATGAGCGAGCGGACCAGCTGGCAAGCACTGCACTAAGGATTGCGGGAAAAAGCATGGACAGAGCAAATATCGTCAACGCTGTACGGACTGGGCTAGTGGATAATGAGAATTCCCTGACACTAACACGATTGCGTGACATGGGAGTAAAACATGGTGAAGCCTGTCTATGCTGTCTTCGAGGCCGAGATAGGAGACAATATAGTCAGCTTCTCATGGGAACAGTTAGTAGAAGTACTTTGGAGTGGCTGCTGCATTGGAGGACTGAGCACGCATAGGAATGCCCAATGTGCAGTGACATCGATTGTGATAACATAACATAACATATGGCCTAACAGCTGAAAGGGATTTCTATGACCTCTTCACGCGTGATCCTCATCTGCATGGTGACACTTTGTGTCACCGGGTGTTTATCGCTTGTGTGATGTCCTTGTGGGGTACACAGAGAAAGAAAAAAAGAAAAGGGAGACTGACAAGCGGACAGACCGAACACTATTCTTCTGATCTGGCACCTTCTGCAGCGTGCTCTGTTCCAAGCGTAGTGATGAATGTTGAATCAAGAATCTACTTCATAGCACTCGGAACACTTTCATAACCGCTCCCTCCTCATCTTCAGCAGCAAACGAAGAGTTCCAATTCCAATGATATCAGCAATTGTCTGGTTGTATACCCGTCTCCCGAGTATTGAGCATCGGTCAGATCCCCTGGTAACTCCTCGCAGCGCCACTATCCTCAGACAGTAATGATCTATTTGTGCCTCCGCACAGTTCATTCGCTACCAAAGGGCGCTTACAGCATCTAGCTTTTTATGTTATGTTTATGTTATATTCCTAAAACAGCAGCTAGTACACAGTAGCCAACTTTTATTGTAAAGTTTTTTTTTTGGGGGGTAATATTTGCCCACCAAGCATACACTTTGAAAACTACTGGAAACCTTATCTGTACGTCTTTTATATACAGCACAAAATGGCTCAGTTGGAGAACGAAGCCGCCATCAAAGATGCCGAGGCCTTAAAACAGTTTAAAGACAAGCTGTCCGACCTTCTGACCACTGAAGATGACCACAGTCTGTTGAAATGGCTGAAAGGTAAGAAATATCATTTCAGTAATGCTGCATTCTGTCCATACTCTATCTCACTGATCGTTTATTGATCGGTCTGTATATCTGGCCAACTTCTCACATTCAGATACTTCCTACCAGCTTTTAGCCCCTAGCGATTACCTCCTGTTTGGTTGGTCCACTGAAAACCCACCTTGGCCTACTGAAAACCCACCTTGGCCTGAGATTTCGCAAATGACTGCAGACTTGAATGAGAAATGAAAATGTGGGTAAGATAACAAAGCATGTAGTTTTATGCAGCAGGTTTGGGAGGACTGATGAAACGATGGCACAAGTACATCAATGTTGGTGGACATAATGTTAAAAAATAAATGGACAGTGTGTATGTGTAAAAATAAACGGGTTTCAAGTTGTTATCATCTGTAGTTTTTTTTTTTTTTACAATCATCTGGAACTTGCTTATTGACTTATTGTCTCTATCTCAAAATATAGATTTAGCTGTCGTATTTGTCCTCTTGATATTGTCTGTTGACAATGAAGGACCCCCCCCCCCCCCCAAAAAAAAAGGGGGGGGGGGTAAAAATTTTTCATTACCAGCCTACGCCTCATCTCGCCCAGGTAGAGCCTCACTGTGAAAGGACCTTTCTCCACACCTTCAGGCGTGATAGGCATACAATAAAGTAAATGACTCTTCTCCCCGTCTTCCGCTGTACTGGGCATATAGGGCTGCACCTAAGTTGTATAGACCAAACAGCACTTGGTGGGTGACGTGGACAACATTTGCTTCCCCAGGACTCCACATGGAACCCATTTAAGGTCGGGTCGACCTGGGGGTCAAAGTTATTTAAAGAAAGAATGCCGTCAGGACCTTAACCCAGCAAGCATATTGCCGCTACCCCACGGCGGCTCGAGCATATAGCGCTAGTCCTATACTTTATTGACCAATCGGCACTCGTCTGGTGATGTGGACAACATCACACTGACCGCCTTTACTTCCCAGGACTCCACCTAGTACCCATTTAAGCTGGGGTCGACCTCGAAGCCAACATCGTTTCGGAAGAGAAAAAAGTCCGGTTGCTTTTGGATTTGAACCCAGGACCTTCGGATCCGCAAGCGAGTGACTAGCCGCTACACCACGGCGGCTCACACAGTGCTGAATCACAACCTGGTTACACCGTACAAGTGTTTTCTAACCCGACTGGTGCAGTACTAGCACCATTTGTACTCACCAGGGGAGGGGGGGGGGGCATAACTTTTTCAGGGCTACTGTAGTAGACATTTTGTGACAGTACTAGCATCTTTTTTAGAGTATAAAAACACTGCGACTGTTCTAGCAAACCAACAGTAGTTTATTTAGTTGCTTCTAGAAACCGAGGAGACTGGCGAAGCGACTAGAATGAAAGCGATAGGGGTGTTTCCTTTCCTAGACGGAATGCATCTGCCTGAGAGGTAAGGAACCAACAGTCTGTGGTGAACTGGTGCATGACAAGTCAATTGTGGTCAAGGCTCTTTGGGAACAAGCAACGGAATCAGTATAGAAACAAGATTAATATGGCCTGGAGAGAACGAGGCACTTTAGTGAAAACCAGAGAGTCTGTCCGGCTTACTACACTCAGAGGAAAGGCAAGACGGACATAAAACCAGACTGTGACCGGTACCATCAGTATTGAAACTCTGCGCTGGCTACTGAAAATGAGGACGGAGCATGCATGGGAATGCCCCGAGTGCTGTGATGTCAATTCTTGACTCAACCTAACTCAGTCTGCACATAAATAAGCCATATCTGTAAAACAGATGTGCACGCAAAGCAAATTCTGGAAAAAGACCTTAGCCCAGAAGTGGTCGGACAACCAGAGCTTTCTGCCAGAGTTTAAGAAAAGGTATAAAACCCGAACGAAAAGTATATTAGCAGGCTTCACAATATAACAAATACAAACAAAACGTGAACGTTGCGGCTATTGAGCCTTCATCAGCACATACAAATTAAACAATACTACATAGATACAGTCGGCTCTGTGGCTAAGTCGATGCGAACGCTTCGTAATGCCGGGATGCCCGGTTTAATCCCAGCTGCGGGCCATACGCCTTGCGTTGGTTTCGACAGTGGTATCAAGAAAGCCGACCGTCCAGAGCAATGGCAAACTACTGGGCGTAAATTTGCCTAGAAAAACCACACAACAGCCAAGGGTTGTTGGGGTTGGTTTTGCAATCCTGTAAAGGATACGCAACGACATAGATACACAAAATCACTTAGCTGGTATCTCGATGCAGCCGGGTCGGTGGTTACTCAGCAGAATGGCCAGAGTTTAGGGCCGGGTAACGCGAAGAGAAACTTCCCGTCAAAGACCAGTAACGCTGTAATCTACCATGCATGTCGTTAGAGACATCTAGGGAGGTTGGGCGTGAGACTCGTTCTCTCGTTCTGTAAAAAAAATGTAGCTGTGTGGACTGGTTAAAGATCACTGACACCTACTAGTATTGAAACTTTGCACGGCTGCTGAAGACATGAACGGGGTGTTTATGGAAATGCCCTAAATGCTGTGATGTCAGTTGTTAACTCTGAATTCTAGTCTTTTCTACGCGACACAATAATTTATTTGGAAAATAAATATGCACGTGATTTAATAATTCTTTTTGTTTTTTTTTCACAGCCCGAAATTATGACGTTGCCAAGGCTGAAGCCATGTTTAGAACGGTGAGTTGTCTCTGTCGCAATATATATGGGTTCTGGCAGTGAGGCCCCGTAAGGTGAATTTAAGAAAACAATTAAAATAATTGAAATGATTCGAAAAGTAGAAGAAAATATATAGTAAAAGTCGAGTAAAGGACCCTTTTCCACGCTGTCAGACATATTGGGCATATAGGGCTAGACCTACATTTTATAGACCAAACGGCACTTGGTGGGGGATGTGATCTACATCACACACAGGTCGCCTTCACTTCCCAGGACTGCACCTGGTACCCACTCAAGGCTGGGTCGACCTGGGAGCCTAGGCCATTTCTGAAAAAAAAAAATCCGGTCCCAGTCAGGAACCGAACCCATGAGCTTCCGATCTGCAGGCTCCCGAAGAAAATATATATGGAACAAACAAACAAAAATGAGAGAAGAAAACTGAAACAAACTAACGAGGAGTGAACAGAAGAAATTACACCAAGAATGTTTTCACAGAGAACAAGTCAACACTGAACTGATTCTAAATTGTATACAAAGACAGCCAATCAAATGGTGTGCCCACTTGAAAAGAATGCATTGTGACGCTATACCATTCAAGTCATACACTAAAAAAAAAAAGAGAAGGAAGTAGAGCATGAAAGAAAACATCAGAGGAACATGATCGAGGCAGCCAGAAGAGTAAGAAGCAGAACAGATTGTCTCCCTCGACACCCCAAAGGGTCAAATAGGAAGTGAAGAACGCACGAACGAGCAAGCGATTGTCTCCCTCGACACCCCAAAGGGTCAAATAGGAAGTGAAGAACGCACGAACGAGCAAGCGATTGTCTCCCTCGACACCCGAAAGGGTCAAATAGGAAGTGAAGAACGCACGAACGAGCAAGCGATCTTTATTTTCGAATGGTTAATAATTGGAAATGCTTTCTGCCCTTTTGACCTCACTCTTTAAAAGAATATTAAGATCTATATTCGTCTTTTCATTGACTTTACTTCTAGTCACAAACTGTGCTGTATTAAGACATTTCTTTCCAGTTAACATAATTAAGGGTAGCATAAGCGAGAGTTGCATTTTTAACTTTATCTAAATCTAAACAATATATTGCACAATTGATGGCCTGGCATATTTCGCTCTATCTTGTCAGATGTATTACTACAAAGTTAAGTAAAGTTCTCTTTTCCACACCTTTAGGCGTATAGGGCATATAGGGCTAGACCTATATTTTTATAACCAATCACTACAGAGTTAAACCAACGTAGGGTGAATTATAAAATAAATCCCTTCTTGCTGAAATGCTTAAACCACCTTGTCAAGTTGCTGAACATCTATCCGCCAGAAATTTAAAATCAATTACGTGATTACCATGGTAACTTCAAATTGATAACGTGATCTTCATGTTTACATAACGTAGGTGAGTAGAGTTTTACTGATCCAGCTTCTAATTTTTTTTTCCGTGACGCTTCCACAGAGTATGGCTTATAGAGAGAAGATGAAAGTGGACAGCCTTCTCAGCGACTATGATCCTCCGGAGGTATGTATGAAAAATTGCTGTCCGGCACATATCGAGACCCTGCCCGCATCATGCCTGGCCCGAGATTTGCCACAGTGGGAATAGGCTATCAAAATTATCACTACACATCGCTGCATATGTGAACTGATTTCCAAACAATCTCGACATGTGTGTCAGTAACTGTATCTTCTATTTATTCAGGGTTACATAAATTATCCGTCAAACAAAGATCAAAGAAATTCATCGCTTAAAGAAAACAGCAGCATTTGCACAATTCTAAATTAAAGAATCATAAGGACATGGGAAATCGAAGACCAAATGCAAAAATCTGTGTTGATCCCTAACGGAGTTTTCCTCCTTCTCCTCATCTTCCTTCTTCTTTTCCTCATATCCCTCCTTCTCCTCATCTTCCTCCTTCTCCTCATCTTCCTGCTTCTTTTCATCTTCCTCCTTCTCCTCATCTTCCTTCTTATCCTCCCCATCTTCCTCCTTCTCCTCATCTTCCTTCTTCTCCTCCTCATCTTCCTCCTTCTCCTCATCTTCCTACTTCTCATCTTCCTCCTTCTCCTCATCTTCCTCCTTCTCATCATCTTCCTCCTTCTCCTCATCTTCCTCCTTCTCCTCCTCATCTTCCTTCTTCTCCTCATCTTCCTTCTTCTCCTCATCTTCCTTCTTCTCCTCATCTTCCTTCTTCTCCTCCTCATCTTCCTCCTTCTCCTCATCTTCCTTCTTCTCCTCCTCATCTTCCTTCTTTTTCTCCTCATTTTCCTCCTTCTTCTCCTCATCTTCCACCTTCTTCTCATCTTTCTCCTTCTTCTCCTCATCTTCCTCTTTCTCCTCATCTTCCTTCTTCTCCTCCTCATCTTCCTTCTTTTTCTCCTCATTTTCCCCTTCTTCTCCTCATCTTCCACCTTCTTCTCATCTTTCTCCTTCTTCTCCTCATCTTCCCCCTTCTTCTCCTCATCTTCCCCCTTCTTCTCCTCATCTTCCACTTCCTTCTCCTCATCTCTTCCTTCTCCTTAGCTTCCTACTTCTTCTCCTTATCTCCCCCCTTCTTCTCCTCATCTTCCATCTCCTTATCTCCTCCGTCTCCTCAGCTTCCTACTTCTCTTCTTCCTCATTTTTCTCATCTTCCTCCTTCTCATCCTTATCTTCTTCCTTCCATCTCCTCATCTGTGTTCTTCTTCTCCTCATCATCCCCATTCTCCTCATCTTCCTCCTTCTTCTTTTCTTCTAATTAACTCATCAAAATGTAGAGGAAGAAAAGGGAAGTTTGTGTCATGATTTTGTTTTTAGATTTTCTAACACACACTTTCCGATGCAAGTATTTTGCAAGCAATAGCACGTCTATACCAAATAACCCCGGTGATGACAATTCCATAGGTTCTCAAAAAATACATGACTGGAGGCATGTGTGGACACGACAAAGAGGGATCGCCCATCCGTGTCGAGCTGTACGGTCACCTGGATATGAAAGGGTTGATGTACTCCGCTAGGAAGCTCGACATGGAAAAGGTCAAGCTTCGACAGTGCGAGGAACATGTCAAAGACATGGCGGAGATGTCCAAAAAGGTAAAACGATGTTTTGTTTCGTTTGCTTTACCAACTTATTTCATTTTCATCACCAAGTGTCTTGTTCGTTGGCACAGGCGTTCGTGTACCTCCACAGAGCTCGGTCTTTAGTGTTCTCGATAAATTCTCCTCATGATATTCTTCTATGCCAATGTCTTAAGTCATCTACCATTATTTCTCTTGGTCTGCCTCTGCATCTTCTACTAGTGATCTTTTTAGCCGTCACCATACTTTCCAGTGCTCTTTTTTTAATCACATGACTAAAGAACTTAATTTTTTTCCTCCTCATTGTTGTACACAATGTTCTACTTTCATTATTAATTGCCAGATAATCGTTGTTAGTTATTCTGGCAGTCCAAGGTATTTGCAACATTCTTCTTAAGAACCACATCTCAGTTGCCTCCAAACTCTTCTCAATTTGTGTGCTCACATTCCACGATTTACTGCCATACAACAGAACAGACTCGACGTAACATTACAGTACTCGTGTTTTTATATTTAATGAAGGTGATTTATTACATAAGATACGTTTTATCTTTTAAAATGCTCTCTTTGCCCGGCTAATTCTGCTCTTAATATCTATCACACATAGTCCATCTGATGCTGTAAATGTCCCCAACTTCTTTGGGTTGAGCATTACGGTAACTGACTTATTTGTTCTGTATCTTCTTCTCCCACTGGGAAAAGAAAGGGGTGTGGGGTTTGGAGGGGGTGGGGGGGGGGGTGTGGCTTACGAGCTGAGAACTCAAATTCTTCTTCTTCTTCTTCTTCTTCTTCTTCTTCTTCTTCTTCTTCTTTTGTCGTCTCGTGGTACCAGGTTGCAGCCCAGTGTCGTGGTTTTCAGCATTTGTCTTGCGCTTTTATGGTGACTTTGGTGATGGATGTGTTCATCTTTCTGCAGGTTTCTGCTACATCATTCATCCCTCTCTTTCTTGGTCTTCCTGTCGCCTTCCTCCCAAAAAGAGATAGATAAATTTTCGGGGCTCTGCATCTCTGGGGTTACCAACTCCGAGATCCTCTGCCAGCTTGGTTTAGTCCAGTATTAGCCATTATCCACAGTGCATGACGAAGACGTGTGGCAGGGCTTGTATGAGGATCCGTAAAACCGACACAAAGCCTGCTGGCGCACAAGGTGAGGTACAGAGTATCTCCTTATGCCCACCACAATGGCCTCAACTTTCCCTCAAGCCTGGTGACCAACATCCCAGCGCCACAAATTGGGTATACGAGATGCTTGATCTTTAATTTACAACCATCGGCAGTCTATGGGTATTCTGATATATATCACACTGTCAATGTTTCTTCTCCTTTCTATCTTCTTCATCCATTAGTCAGCTTCACTTCCAAGGAATTTTCCTTAATTTTATTATGTTAGACGTGTGCCTTCCGATCAGAAGGTTTTAGTGGTGAATTCTATTCCGAGCGTGGTAACGATCTTGTTCCTAGGTCACCCCACTTTCAAATAGTTACTTGTAAATTGTACTGGAGGTGGTCGAATGTAATGATGAAGGAATCACCAAATGACTGCCAGCTGGTCAGGGGCCCAATGGCGTCAGTAAAGTCTAACAATTACAGACCGTGCTGAGAAGGAAAGAAAACATCGTGGTGTAGCGGCTAGAAGCTCGCCTGCCGATCGCAAGGTCGAGGGTTCGGGTCGTAACGAAAACAGGCTTTCTTCAAAAATGACCTTGGCTCCCAGGTAGACCCAGCCGTGAGTTGGTACAGGTGCAGTCCTGGGAAGTATAGGCAGCCAGCGTGATGTTGACCACAACACTCACCAAATGCCGTGCAGATTTGTCTATAAAATAAAAATCTGACCCTATATGCCCAATTCGCCTGAAGGCGTGGGAAAAGGGTCCTTTACGTTTTACTTCTCTTATTGTCAAAAATGATAGTGTGGTATTCCTTAATGTTTTCAGCTGAACAAGCGAGTAGACGGCATTACAGTCATCTTTGACATGGAGGGCGTGTCTAGCAAAATGTTGTGGAGGCCAGGTACGAGTTGAAACAGTCACCTTTAGAATTAATTGTATTTAACGTTGCATGGTTCTGAAATCAGAAACAACATTGTACTGATGCTCTGAAGAGACTGGGAGTGAAAAGAAGGCAACTAAAAGACGAATAAACAATTTATTTTTGTCCATGAAAAGGTGGTTGTTATGTTGCGTTGTCGTTTACACTTAGGCTGCCAAATCTGTGCTTTTTTGGCCCCAAAAAAATGAATGCAGAGGTTATAAGGAGACGAGGAATGAACAGAGAGAGAGAGAGAGAGAGAGAGAGAGAGAGAGAGAGAGAGAGAGAGAGAGAGAGAGAGAGAGAGAGAGAGAGAGAGAGTTGTTAAGAGGGATACATTTGGTATCGTTTCCACAATGAAGGTTGGCTGCAATGAAGCTGTGGCTCTTCTCCTGATTGTACACTCTGAGACTGTTTGTTTCGTCCATCTCTTAATGTAGTTCTCTCATTTGTATCCCTGTTTATCACCATATTTTTAGAGTTTCATAATGCCAAGGCGCAGGATTCGATTCCAGCTGCATGCGATTTATCAGCATATCGCCGACATTAAAAAAGCAATGGCAAAACTACTGACCTTAAAAACTGCCTAGAAAAATTAGAGAGAGAGCAACAAAAAAAAAAAAAATGGTAGTGCTGGCTCTACAACGTCCTGTAACGAACACGCAACAAACTGTTGTTGTTGGTTTTTTTTTTGGGGGGGGGGTGGGGGTGGGTGGGGGAGTGTTTTTGGAGTATTATGTCTTTCAGTGTGGCCAAAATATTAATCTGTCTTTTAAATCTGTATTTCGTTCAGCAACTCTCCTGTTTCCCCCCACCCCCCTCCCCCTGTCCCCTCATAACCTCTGCTAATGTTTTTTCCCCATGAAACACGATGTATACTTTTGTCTATTTGCACCTCCAGAGACTCAATTCGACTTTCTAATTGCTGGTTCATTGTCTAGGTCGGAGTTTCTTAAACGTTTTTCGCAGCACATCTACCCTTAAAGCGGTTTGAAAATTTAGGAAGAGAAGAAGAAACAAACAGTGCAAATTTAATGTTTAGTTGTCTTTAATGCAATGAATGAATGAAACTGTTTGGGTGAATTTATCATTATTTTCTTTATGTTTATGTGAAGTATAGTTAACTGTACCCTCAAAGCACTTAAAAGTGCTCATGTATCTGGGTTAAAAATAAAAAACCATAAGCATACGTTGATAATGCACTGCACACTTGCCAATAGCATTGTTTTCTGAATACACCTGCATCCAGAACTCTTCTTGACTTCCTTCAAGGTATTTCTGTTTTGAACTGCTGTCTTCGCTGATCTCAAGCAGATTTGGAACAATTCTTGAATACTGCTGCGGCACGTCTGGGATACGTTTGCGGCACCCCTGGTCTAAGTTTCTGCACAGTAAAGTAAATTTGAGTTTACATAATCCCCGTGTGGGTTCCGGGGCCCTATTATAGCGAAAACAAGAATAGACCCACTGCCTACCCAAAAGCATGTCGCTAAGAGTCGAACAACCAGAACTTTCCACCAGAGTTTACAGCTGGTAAACGCGAAGAAGAAGAAGAAGAAGAAGAAGAAGAAGAAGAAGAATAGTTAGCAATTCTCATTTTTAATGTATTGTTTTCTTTCTATATGTCAATAATTTTCGTATACTGTTGATTATGTTTTTGGCCATTCCTATTCTCTATTCTACTTCTATTCAACTTCTGCTATCATCTGCCATTATACAGGGTTATTCAAAAATGATAGGTACAATTTCATTTATTCCTGATAATGCTGATGGTGATGATGATGTTGATGATAATGATGATGATGATAATGATGATGATGATGATGATGATGATGATGATGATGATGATGATGATGATGATGATGATGATGATGCAGATGCTTATGATAATGATATTTGATGTCTTCGCCAGGTCTGCAGATGTATCTGCATCTTGTACGGGTACTGGAGGACAACTATCCTGAAATGTTGAAACGGATGTTCGTTATCAACGGTAAAGTGGCATTACCTACCTTTCTTTCATTCTTTAAAAAAAAATCCTATTACGTAAGCTAAGTGCAGCTCTGTGGTTCAGAGTTTAGCAAAACTGTTAAACAATTTCATGATCCTAAAATACTGGGGTTTGTTTCTTTCAACAACAAAAAATGTATTAAAAAATGCTCGTGGCTTTCAGACATTGGTACAAGAGATCGGGAAATAGAAACAAGATGTCAACGATCTGGATCATTTATATACCAACTGCCACTGTTATTAAGAAATCAAAAGGTAAGTATGAGCGCCAAGAAACAGATTATAAACAGCACATTCCTACCACCACTGTGCTACCAGTGCCAGACTTGGACATTATCAAAGTCTAACCTACGTAAAATTAACACATGTGAAGTGAGATGCCTGAGAAAAGCCGCTAACTAAACCATTCGAGACAAAGTTAGAAATTATATTATCAGATAGACTATAGGATCAACGCCATACGGCAAATTCATTGGGAAAGAGAAGATCAAATGGTTTGGTCATTTAGTAAGAATGCAGCCAGAACAACTACCATCGAGGACGCTACACATTAAGAGATCTGAAGTGAAAGCAAAAGGCCGCCACATGAGAATATGGACTGATGACATTAAAGAACTACATCGACGCGAAATGACAAAAGCCGAAGCTGCCTATCAAGCAATGGATCGCAAACTGTTCCTACCCCAATGCTTAACGGCAGAAGTGGAAATTGATGACGATAATGGTACGAGAGTTGCACCATGGAAGAGACTGGGGCCTCACTATGTCAGATTTCCTAAAGACCGCAGTCCTAAAGACTGTAACCAGTCTTCATTGGGGAGACGGCACAGCATTTATCTTGTTCGTTGTATAGATGTATTTGAACAAAGGAGACACCAGCAATAGATGCTCAGTTTATTGCCTGACAGATTTCACTCTATCTCTTCAGGTACATTCTATAGTAACAATTATATTACCTCCGTCCTGAACTTTGTAAACAAAAAGACATGGTTCTGACACTGTGGCTGCCCTGGTTAAACAGGCAGTTGCGTTTGATTGTTGTTGAATTTGAACTTCAGTTATAAAGGATTCACTTATTTGCTTCATCTATGTAATTAATACTCCAGTAAGCACCTGACGAGATACAGCGAAATATGCCAGACACTGATAGGGGCACTGCTAAAGGCACTGCTAGGGGCACTGCTAAGGGCACTGCTAAGGGCACTGCTAAGGGCACTGCTAAGGACACTGCTAAGGACACTGCTTAGGGCACTGCTTAGGGCACTGCTTAGGGCACTGCTTAGGGCACTGCTTAGGGCACTGCTTAGGGCACTGCTAAGGGCACTGCTAAGGACACTGCTAAGGGCTAAGGACACTGCTAAGGGCACTGCTAAGGAATGTAGAAATACAAAAACATCCCAGTTTCGATACTCACGAACCGTCAGGCCTTCGGCCCTCCCCCTGCAGTACTTCTTACTTGTACACAGGCGCCTGTGGCACTTCAAAGAGACTCACCACTCAACCTCCCACTAACATTATATACTGCAAGCGAGCGAACGCCGAACGAAGCCATTTCATAACCTCCCCCCCCCCCCCCCCCACCCCCAACATGGAGCAGGACGTGTGACCGGCCGCGGCATCAATGCGAAAGGAAGAAACTATCGTCGGGCGGGCAAGTTCGTGATAAGTTCCGGGAAATGATAGACTACGTGTGCTGAAAAACAGTAGACAGACATCCAGAAGATCCCTTGGGAATCAGATATCATGCTTTATGTGTCGAACTGGCATGAATGGCGAAGTCAGCCCGATGGTATAAATAGCGGTAGAAATATGAAATGTCAAGCCTTCATAGTGTACACAAATTTAAAGTAACATATTTATGGTGTGGGACTGTTAGTGCTGGCACATCTGACACTAATCAGAGGTCGGAACATTTTGCGCAGGAGCGGGAATAATCTTTATTCTGGAAGTATAGTTTTATATTCATAGTATAGCATTAGCATCATTCCCGCCCACATCCTTCAGTTTCGTATACTGGGTTCTACTAAAGATTCTACCCACAGGGCGAGAGTTCCTTTCCTTCCCATTCATGCCCTGGCGGGTCATACGTCCTGTCCTATGTTGTGGGGGTGTTATGTATTCCTTTTTTTTAAACGGTTTAACTGTTGACTCTTTTCTGTTACGTGGTTTTTTCCCCACGTTGTGCTACTTGCTAGGCGGTTCGTGTGTAATCCAAACTGCAATGTTTTTGTATTTCTATGTTCCTTATCAGTGGCTTATTTTTTCAGGGGGGGGGGGGGGGGGAGGGATATTCTTGGTTCTGAAAGTGTAGCTTTTTCCCCACAGTATCGCATTAGCATCATTTCTGCTTTTGTTTCGTATACTGCTATTTAATTACAATATTGGTCATTATCCCAGGTTCCAACATTACAGATAATCTGGTAATCTGGTAGTCTTAGTTTCAGCTTCATAGCAAAGGGGTCACTTCACAGTTGCTCTGCTCCTGTGCCAAAGAAAAAAACACAGAATGCCCATTCACAGTCCCTTGTGGAAATGTTGACACAGACTGCAGTCTCAGCATACACACTTGCATACACAGGCATTAAAAGCATAAGGCAGCCACCATAAGTGCTAACACAAACAGTCCGACATTAAAAATGCAGTTCGTCATCGAGGGAAGTTGCGGTTGCAAACAGATGAGAAGTTGGACACGCGACCAATTTCAGTCACATAAGGCACCATCAATTCTGTGGCAGCTGGCCACGCGCCATTTCATGAATCTACAGTTCACAACATTACATTGGTCACAGGTTAAAAAAAAATTAAATTCGCAGCTCACAGTGTCGCACAAGGGACTGAACTCAGTAGCTAGGCGACAAAACTGTATCCTTTCAGTTTACAAATAAAAGAAAATGCAACGGCTACTGTCTGTCAGAAGCCAGGCATTTACCACGATTAAAAAAAGTGACCGTGCCTAGCGTCCATTTTGACCGGAACATTGCTGTAGGCAGGTAGGCCCATGACTGCTCCGTTTTTGAGCCAGTGGAAATCACGCGAAATGTCCCATTTTAAAAACTCGCCGGTGAAAAACGTGTCAGTCCTTGCAAATTCTTGAAGCTTGCACACGCAAAGTAAAAAATGCGTAAGGCAATATCATAAATGGACTCCAGTCCAGCGTATTTGACCTCTCTCAACAGAGTTGGTCTTGGGGTTTCTAGATCGTGATAAATTAGATGTAGTGGAAAATTCCCTAATGGTAAGTTTATTGAATAAGTTGCCTGTTAATATATTACTATACTTTCAGCACCAAGAATCTTCCCACTCCTGTACAAGATCTGCCGCCCTCTGATCAGCGACGATACTAAGAACAAGATTCATGTGTTGGGAAGTGAGTGCTATTGTTTGTATCATCATCTGCATCATTATATCATCCTTGTCTTTGTTATCATCACCTTTACCCTTATTATAAAAAAATCATCATCATCATAATCGTTGTTATCGTCATACTCGCCATCATTACCAACAACAGCATCATCATCATCATCATCATCATCAACAACAATAGCTTGAGTTTTTCATGCACATCTGTTTACTGGTCTCGCTTTTTTTTCTATGCAGACTGTTGATTCCTTGTCTCTCAGGTAGATGTACTCTGGCTTTAAAGGACACATTCCTAATTAGTCACTCTTACGACATGCTTGTTAAAAGTTATTGGGTTTATTATCCACCCCCTCCCCCTCCCCAGAACCCACCAGCTAAATGTCAGCGCCATTTATCTGGGAAGAGGTAAATTATTGTTACTGAATCTGTTATGTTTTTGTTGTTGCTCTCTTCCTATAAAAAATATTTATAAAAAAAAAAATAAAAAAACAGGCGATTTCCAGTCCACCCTGCTGCAGTACATCGACGCCGAGGAGTTGCCAGCTTATCTTGGAGGTACAAAAACCGATCCTGATGGCAACCCCAGATGTGAAACTCTAGTGAGTATTGCCTCTTTTTTCCCTTACTTCTTAAATAACATAACTTTTGACCCGTTAGGGTCGTGGAGGTGTATCGATGGAAGCACTAGATCATAAAACCTGCCATCCTTCTCTTTCTGTCGTCTGCTTGATGAATAAGTGTATGATAACTAAGTCTTGTCCATTTCTTGATGTTGTCATTCCAGGTTATTCTTTGCTTAACCCTTCGTCGACTACCCCTTAATGTTCCTTAAAGTACAGTCTTTGCGATCGTGTCTCATCTCGTGTCTTGACCAAGCTGCGACTTCTAACCACTGCCAGGGGAGGCTCCTGTTGTCAAGAAATTGTGTTTATCTTACATATTTGTTAGTTTTGTACCTGAATCCCCTTTCCATTTCCACAGTGAGAATCTTAAATACGGTATGATCCGCCCAAATCACTTGTTCTGTCTTTCTTCCTCTATCGTGTATCCACCAATGGAGCAAAGGCCCTTAACTAGCTCGCATTAGCACCTGTTCATATATCCAGGCATTGGTGTTATATTATGGTATTGGGAGCCCATATCAGGAAGGGAATGAGAGTGACGGAAGTGAAGATTGCAGAGCTGAGCGTCTGAAAAGTAATGTATTCAACATAAATGTTGACAACAATGGTACCTGAAATCCCATGCTGTCATTGTGGAAGACTTTTCTTGACACAGGCGGGTCTTGCTAGTCACACTCGCCATCGCCATGGGCAATGTCATATCCAATTTCGTCCTTTTCAGGACGAAATTTTTTGTCATTTGAAGCCCTGGGCAGGGGCCGCATGATAGGCAGGCCATACATGCCTCTGGGACCTCTACACGGCGATCCTCATATGGTGGCACTTTGTGTCATCGGGTGTTTGTCGCTTGTGTGATGTAAAAGTCACTCATCGTCAGGGGCAAAGGCCTCCTTATAGCGCAGTATAACACTATCGTCTGGAAAGGTGCCAATCTATCAATCAATCAGTCAAGCAATCAATCAATCGGGAGTCCTAGGAATCAAAGCTCATGATCGGGGATGAAGTTCCTCCTCTCCATAGCAGAAAGCCTGGGCAGTGCTGTACGAGTAGATGGACCTGCCTTCCTTACTCCAAAGGAATGGTACAGGGGATCTGGTCGACGCTCAAAACTCAGTGAAGGGGAGAGACGGACATACAATCAGACTGTTACTGATACCATCATAACTGGAACTCTGTACTTGCTGCTGAAGATGGGGAAGGAGCGCTTATGGGAATGCCCCGGGTGCTGTGATGTCGGTTATTAACTCATAGTTTGCTACTGAATGTATGTTATGTCTCTCTCATTTTAGGGGGAGGGTGGCACTGAAAATTATGCTATCCTATGTTATTATTGTCTCTCACACTTACAGACATTGCAAATAGGTTTTGTCTCTTTCAGTATATTTTTCCTACTGAAAATTAATTTCGTGTCTCACATCTTTTGCTAATGACAGTATGATGTGTCTGCTAACACCATTTGCTTTCGAGTTTCTCATACAGTTTTGCTTATGAAAATATGTTCTGTCTCTAGTAGTACTAGTACATTTTACCCCACTAGGACATCACACAAGCGATAAACATCCGATGACACAAACTGTCACCATGCGGATAAGGATCACTTGTGGAGAGGTCTCAGAAACCGCGCTCAGCCATTAGGCCATATTCATTCCCAGATTATATTGCGGCCCCTGTCAAGAGCCAGGGTGGGGCTTCAAAATAAAGAAAATTGCATCCTAATGGGATGACGAATTTATGAATCTGTCTCTAACTTTTTGATGTGTAAATATGCTCTGCCTCTCACTTCATTTGCAACTGAAATTATTCGAGGTTCTCCCTTTTTTTTGGGGGGGGGGGATATTGTACACGCACACACCCCCCCCCCCCCCCCCCCCCTTCTTTTTTTGCTCCCTTCACTATTGCTATTGAAAATACTGTTTCCATGCCGGTACAGATATGCCAAGGAGGTGAGGTGCCCGAGGAATATTACTTCAAAGATGTTGACAGCGCTGAGCACCTGCAGACCGCAACAGTGGCCAGGGGAGACAAGTTTACCGTTGATGTTGAAGTTTGCAAAGCCGGCAGCATCTTACGGTTAGTCTCATTTTCAAAAGACCCTTTTCTGACAATGGCGAGGCGCGAATCTAATGACTTCAAATCGAAGCTTAGACTTTTCATTAAACTATTTATTTTTAGTGTCTACTGTTTATTACAAATCCGTGACTTGGTTTGCGTCACGAAGATAGCGAAACGAAAGTTCATCATATGCTTACGCCTGTTTGTTATATCTAGTCATCTCCGTGTGAGATGCAATTTATCGTTTAATAAATTCCTTACGTCCTTCTTAGGACGTTATTTTTTGTTATTTGAAGCCCCACTCTGGCTATTGCCAGGGTATAGAGATCATTATGGCCAATGTTGTGAACGCGGTTTCTGGAAGCCTCACCGCTTTGTGTCATCGGGTGTTTATCGCTTTGTGATGTCCTGGTGGGGTAAAAGCCAATCGAGCCAATTTATCGTTATTTGAAGCCCCACCCTTGCTTTTGCCAGAAGCCGCAAAATACCCCAGCCATAAATATGGTCTAATGGCTGAACGCAGTTTCTGGGACCTCTCCACGGGTGATCCTCATCCTCAAGGTGGCACTTTGTAACATCGAATGTTTAACGCTTGTGTGATGTCCTGGTGGGATAAAAGAAGATTGATAAAGGCTTATGCCATGCATGCAGAAACAGTAACATCTGAAAGCTACTAATTTACTAGTACTACAGTACAAATTCTCAACAGCAATGCTACAAAGAAAATATCATACACACCAATTCAGTGTGATTATTACCTGCTAACGTTTACACATGCGAATTAGTGACGCCTCACTACTGCCATAAGCCAAAGACCCCGAAGATGCTAAATGGTACCACTCCAAAGCCACCTATGTACCAGGTCCCTGTTTCGAGAAAATGGTATCTAAATACAGAGTGGTAACTGAGAATTGTGTAGTGTCATGAAAAGTAATACCTTATTTTCACCTGCTTGGAGTAGTAATTCATATGGTAAAGGTGAAGGTAAAGTCGGGAGATGTGAACCAGCGTCATTGCACACGGTTATAAACCATAAGTGCTCTGCCACCAGTACGGGCAGCTGATAAGAAACTTTCTGCCCGTGTCGCTGTCCACACGTAACTCTGTAGCTACAACGACGGTCCTTCATTTAACACAGAGTGCCAACACTGGTACCCATTTCCTAGAGGCTGGGTGAACCTCGGGAACCGTCCGGTTTTGAACACCGACCGTGGGCTGCAGCGATTCGCAGCTGGATTTGAAAGCGAGCCTTTTATCGACTACGCTAACGCGGCCACCTAAACTTTAGCATAGTGCCATTTAGCATTCTTGTGACTTTAGCGTAGTGCCATTTAGCACGTTGGTGACTTTAGTGTAGTGCAGTGATTCCCAAACTGTGCGCCGGGCGCCACACGGAGCCGCGACCTCTTCACATGGGCGCCGCGAAATATTCGAAGATACACCAGTTAATTTTTTTTTAAATCTCTTACATACGAACAGTCATGCTTTTACTTAGGTTAGGACGCCGTAGAAATTTTTTTTTGTTTTGTTTAAAAGGTGCCGCGACTAAGACAAGTTTGGGAGACACTGGTGTAGTGCAAGTAAGCACTTTGATGATTTTAGCGTAGTGCCGACGATATGATGCTAGAAATAATTTGTACAGACTAATCTTTCGTCGACCTTTTCTGTTGTCTAATCCTTACTTTATCTTCATTGGCTAATCAAGAAGATTAAGTGTTCAGTTAATAACTGACATCTCAGCACTCGAGACATTGAAATCAACACCTCATCCTAATCTTCAGCAGCCAGCGAAGAGTTCCAGTTCCAATGCTGCTAGCAGCAGTTTGAGGTGCTTTATTAACATCCTACCCCAAAAGGGGAAAATCCACAGGTCACGGGACTGTCAAAAATTTCAGGGGGTGGTAGATAGGCTGCATGCAGTCATGGGGCCTATGCTGCACTCTCTCCTGAGACGTAGGTGGGTTGAGATTAGGGCCAGTTCTAGATGTTTTGGGGTCTTTAAAAGCATCAGAAAGCCGGGAAACCCAGTCTTACTATCCTCTAAAATGTTGGACTGTCCTGTGACGTCATCTGGGGTAGGATATTAATAAAGCACCGCAGTTTGATTATATTTTCGTCTTGCCTTTCCTCTGAGTGTTGATTGTCGACCAGATCCCCTGGTCATTCCCAGCTGCGCCATTCTCTCCGGACCATAACGATCTGTTCGTGCCTCGCCTCTGTATTGTTCGCTTGCTCCCAAAGGGCCTTGACCACATCTAGCTTGTCATACATAAAGTCATCACCTATAAGGCAGACGTGGTTAGCGCCTTGTGGGAGAGCGTGTACAGTTCAGAGGAGCAGATGGATCACCACAGTCTGGTGAGATTGATGCAGCGTGGAGTGACGAGAGGTTCTGGCAGATGCTCGAGGCTCAGAGGAAAGACAAGACAGACGTTTAATCAGAATGCTACTGGCACCACTAGTATCAGAACTTTTTACTGGCTGCTGAGGATGGCGACAGAGCGCTTATAGTAATGTCCCCTTGTGCTGTGATGTCGGTTCTTGAATCAAATCAACTCAACTCAAAGTCATCAGCCTTGATGCAGAACCATCGAATCTGGGTGCCTCTTCTGACACTCCTGCATAAAAAGAACGCTAACTGCCTGCATGGCTCCATCTTTCTCGTCATGCTTTTTTTTTTTTACAATGACAAATATTTCAGAGCCGTTGTCCATTTAAATCCATCCTAAATCGAGGCTTAGGTAATTCTTTCGTCAACAAATGGAAACTGATTTTTAACATCTTACATATTCCCAATTTTGCAGATGGGAATTCAAAACGGATGGATTTGATATTGGATTTGCTGTGTTCCGAAATGAGGGCAGCGAAGTCATTCCAGTTGTCCCCCTTGAGCGTGTGAACAGTCACATGGTACCAGAAGATGGATCCTACACTTGCGATGTTCCAGGAAAATGTAAGTGTTGTTTAGAATTACTCAGCTTTCGAATTGGACACTTTTGCCAATTATTGCCTTTATTATAGCACTTTTGCGGTCTAGACCGGGGTCCCTCAAAGCTGAGGATTGACGATCGCATGGCTAGTGCTGTCGCCTCGACTGTACAGGTGAGGATTTTATTTTACCCCCGACAGAAAAAAATTTCCAGTCTTACCGAGGATTCGAACCAGGGTCTTCTAATGAGAACAAAGAAATTTATAATCTGTTTAAATGACTGACTGACTTTCTACCCCACCCCACCAGGACATCACACAAGCGATAAACACCCGATGACACTATGTGCCACCATGTGTGTGTGGATCACCATGGAGAGGTTCCAGAAACCCCGTTCAGCCTTTAGGCCATAATTATGGCCAGGCTATATTGCGGCCCCTGGCAAAAGCCAGAGTAGGGCTTCAATTAACGAAAAATGTCATCCTAAAAATGACGAGAAGTACTATGATGAGTTTAAATAAAAATTAATCATTGACAACATGAGGGGTGGTGTAGTGAAATATTTGGCACATAAAGGGAGAATGGCAGATGACAGATGGGCGAAAACTGTATTCATAGGGGAGCTGAATGATGGTAGACCACGAAGCAGACGAAAAAGACGATAGAAAGATAATGTCCAGAAGACCCACAAACACTTGGTGTCACCAACTAGAAAGGGAAGGCCAATCAAAGAGAGGAACCTTTATGGACAGATGAGACATCATCAAGGCCATAAGAGAGACTAAACGCTGTGAGACTACTCTTCATCGTCATCATCAGTTCTCTTTACGCCTAGTGGCACATGAGGCTTCAGAGAGGACTTTCCATGCTTTCCTGTCTTGTACAATCTTCAGTGCAGTTTTCTATGTCAGAGATACCGTACTCAGGTCACTTTCCATCGTTCGTCTCCATGTTGTTTTGCCCCCCCCCCCCCCTTTTTGTTTCCTCTAGTATCCATGTGAGAGCTGTTTTGGCAGGTATATCAGGATTCATTCTCGTAACGTGGCCAAGCCATTTCAATCTTCTCTTGGTTATCATACTGTCTAGAGTTTCTTGGCTTGTGACTTGAAGTAGTTTAGTGTTTGAGGTTGTATCTGACGTGAGACCCTTGGTTTTGTCGACAATGATTTTTCTCTGAACAGACTGCATACCCTGGGTGTACTAATTGGAGCGGCGAGATATGAAAACCCTGCGGAAGCCACCCGTCGTTATATCAGCCAGAGAAAGAATGGGAGTTGTTAGCCTAAAACCATTTGGAGACATACTCAGGGGGAGATCGGAGCACTTATGGTCATGTCCGATGTGCAATAAAGATGATCTCAAAAATAAATAAAGAACAATGAACAAAGAGAGAAATGGATGCGGGGTAATCTGCGGCAATGAACCTCAGGGACTCAGAATGCCGAAGAAGAAGTTTTAGAATTATGTTTTAGTAGTTTCTTTCTGTCTGTTTCTTTCTTTCTTTGTGTATATTGTCACAGCTATAAACATTCTTTTGTTGCAGTCAAAACTATTGACGTTTGACTGAGAACTAATTTTCAGAACTTCAAAGTTTATGTAGCATGACACTGTCTTGATCGATTAGCATGACACTGTCTTGATCGATTAGCATGACACTGTCTTGATCGATTAGTACACTGTTTGATCGATTAGCATGACACTGTCTTGATCGATTAGCATGACACTGTCTTGATCGATTAGCATGACACTGTCTTGATCGATTAGCATGACACTGTCTTGATCGATTAGCATGACACTGTCTTGATCGATTAGCATGACACTGTCTTGATCGATTAGCATGACACTGTCTTGATCGATTAGCATGACACTGTCTTGATCGATTAGCATGACACTGTCTTCAAAGTTTATGTAGCATGACACTGTCTTGATCGATGTATGCTTTAATAAAATAAACAATTAACCAAACCAAAGAATTCTAACCAAAAAAAACATGCACATTTAACCAAGTCCTAAAAAGGTAATCAAATAACAAGAAACAAACAACTAACATCTAACAACTCACTAAAGAAATGCAACTAACAAAAACAACTTTGCAGCTAATAACCATGCAGGCTAACATTTAAATTACTTAACATATCTACAAAGGCTACACCAATGGCGCAGTGGCAAAGCGCTTTCCTACCGGTCTGAAAGTCTTGGATTCAAAAACTAATTGTGAAGGATTTTTTTATAATGAGTTTTCAATTAATACTTCTCTGTATGGGTTCAGGGGCCCCATAGGAAAGGGGCTGGGGTGGATAGATCCACTGCTATCCTAACAAGCATGTCCCACAAGTAGACTAATTGGAGGTGTTTATTTCAAAGTTGGAGTGCATCTGCCCGAGAGGTATTTAACCAACGCTATGCGTATAAATAAGCGAGATCTATAAAATGTGCACACGCACAACTCAAGTTCTAGAACAAGACCAAAGTCCAGAGGTGGACGAACCGTGGGGCTTTCAGTGGAAGTTTACATCTGGTAAATCCTAACAAGTAGAATAAATGAGTACATATAATGTCCGGAGGAGTAGAAGAGGCTGTCGTGATGGCGACATCACCCTTCGAAGGCTGATTAGTGAGAACTATCATTACAACAACAAAACCGAAAACCCTTACCTGGGTAGAAAGATGCAACGGGGAGTGTCTGCGGGCTCTGAACACCGCTCAAGACTCAATGAAAGGCAAGACGAGTAACTAACCAGATGACAATGGGTACAGTCGGTATGGAGACTCGAGGAGGGAAACGGAGCTGATATGGGCTTGTGCTGAATGCTGTGATTACGAATGTTTACCCAGATTACAGTACACTGGACGGACCCATAGGTGCTTCGATCTCCTCAAAAATATGTCTAGCATCTTATCTTCTTCATCTTCTTCTTCACTTCCTCTTTTACCGCTGTGGGTGTTGAGGGAGATATAAGGTTCTGTTTCTAGCTCCTCTGGCCGCCTCGACCATAGGCACATCGTGCTGTTGTAGAGTTTCTCTGATGTTATCCTTCCATTTTGTTCTTGGTCTACCTCGTGCTCTACGTCTTTCTTCTCTTTCCATGTATGCTTTGTATGGTATGGTGTCACAAGGCATTCTCTCTAAGTGGGCAAACCATTTCACTTGCTGTCTTCGTATGTAATCCAGAATTGGTTCTGTGCCGACTTGTTCTCTTATGATCTCATTCCTGATCTTATCTCTTATGGTCACTCCTACAGACCTTCTCAGACATCTCATTTCCGTGGTTACTAATTTTCTTTTATGGTTTGTTGTGAGTGACCATGTCTGGCACTGGTAGCACAGAGTTGGAATAAATATGCTTTGAATAAGATGCCTCTTTGTGCTGATTGAGATTGTCTTATGCTGTAAGAGGGGAGCTAGCTGTCCCAATACTTGGTTTGCTTTACTGCATCTAATGTTAATTTCTTTATCCAATTTCCCATCTTCGGTAAATGTAGTTCCCAGATATTTAAACTCAGATGCCTGTTTAATGCATTTGCACTCTATTGCTATGTTTAGATCTGTCTTCTTTTTTCCTATTGGCATTACTTCTGTCTTTTCAGTGTTGATTCTCATATTATTTGTTTTACATTCTTCATTCATGGATGTTAGATGTTGTTGTAATTTCATGGCTGTATCTGCTATCAAGGCCTGGTCATCTGCAAAGAGTAATTCGTTGATCTTACTAACATTTTCATTCATGGGCTTGGCATTCTTGCATATGCTGTCGATGTAGGTGATAAACAGCAGTGGTGATAAGACACACCCCTGTCTTACTCCAGATGTTACTGTGAATGGATGAGATGTTCCCTGATTTATTCTAACTACACTTCTACAATCCCTGTAAAAACTTTTGCACACTTCGATGAGGTGTTCGCTTACTCCATATCTTGCCATTACTTTCCATAAATAATTGTCTGTCGACTCTGTCAAATGCCTTCTCCTGGTCTACGAATGCCACAAATGAGTTCTTATTATATTCAATGTTCTTTAAATACATCTTATCACTGTCGCTAAAGTTTAAAGTTGAAGCCAATGCCCCAAATAGTTCGACAAAAGCCAGTTACTTACTTACTGCTCACTAGCCAGGCACTAATCCTAACTTTTCCCGCTGTGAGCAGATACGGTCGTCTTTGACAACACCTACAGCAAACTCCGCGACAAGCGTCTGCTCTACTACATCGATGTCACTTCCGTTGATGAACAGCATGCAGACGACATTGTCGATCTGGAGGGATACAATCGGAAAGACCACCAGTAATGCTTCAGGTGTTTGTTTCTTGTGTTTTTACAGTAACAAAGGGGGCTAGAGGAATGATTAGAATTTAGATGTTCTTAACACAATTTCAGCACACTTTTATTGTTGTTTTTTTTTTTTTTTTTGGTTTAAATTAATTTGTTTTTGTTTAATTTATAATTTTCTCTCCTTTAAGTTTCTTGGCGCCTGTAATTACTCGATTATTAGCCGCTTCTTCTTCTTCTTCATCATTTCCTCTTTTACCGTTTTGGGTGTTGAGGAAGATATCCTTCTCTGTTATCTTTCTGTCTTGTTCTTGTTCTTTTGCTCTGCGTCCGTCTCCTCTTTTGGTGTATGCCTTGTTTTGTCTGGCATCATAAGGCATTCTCTCTAAGTGGGCAAACCATCTGATTTGTGCTGTCTTTGTATGTAATTTAGAATTGTTCTGTGGCGACTTTTCCTCTTATGACCTCATTTCTGATTTTCTCTCTTCTACTCACTCCTGCAGCTATTCTTAGACATCTTATTTCCATAGTTATTAAATATTAGCCACTACACTAATCATTGTGCTTGCTTTAGACAGCTGTTTGCTTATTTTCTGCACTAATTCGCTTGTTGCTTGTTTTTATGTTTGCCGCTTTGCTGCAGTGGCGGCTTGTAGATAGCACTGGTGAGCGGGGCTGCTTCAGAACATGTTTAGTCATTGTAAAAAGCAAGCACATATAGAACATTCGACAAACAGTTAAGTGGGAGAGGGGGAAAAAGGGGGGGGGGGAGGGCGGGTGAGACAGTGAGACTTTTGATAATTTTACAGTAGTAAAATGAAACAACTATAGATAAATTTATAAACTTGATAAAATCCTAATTTACACACACACACACTCACACACACTCACTCACTCACACACACACACACACACACACACACACACACACACACACACACACACACACACTCACTCACACACATCACAGAGTCTACATTGCTACAATTTAAGCTCGATCTATGGAATCCATTTCCTAGAAGCTTGGGGAACCCCCAAAACCGTCCGGTTTCGAACACCGGCCGGGGGCTGCAGCGAAGCCTAGCTTGATTTGAAAGCAAGTCTCCTATCGACTGCGCTAACGCGGCCCCTATAATAGGTAGTGATAATCTATAGTTCTGCAGCGCTTTTGCACAAGCCGTCACTAACGCTAATATAATTCTTTTTAATGCATTTGCTTGCTTAGATGAATAAATAAAAGACCATATTGAATTTTGGCAAAGATTAAAACCCGATCGGTAACTTCATTGTAAATAAAATGAAAGACTAGAAGGGCTTGTTTGTGTGGGAATATTTTGTGTGTGTGTTGCCTAGGCTAGATACATGGCTCTAAAGTTGTTAGATTACGAAGGAGTTGTGTTTGCAGAGATCCACCTGGCACCAAAGTGTGCATGAAGAAGTGACACCGCTGCGCTGGGGGACACAATCTCATACATACTCTGCTCCATTGCTGTAGCCAACGAAAGTTCTCACACTGATAGTGACTACTGTAAAATTATCAAAAGTCCCACTGTCTCACCCGCCCCCCTCTCCCCCCCCCCCCCCCCCTCCCCCCCCCTCTCCCACTTAACTGCTTGTCGAATGTTCTATATGTGCTTGCTTTTTATTACTTGCACCTTTTATGCCTATTACTCTCTCGTGACTTTTTATTTTTGGCGGTACGTGACGGCATGCACTACCGGCAACTTTTTAGGTTTTTTTTTTTTTCAGCACTTTGTTATATTAATCCCAGCCCCATTTTAGACACGTTATGGTGAGTTGAATTTTTTTTGTGTGTGTGCAAGCCTTTGAATGAAGTTGCAGAAATAACTCCAGCATTTTTTGGTCTGTGATGGTTATTCTAGGCTATTTATACGTTCAGTAGTTTGCCACTGCTTTCTCAACGGTCAGCTATCGATACCACTGTCGAAACTAACGGAAGGCAGTCTGCTGCCAAATCGCCTGCAGCTAGCCGTTCGCGACGCCTAAGCCACAGACGCTGAGTACCGATGTATTTTAGACACGTACCAGAAACTTTTTTCTAGAAAAAAAGGGGATTTTGGGGGGGGGGGGGGGGGGAAGAGCCCTGGACAGGTGGAAGTCTGTTGACAATGAAATATTCGAAACCTAAAACGTACGATAACCAGTTTAGGCCTAATCCCGGCATTCATCTGTGTGACAGTTCATGCTCAGGGCTCCCAATGCTGGGTTTTTTTCCCCCAGATCTGGGTTTTTATTTGACGCCTGGGGGAAATCTGGGTTTTTTAAAAATATATCCTTATATAAAAGTGGTAAATGTTTCGTTTTGTAAAACATAAATTTTGTAAATGTTTTTTTTTTTTGTTTTTTTTGGTTCTTTGTCTTTGTATTGCTTGGGTTTTTGTTCAGCTAAGCTGGGTTTTTCATAAAATCCCATTGGCAGCCCTGTCATGCTCATTGTTCATCGAACCATTCAGTCCATAAGTGCTCAGATTCCCTCCTTAAAAACCCCTGCTGCTTGGCAGCGGCGGACATCTAAGTTTTCTGTTGATTTATAATTCTTTGCTTTCTCGCTTCACTTTTCCCTTGCAGTTCGTGCGGTCTGATAACTTTTGCATATTCACTGTCATCATTATGTTCTGACTGACTGACTGACTGACTTTCTACCCCACTAGGACATCACGCAAGCGATAAACACCCGATGACACAAAGTGCCATTATGTGGATGAGGATCACCGTGGAGAGGTCCCAGAAACCGCGTTCAGACAATTGGCCATATTTATGTCCTGCCTATATTGCGGCCCCTGGCAAAAGCCAGGGCGGTGTTTCAAATAACAAAACATTCGTCCTAAAAAGGACGTAGTATTATCATTACGTTCTCACAAACATCTTATTTTATATGAAAAGTTGAACATACATAAATCCTGACAAAGGTCCGCCTGTCCGTCATACCTGGCCATGAGTGGGGACTTCAGTCAAATCTTACACAATCTTCCAAAACTGGACTACATGTTTTTTCGTAGCCGTTCTGAGGTGTCTAATTATAACTGTTATAGTCTTAGTCCAGGTTTCAGATTCACTGCAGTCGGGTCACCCCATATTTGCCCCGTTTCTGTGCCAGTAAAAATCAAAGGAAATGTCCCTCCTTGTCCCATTTGAAAAAACTGGTGAACAAACAGTTGTCCCGGCACAATCCAGAAATATGTGCATGCAGTAATGCAGTTGCTTGAGGGCCAAAGCCAACAGTTGCCACCAGAAATGTAGTTTGTCGTTGATGAAAGTAATCGGGCACGATAAGTTGGCTATACAAATGTAGAATTACTAGATAAGAGAGTTCATCAGCCCACATGTAAACCGACCTGCACGACTAAATGGTATTCCAGGTGAAAAACCCAGCTCAAAGGGTTGCACCAGGCACTAAACTTAGTCGCTCAGGCAGCGAAGCCTTAAACTACCGTCCATATGTGGAAACTGCATTAGCAAAGCGCTGTCGGAAATAAAAAAATAACTTCGAAGCTTCAAATTCTGCTAAGCCTAGTCCTCCATTTTTAAACTATATGGCTATGCAGTTGAACGAGGTTTCTGGGATTTGTAGCTGTTTGATTCTCCTCCTCGAGATGTGAAAACTACAGAATGCACATATTGGGTGGGGGGGGGGGGGGGGGGGGGGGGGGGGGGGGGGGGGGGGGGGGGGTATTTAAAACAATGTAAAAACTTTGTATTACAAAGAATTCACAACAAAATTTAACATGAAGATATGTTCTGCTGTTCTCTGTCCACAGACATAGTGGTGTTTGACAACACATTTAGCTGGGCCAGAGGAAAGCAGATCCATTACAGCGTAGAAGCCATCCAACCGGTGGAGGCAGGAGTGACCTTAGAAATTAACTCCATGTTGAAAAGTGACTTCAGTTGGGATGATGTAGCTAGCAGAATGGGTGACAATATTATATCTATTAGACTGTAAAAAAAAAAGACATATATCTGTGGACAATGATTAGCACTTACAGAAGAAAGAATTACTGAAGTAATTATCACTCTCTCCCCCCCCCCCCCCCCCCAAAAAAAAAAAATTTCATAATGTCAAATTTTGATTATTTAGCTCTAATATCAGATCAGTACTGCTGTAAGAGTTAAAAATGTTAAGTTGGACAAAGTTAAGAAATGACATCATAGTAGTAGAGACATTTCCATAAGTGCTCTCTCCTCATCTTCAGCAGCAAGCGCAGAGTTCCTACTCTGATGGTCTCATTAAAAGGTAAAGACTCGACATCACAGCACTCGGGGCATTCCCACAAACACTTTGTCTCTATATTAAAAACTTTGTTGTTTGGTCTCACTCTCGATTCTCCGATGTTTGCACCTTTGATGGGTCCAAAGATTCCTCATAAAACTGTTCTCAAAGATCTTTAAAAAGGTTTCTCTTATTTAGCTGTGCTCTGAGTTTCTGAGCCTTGAAGGACAACTGGTCTAGCTAGTGTTCACCTGGGTATGCTGGTGTGAAGAGAATGAACAAGTGGATCAGATGGCAAGCAATGCAGCAACGCGGGTGCAAAGAAGCATGGACAGAGCAGATATCATCAACACTGATATACAGACAGGGCTAGGGGACAATGACGAATCTCTGACACTGACATGACTGGGAGAAAAAGTATGGTGAAGCACGTCTGTACTGCCTTCGAGGCTGAGACTGGAGACATCTTTTTATTCTTTGCGTTCACCAGCTGTAAACTAAGGCATAAAGTTAAGATTGTTCGTTCACCTCAGGACTTTAGTCTTATTGCAGAACCTAAGTGCTGCCTGCACATCCGATCTGACTTATTTGCATGCAGATTGTTGGTTCCTTGCCTCTCAGGCAGATGCACTCCGGCTTCAAAGAAAACTCCCAACTAGTCAACTCTTAGGACATGCTTTTGGGTAATCAGTGGGTCTATTCTTCTTTTACCTTACCTAGAACCCACACTGGAAGATAGAAGACGACATTATAAGCAACAACAGTAAGAAATTAATCCAGTGAACTGTGATTAAAAAGCTTAACGATAGGGGGGAAAGAGAAAACATCACAAAACAGACCAATCGACTTTTCGGTCTGGACTTTTCTCGTTTTATGGCAACAATAAGTATAGATACCCTGGATTGGCTGCTGCGTCGGAGGACTGATGACATATGGGAATTCTCAATGTGCAGCGATGTCGACTGTGTACACATGATACAATCAGTGTTGTTTTGATTAACTGTGTATATACAAAATAGCAGTTAACAGAATACGCAGCACACACACACACAAAAGTTTGGATTGGAATTTTATGTTGTATTGTAGTTCTGGTTGCGCTTTAATAAATGTTGTGTCGGAAAAGTTTTATGATTCATTGTATTCATTCTTTCATTGTCTTCATGTATGTGTGTGAGTGTGTATGTGTGCGTGCACACATATGCACATGTGTGTGTGTGGTGTGTGTGAACACACCATTAACCAATGTGAGAAAGAGTTCTTAGGAGCTAATCACACGTTTTGATCTATCGAACTAGCCAAAAAGTGGAACATTATCTGTCTATTTCCCTGTGCACTGAGTGTGTCTAGACCTGTGCTCACTCTCCAGTGAAACAATCTTTTAAGATATAACGGTCTGTGGATTCCGCTGGACCAGTAATCTGCAAATTGCGGCATGCGAGACGCATGTGGCTCTTTGACGACCTGAGTGTGGCTCGGCCATTCGGCTACAAATCCGTTTTGACTCCGAAAAATATGGTTCCTAACTGGCTCTTGAAAAGAAATTTGGCTCTCAAAAATATTGTAATCCTCCTGCTGCTGATAGTTGGCTCTTTCGACTAAAGAGTTTGCCCACCACTGTGTTTGACCATACCCTTGATCTCAGACAGCCTTAACGATGTCCACTTTGTCATAAAGTAGCCTGCCACCCAGAGGATCCGCATCTACTGCAGACAGCCAAGCGGGCGACAGTCTACTTATTTCCACACACACACACAGCCACATGTTCTGCACACAAAATACTAGTTCTGTTTATTTAGGTATCCTGAAGCAGAAACATCCAACATGCAGAATAAGGTGAAAGAATTTGCCGAAATAATAGCTTTTCAGAGCGTCAGCCGACTATCCACCATTTTAGCCCAAAGTTTATGTTATTACATTTTAAATAATACATTCAATCTAAATAATACACACTATAAAAACTACTCAACTGTAATAGTAGATGGTTTATATAATTTTAGACCAATTTTTCACAAACATGAAAACAAAGCAAAGCAATTCAGATTTAAAATATTTAACAAATCTGGAGTAATGTACTGAGGAAAAAAACATTTACTAATAATTTCTATTCAAAACTGAAAAGAAACGAGCTTTATTTTGAGTACAAGTCACATCTGTATTTTAAAAATCATCTCAGCAACCATATATTCGTTATTTGATACATTATTTATTTATTTATTTCAGGTTCTACTGAAAATGAGACTTAATTGTACTTAAATAACAATTTTAAAAACGAAACATTTCTACTAAACAACAAAAACACATACAAATTTGCCAAAATTTCCAAATATACAAGCAATATATACAGTATGATACAACAACAAATTTGCAGTAATTTATCAATGAAAAAAGGATTATAGTTATAGAATGAACAACACATGAAAGAACAATCAGTACTTTGTCAAACAATAAAAAGGCATTCCGTTTGAAAACAGACACACAACAATTCTTTAATTAAACCAGTGGATAAAGAAATGCAGGAGGAAAAAGAAGAGGTAGGAAAAGAAGGAGATAGGAGAAGAAGAAAATGATGATGTGGGAGAAGAGCAGGAGAAAGACCAGGATGAAGTTGAACAGGGGGAGGTGGCTCAATAAGAGCAGGAGGAAGAGAAAGAAGAAGAAAAAGTGGAAGAAGAAGAAAAAGAGGAGACAGACAAGTAACTAGGAAGAAAATAATACCATCATACCCACAAAATGTCATACAACCACATACATACAAAATAACATTCCCCCCATATACACGCAGAATGACATTCCCCACCCCCAACAAAATGACATACCCACACATACACAAAATGACACACTAACAAACACACAATGACATTCCCCTGCTCATTTGTCACGCACACGAACATACACCAGTCCAAACACACAGACAAGTTCATTTGTGAACAATAATGAAAATATGATTCAATATTCCTGAGATAGTAGCTGCACAATGTTCATGAATATGACGAACACCGAAGGACAATCAGGACTGTATTTGCACTATGGCAGGCCTATTCCACCAAGTTTACTCAGGGGTCAAAGATTTTTTAACAAGAATCCATCAGGGGCCAAAGCCCCGAGCCAAACCACAGAAATATAATTAATACAAACAGGCAATGATCCGTGGGCCACTTGCTAGGTCTGTTGGGAAGGGGGGCACCAGTGGAACAGACCTGTACCAAGGCATCCTTGAAATTTAGTGATAAAGATGATGACTGCAAAAATACTGATGATAATGACAAGTCTTCTTCTTCATGTTCATTGGCTGTAAACTCCAGTGGAAAGTTCTTGTTGTTTGTCCACTTCTGGACTTGCATTGTGCGTGTACATTGTTTTGGCAGCCACCACAGTGTGGCACCAAAACACTCACTTGCGGATTCGTAGGACATAAATTCAAACCCAGATGGCATTGGATCCCCCCCCCCCCCTCCACACAAGAAATTGGCTCCCAGCCTTTTTTTTAAAACCAGGTAAATTCCCGGAAAGTAAAAGCAGCCGGCGTGATTGTGACCACATCACCTGTCGAGGTCTAACTGGTCTATACAAAATATAAGTCTAGCCTCATGTGCCTCTAGCATGTAAAGGGACCTCTAATATCTTTACTTTAAGGTGAAGACAGGCATGCATCGTGCAGAGTGGCAAGCATCACTTCAGAGGTCCCATGTAGTTAGCGTCCTTTGGATATTTTCTCCAAGTCATGCCGGTGTGTCGGGAAATGAGCAGGCAGATTGACTGGCTGGCTCTGCACCACTTGGCGGTGAAATGATGTATGACGAGTTAGAAATTGTGAGGGCTCTTTGGGAGCGAGTAAACAGTGCAGAGGCGCAGATGGATCATTACAGTCTGAGGAGAACAGTGCTGCGAGGAGTTACCAGGGGATCTAGCCGACGCTCAACACTCAGAGGAAGGAGGAGATGGATATACAATCAGACTTACTGGTGCCATCAGAATTGGAACTCTTTGCTTGCTGCGGAAGATGGGGAAGAAGCACTTATGGGAGTGTCCCAAGTGCTGTAATGTCGATTCTTGATTCAACATTTTAATTTCTTTGCTCGCATACTTTTTACATTGTATGCAAACTGTTGATTCCTCATCTCTCAGGCAGATGCGCTCCGACTTTGGAGGGAAAATTTCCTAATTAGTTGTCTTTTACTTCTTCTTCTTTACGCTACTCCAGGAATGCCTTGCGGTGTCAGGGCAGGAAAAGATCTCTGGAACAGGCCATTCTTTGTTTGCTTCGTATATACTTTTCAGTATCTCTGCGGTCTGGTTACATGGCCAAACCATCTGATTTGTTGTCTACCTAAAAGTTCAGTATTGGTTCTCTGCCGATTCTCCTCCTGATAGCATCGTTCCTAAGTCGATCTTTTCTCGTTACACCTAGCATAGTACGTAAACAATTCATTTCTGTGGTGACTATTTTGCTTGTCTTTTGAAGACAGTGTCCATGTTTGACGTTGATAGCACAGCGTTGGTAAGAATATTGTGTTGAACTGTGTTTTTCAGGTGTTTATATTCACATGCTTGCATTTCACAACATGCTTTAAAGGGAGGCAATGAGTCCATTCTTTTTGTTTTCTACCCAATACAGGGCCTAGAACCCACATAGGGAAATTATGAGAGTGAAAATGATGATAATGATGGTAATGATGAGGTGGTGATAATGATGATGATAATGATAAGGTGATGATGATGGTAATGATAAGGGGATGATGATAATGATAGTAATGATGAGGTGATGATAATGATGAGGTGGGGATGATAATGATGAGGTGATGATAATGATAATGATGGTAATGATGAGGTGGTGATGATAAAAATGAGGTGATGATAAATAATAATGATGGTAATGATGAGGTGGGGATGATGATGATGATAATAATGGTAATGAAGATGATGATAATGATGATGCTAATTATAAGGATAATGATGATGATAATGATAATATTGATGACAATTTTTTTTAAAATGCTTGTGAACACGACCAACTCTATGTGAGGTGTACAATAAAACTGACATTCAAAACTTTGTTTCTACTACTGATATCACTGAAATCTATTCCCGAAAATGATGATGGTTGTAAAAATATTGATGATTACAATAAAAATGATGATAATGTTAATGATGCAACAAACATACTGATGAAGATAATGATGATAACAAAAAAAAATGATGATAATGTCAATGATGCAGCAAACATATTGATAAAGATAATGATAATAACAAATAAAAATGATGATAATGTTAATGATGCAGCAAATATATTGATAAAGATAATGATGATAACAACAGCCCAAAAAAAATGATGATAATGTTAATGATGCAGCAAAAATATTGAGGACCATGATGATAATCACAATGATGACAATGATGATGATGACTGTCAAATTATTGATAATGATAATGATGGCAGCGATAACTATTGTGAACAAATATAGTAATAACAATAATAATGAATGCATACACAGAGCTGACGACCATTTGTGATGGAGTGTCAATCAGACATGTTTACAAACACGGCACATGATGGACATTTTCATTCACTATCATGCTGTGCCACATAGGGCTCGCAGTCTGTTCCTCCATTCCGTTCTATCCTGTACGATCCCAATTTCATGGATGGAATCCGGTCCAGCAGCTTTGGCCTCTCTCATCAACGTTCATCTTAGGGTTTCTTTTGGACGTCCTCGCCTCCTCAATCCCTTTATTTCCCATTGCGATGCCTGTTTGGTGATTCTCTGCTGGTTTCTTCTCATGATGTGCTCCACTGTAGTGCCATCTTCTCTGTCTTATAACTGTTGATACTAGTGATATAATGAACATGAGTAAAAAAGTTAAAAAAAAGTACAGATCCTTTTCCACGCCTTTAGGCGCATCGGGCATATGGGAAGAGCTTCCCTATTTTTACAGACCAATCAGCACTAGGTGGGTAATGTGGTCAGCATTATGCCGGCCATCTTTTCTTCTCCAGGAGATCCATCCTGGTATCTATTTTAGACTGGGTCAACCTGCGACGCCCATATCATGATAAAAATCCACGCAGCCAGAAGTAGGTTTCGATCGCGGTGTGTTGGAATTACGAGTCAGACTCGCAACGCCTAAGCCACGGATGCCGCTATAATGAACATACTAACTAAATTTTTTAAAAAATTGTTAAGTTAAAAAAAATCTCATTATTTTAAAGTTTCAGTCAGTACAGGATGTAAAGACTTCAGCATGAGGGTTTTGGGCTTTTTCTGGCTTCTGTCTTACTTTCATGTGTAGTTTGGCACCTCTGCATCCTAGCTAGTATAATCTGTAGTCAGTATAATCGGTATTGACCACTTTTTAGGGCAGCGTAGACGGGAGGGGTCAATGAGCCTGAGGATTAAGGGATGCATGGCTAGTGCTGTCGCCACGGACTATGCAGGTTAGGTTGTTTAATTTTTGCCTCCCGACAGAAAAATTCCATCACCTTACCGGTGGTCGAACCCGGGCCTCCCGCATGAGAGCCTAACTTTGTAACCGCTCCGCCAGCTGCTCCTAACCGCATCCTAGCTAGTCTGGAAATATCTGCGCCTTTCAACTCAACACACCCGATTTCTGCAAATTTCTTAAAATTGCCTTCCTAACATGCCCCATCCCCAGGCCAAACAAAATGTGGCCCCAGAAACAATATGAGAAAAAAAAAAAACAAGACAGGCTTTCCTGCCTAAAAATACATTGAATAAACACACAACTATACAAGCTGTCAATGTATGTACAAATTGCGGGCAGATATATCAAATCTTACAAATGTTCATAATCCTTTAAAATAATAAGGCCAAATGAAGTTATTCCTTGGAATAACGACAAAGGTAGTGATTCTTTAGAATAATGGCACAGATAGTCATTCATTGGAATAATGACAAAGATAGTTATTCCTTGGAATAATGGCAAATATAGTCATTCCTTGGAATATTGGCAAAGACAGTCATTCCTTGGAATATTGGCAAAGATAGTTATTTCTTGGAAAAATGGAAAAAGTCCTTATTTGAAGTAATGGCAAAGATAGTTATTCCTTGGAATAATGGCAAAAACAGTCATTCCTCTGAATAATGGCAAAGATAGTCACTCCTTGAAATAATGGCAAAGATAGTTATTCCTTGGAATAATGGCAAAGACAGTCACTCCTTGAAATAATGGCAAAGATAGTTAGCTATTCATTTGAAAAATGGCAAAGAAAGTCATTCCTTGGAATAATGGCAAAGATAGTTATTTTTTGTAAAAATGACGAAAGTTTAAATTCTTTGAAATAGGCATAGCAACATGTAATTTTTTAGAATAATAATGGCAAATATTATAATTCCAGGGAACAATAATGCCCAAAGAGTATAACTACTTGGAACAACAATAGCAATGATTTTAATCTTCGGGGAAAAATAAATCAAGATTATACTTTCTTAGAACCATAATGGCAAAGATGATATATAATTTCATGGAACAATAATGGCCAGATTATATATAATTCCATGGAACAACAATGGCCAAGATTATACATAATTCCATGGATCAATAAAGGTTAAGGTTATAACTGCTTAGAACAATAATGGCCAAGATTTTAGTTCTTTGGAACAATCATGACAAAGATTATACTTCCTAGAACAATGTTGGCAAAAGATTACATATAATTCCACACAACAACAATGACCAAGATTACAAATACTTAGAACAATAATGGCCAAGATAAGAATTCTGTAGAACAATAATGGCCAAGATAAGAATTCTGTAGAACAATAATGGCCAAGATAAGAATTCTGTAGAACAATAATGGCCAAGATAAGAATTCTGTAGAACAATAATGACAAAGAGTTTTCTCTTTGAACAAAGATGGCAATTTTATCTCAGAAAAACAGAAACGGCAAAAGTCGCTCGCTACAAAACATTCGGAAAGATTACATAACTAAGAAAATAACTGGTGAAGATCATAATTTTCCTAGAACATAACGACAATCATTAATCCTTTGAACAATAATGGCAAAGATAATGTACAAACTATACAATGTAACCGCCATCTACAGAGTTCCCGCTGGTCTATACAAATAGTCTAGCATCATATATCTGATACCACACTGGCATAAAAAGGATTCTCTACTTTCATTTTACTATACATCCAACAAGGAAGAGCAAGAAGGAACAGCAAAACGATAACAGCAAGAAGAAACAGCAGAATGGAACAGCAAGAAAGAACATCAAAAAGGAACAGCAGGAAGGAACAGCAAGAATGAACATCAAAAAAAAACAGCAGGAAGAAACAGCAAGAAAGAACAGCAAAAAGGAACAGCAGGACAGAACAGCAAGAAAGAATAATTAACAGTAACATAAAAGAATATTGGTTAAAGCATAGATGGACTGCGACAAGATGTTGGTTGAGGTCTAAGTCAAACTGGCCGTAAATCAAATTGATATTTTTCAACACTATCTTTATTTAGATGGGTTATAAAACTTGTAAATAAAACACAAAAATTGAATCTATGTACGTATAATTATTGTACACTGGAATTTATGTACACTCTAGGTGTCAGTTCCAGGAACTTTATTGGCTTTACCAATGTAGTTTTCAGTCTTTATTTACTATTTTTTAAATTTATTTTATTGTTTGTGTGGGTGGTACATAATGCTGATCACTTTTGAACCCAAGAACATTTTCCACATTTTTAGATGGCGTCAACTTAGAAGCTTACATAAATTTGTAAAATATACTTAAACAAGGATCTGAACCTGTGATCAAAAGGGCTTAAACTTGAGTTGGTTTCAGGTCAAGGATTCAACAGCAGCTGAAAGTCAGCAGAAGGAGAAAAACAATGATGTTGCATTAAAGGACACAAAGGCAGCTGATGTACGGCCAGCCTACCCATACCATGGCCACTGAGACTGCAATCAGCCTACGCTAACTACATGTCCAGAAAAATTGTTAACAACCTGGATTTGTTTAATTTGTACGTGTTGATGAAGGCTCAGTAGCCGCAACGTTCACATTTTGTTTGTATTTGTTATATTGTGAAGCTTACCAATATACTTTTTGTTTGGGTTTATATCTTTTCTTAACAACCTGGAGGAATTTAGATGAACAGTTGTTTATTGCTATTCTTTGTGTCGATACTTTAGAAGGTCGGGGAAAAGGGGGAGGGGGAGGGGGGGAGAGTAGGAGGAGGATGAGGAGAATGAGAAGGGGAAGGAGGTAGGAGGATAAATAAAAGGAGAATGAGACAGAGAAGATGGAAATGACAAAGAGAGAAGGAGTAGGAGAAGACGCTGAACAAGAATAATGAGAAAAATGAAAACATTAAAATACTTTGTAAGATTCACCACGGCCTTCCTAATTTCACTGAAATGTATTCACAGCACTCCCTCAACGACACCAGAAACATTTTAAAGATCTAATAATCAACACTAATCTCGGTATCGCTGTGGAGTAAACACATCCCTCTTTGGGCGTTTGCTCGACTTGTGACTGTGTGATCGTGAACGAGTGAGTCCATGCCTGCTGCCTAGGAATGCTGCCAGCCGTGTGCCAGGTTGGTGTGATGAATGACCGTCTTGCTGCTGGGGTGACGGTGAGTGTGAAGACAATACCTGGTGATATTGAAACATTGAATAAACCATACAAAGCATACATGGAAAGAGAAGAAGGACGTAGAGCACGAGGTAGACCAAGAACATCATGGAAGGATAACATCAGAGAAACTCTACAACAGCACGATGTGCCTATGGTCGAGGCGGCCAGAAGAGCTAGAAACAGAACATTATATCTCCCTCGACACCCACAGCAGTAAAAGAGGAAGTGAAGAAGAAGAAGAAAAAGAATAAACTGTAAGAGATATTAACAGTTTTAGATTCTTTTTCCCCCACTTCGCTATCTCTCTCTTTCTCTCTCTCTACATCTCTTAATTTGTTGGTAAAACTCCTGTGAGGTTTGAGGTTTTGAACAACGAATCAACATCATGGCACACGGGTGTAACCCATAAGTGCTCCATTCTTCTTCTAATTCAAGTCTGAGTTCGAAAAAAGCTCAGCAAAGTGTGAACACTCCTCTAGTCTCTTCAACTCTTCCATCTTCGGCCTTTCTTCCACCATCTTTCCCTTCTCTACCTCATTTCTGCCCCCTTCTCTCTTTCTCGATTCTTTGTCTCTCTCCTTTTACCTCATCACCTCTCTCCCACTCCTTCTCCCTCCTCCCCCCCCACTCGATGGCAGCCTTCTCCCTTTTCTCTCTCTCTTCCCCCCAACCCAAAACATCCCAATTCTCTCCATCTCTGCCTTCTATGGGTCTCTCACTCATTTCTCTCTTCCCCTTGATCAACCCTCTCTGCCCGTGCCTTTCTCTGATCTTCCCTTGTCCCTTATGGTTTTCTGGCTACAAGGAATGGTCGACAGGGAAACTAAGCCATTAACACTGCCACAAATACACCAGACCATAAATATAACAGAACGCTGTTTGCAATAAGTTGGATGTTGTCTACTTTTTTCCGCCATACAACTTAAATTGGAAGCGCCACAAACTGTGAAGAAACAAAGAAGTTGCTGTGAAAAAGTTATCAGCAGCCTGTGTTCAATACTCCCAGACAGGCATTCATTATTTTTCTAATCAACACAGCGAGACCGAAAACCCTAGTGTCTTTGAGTTAGACTAGAGAAAGTCAAAGGCTAGAGAAGGCACACCCCAAAAAAAAATGTAATTTACAGAAGAAGTCGCTGTGATAAAGTGATCAGTAGACCACGTTCAACAGTCCAAGAGAGGCATTACTTTCCCAGGCAGTACAGCTACAGGCTCAAACCCGGCTAAGTGGGAATGAATGAGCAGATTGGCTTGCTGACAGGGCCACGGTATCTGGTATCTGACAAGGCCACGGTATGTACACGAAAAGCAATGGACCAGGTTAACATTCTCAATGTTCTCAATGAGGCAGGATCAGAAGGTGACTCAGGAGACGACCTTGAATCGGCAACACTCAAAAGGTTATAAAGAACTTCAGGTCAAAAGAGGTGTCGCCAAACATGAACACTTTACAAGTAGCCAAAGAAGAATAGTGAACCAACACAGAACTGCTGTTAGCAGTTGCCACACGCTGAGGGATATAATAAAGATGGGATCTGGGTGCTTACGCACTTGTCCGATGTGCAATAAGGATAATCTGTCAACATATAAAAATAAGTTTAAAAATTTTTTTTTTTCCTAAAGTCAAGTACCCTTTCTATGCCAGTGGCATACCGGGCATACGATGTTAGACTCATACATTTTTATGTCACAGGCCAATCGATAGGCCAGTGGTTGCCTTTACTTCCTAGGATTTCACTTCATGCGGAATCAAACCCAGGCGCTTAGCTGATACGCCAATGCAGCTCCCATAAAGAACAGTATTGTCTGGGATGAACAAGTTAGCTGCGTATCCTTTGCAGGATACTGCAGAAACACCACTTTTTGTGTGTGAGTGTGTGTGGCTGTTTCACGTTATGTTAGGACAAGTACAGAAATTTCATTATCAAGGCACATGGATAACATTCAACGAAAGATGCATCACAGAGATAACGAGCAGAACAGTACAGGCCAAAAATAAATTTTATCAAATGAACATTTTGAGCAATAAATCCATGTCAGTGGAGGTTAGGAAAAGAATTCTTGCATGCTATATTTAGGATAGGCCCCTTTCCGTCTTTCCAGACCAGTGTTACATTGCACTATCAGAAGGCACGAGACTCATAGACTATGGCGAGGGTGAGTGTGACCAGCGAGACCTGCATGCTTCCGCAATTAGAGCATGGGATTTCAGGACCACTGTTGTCAACATTTAATGCGTTTCTCCTCAGACGCTCAGGTCTCATCTTTTCCGCAATCAATTCTTTCTTCACTCTCATTCCCTTCCTGTGTCCCCTCTAAACAATGTGGTCCATGGCATTGTGTTCCCACAAATCCTCCTCAATACCTTATCTTTCATTTCCTACTTGCACCATCTTTATATCACAGCAGCGGTCAGCCTCAACATCTTTAACTTATCTGTAATTTGCCATACAGGATGTCCTCAGGGACTCTACCATCCTCCATTCTCCAGATATGACCCAACACCTGAGCCTTTGAAGACTGAGCATTGAGAAAATGGTGCTTTAATAATATCCTACCCCAAACAGAGGGAAATCCACAGGTCATGGGTCACTCTAATATTTCAGGGGGTGGTAGATAGGCTGCATGCAGTTGTGGGACCTAGGCTGCATGCAGTCGTGGAACCTAGGCTGCACTCTCTCATGGGACGTAGGTGGGTTGGTGCTAGGGTCAGTTCTATATGTTTCGGGGTCGTTAAAAGCATAAGAAAGCCGGGAAACCCAGTCTTACCACCCTCTAAAATGTTGGACTGTCCTGTGACATCATCTGGGGTAGGATATTAATAAAGCACCGAGAAAACTGTTGTAATACCTGCCATCTCCAATATCTCAGTAGATAAGGACAAACAGTGACAAACAACCACACACCTTCTCAGTCCTCTGACTGTCTGCATTCAGATACTCAAGACCGGAATTATCTCCCATCTTCCTCTCATATCCACCAAAAGTCAGCGATGATGACGATGATGTCACTGATGAAGATAATGATTGTCCGTCTGCTGCCATCTTAGATACAGGCACATCATCCTCTACTTTAACGTCTATGTCAGATAGCACTTTGAATTTCTTTGGTGGTAAAGGCCATCCAGTGCTTCTGACGGCAGAGCCTCTAAGTTTGGCCGATCTGCCTTCCTTGGAAACCACCCTTTTGCCCTCAACTGGGCTGATACGAGATGCTGGCTTCTCATCCAGGTTCACATCGCTGATGTCGGCTGGTTGGCTGGGCTGGGTGTCAGCTTTTGTTCGTTTCACAGAGCTGCCTGGTTTGACCCTTGGCTGTGGGTGGAAGAAGGTTAAAGTAAAGCATTTTGCTGTGGTGAAGGTGGCTTTAGTAGTAATGTAGTAATAGTGGGGCAGGGTAGTGGTGTTATAAGTGTCATCAGTAGTCATAACAGCAGTTAAAATATAGAAAAGGTAGTAGAAGTGTTTGAATAAAAAGAAGAAAGAGAAAAAAGAAGAAAGGGAAAAAAAAAAAAAAAAAATTGTAGTAGTAGTAGCAGCAGCAGTAGTAATATTAGTAGTAATGGTAGTTATAACAGTTAATTTTTATTCAATGGAGCAATATCATGGCACAAGGGTGCAACCCATAAGTGCTCTGTTCTACTTTTAACTCAAGCCTCAGTCTAAAGAATCTCAACGCAGTACATAAACTTCATTGCATCAGCGAGTATCCCGAAATACTTTGGGTAGATTTTTAACTACAATTTTTACCCGGGTAGCGCCTTTAGGCTACTATTTTTGATTTCAAACTGTGAAGGGATTTTTTTAACGTGCGCAACAATACATACGGGCGTCCGATCTCACCACAGTTTTGCTTCTGATCAAATTTTTCTAGGAAAAAACATATTGTTTTCTGTTTTCGATTAATGAACAGTCAATCCCGAAACCATGCATTGCACAGAATGAGACTCCAGAATAAGAGTAACTTTCACTTAGTGCAGATTACTGCTCGAATGTGTAGTATTTCTTCATGATTTTTGTTGATAATACTCCATCTCACCATAAAGGCTTAGCTTATGAGCTGGTGAAGAAATGTGATTTTTATCATTGCAAAGTTGCACAATTAACACTGAGAATTCTGGGAAAAAAATAACGTCAACTTTATCTTCTTCTTCACTTCCTCTTTTACCACTTCAGGTGTCGAGGGAGATATAAGATTCTGTTTCTTGCTTTTCTAGCCACTCTGACCATAGACACATCATGCTATTGAAAAGTTTTTCTGATGTTATCTTCCGACCTTGTTCTTGGTCGACCTTGTGCTCTATGTCCTTCTCTCTTTTGGTGTGTGCCTTATACGGTACAGTATCGCAAGTGGGCAAACCACGAACTGCTGACGTTTTAAACAATTTAGAATTGTGAACACTGAGTTCTGCATACAAATGACCAAGTGGTCAGTGATTCCTTCAGGCGACTATTACATGAAAAATGAAAACTGAATCTTCTACAAAACTGACCCACAGACAAATCATGCCTTTAGCCAACCTGTAATGGAAAAATGAGATCTTGCAAAGAATTATTTTTCTTCTTTTTCATGTTCACAGACTGTAAACTTAATTTGCCTTTTGTATCTGCTTTTGTACTTGCTAAAATATTTGGAAGACCAAGAAAACACACAGAGAAGGGAGCTAAAGAATGACGTTTAAAAGATGGACAGGGCACGAGGAGAACTGCATGTGATAGCGAAGGCTAGAACATCTGATACCTACAGACGAATCGTACATTTAGCTGACCTGTCATGGAAAACTGACATCCTGTAAAGAAATCGGTGCAAACAGGGGAAATCCACATGTCACGTGACAGTCCAATATTTCAGGCGGTTGGCAGATAGGCTGCATGCAGTAGTAGGACCTAGGTTGCACTCTCTGCTGGAATGTAGGTGGGTTGAGGTTAGGGCCAGTTCTAGATGTTTTGGGGTCGGTAAAAGCATCAGAAAGCTGGGAAACTCAGTCTTAACAACTGTCTAAAATGCTGGACTGTCCTGTGACGTCATCTGAGGGTAAGATTTAAATAAAGCACCAAGAAATCTTGTTCTTCTTCTTCATGTTCACCAGCTGTAAACTCTGGCAGAAACTTCTGATTGTTAGTTCACTTCTGGACTTGTCTTATGCTAGTAGTTGAGCTTTGTGTGCACATCTGTTTTACAGATCTGGCTTATTTGTATGCAGACTGTTTGTTGGTACCTCACCCCTCAGACAGATGCAACTGACTTTGAAGGAAACACCCCTAATTAGTCTACTTTTGCAACATGCTTGTTAGAGAAGCAGTGGGTCTATTCCTTTTTTATCACCCACAAGAAGACCCCAGAACCCACAGGGGGGATGTACAGAAATGACCCAGAAGTGAATCCTACCTTCAGCTGACCTTGTTTGCCTTCGTTACAACACCTGGAGCACTCCCAGCTGTTGGGCAGGTCCTCGCTGATGACGCCTTCATTGTCCAGATTCTCGTACCTGTGGATTGAATACAATGTGCTCCCGGTACAATTCATCATCTGCCTCGCTGTTGTGGATGGTATACTTCGTCTTCTTATAGTCCATGTGGTGTGGTGTTTGTAGTCATGTCTATCCACAACCTTCTGTCTTATTATGCACTTTCAATCAATTCTGACAAATGATTTTCATGGACCATGTCGTGTGACACTAGTAGTCATATCTGTCCCCAACCTTCTGTTTCAAGTAGTTTCAGTCAACTCTGATACCATTGATCTCGCATACCATTTGGCATTGGTAGTTATGTCATCCCCAACCTTCTGTCTCGTGTAGTTTCAGTCAACTCTGATACCATTGATCTCGCATACCATTTGGCATTGGTAGTTATGTCATCCCCAACCTTCTGTCTCGTGTAGTTTCAGTCAACTCTGATACCATTGATCTCACATACCATTTGGCATTGGTAGTTATGTCATCCCCAACCTTCTGTCTCGTGTAGTTTCAGTCAACTCTGATACCATTGATCTCGCATACCATTTGGCATTGGTAGTTATGTCATCCCCAACCTTCTGTCTTGTGTAGTTTCAGTTAACTCTGACACAGATGATTTTCCATGCCATGATGTCAAAATGTCCACCATTTACTCTCTTGGTCTCCCTTTGCCTCTTTTCCCCTCCAATCATCCCATTCCATCATCACGATGTACTCCAGTTTTCTCCTTTTCAGGACACAACCAAAGAATCAGTTCTCTTCACTTACTAGGGAAGAAACCCAAGTCTCCAACCAATTCTTAACAAACATCAAATCATAAAATCTGTCATTCTATTCTTCTTTTGCTCTCCATTTCTTACGGAAGCACAGGCTTTCAACCAACTTTTGCCAAGTCATTCGCAAACTTGTTCATTATCAACCCTTTTGCCACGTGATTGCTTAAATAATAAAATAATTTTTTTAAAACGTGGTTCATGAACCAGTATAAATTTCTGGAGAAAAAAAAAATCATTTAAAAAAAACAGTCATAATATAAAAGTCACTGACAAATAAATATATAAATGGAATAAATTCCATAGGGTATAAAAAAAAATGAATTGGATGACTCATATCACCAAGGCTTATGGGAAAATTTGACATGAAACTGGCTTTCAAAAATCCATTCAGGTCTTAAGGGCCCCCCTCCTCCTTCCGTTTTTTTTCAAATGCTATTTTTAGCAACAATATTCATATCCTGGCATATCAAAAACTGCAAACATGGTCATAAAAAGCAGCATTTACAGAGACATTGTGCAACTGGAAGCGGTTACATTTAGGCTTTTTGCGGGCAAAAGGTTAAACCTCTGTCCCCAATTATCTTCAGCTTCTTCTTCTTCTTTTCTTTGATTTTTTTCTTTTTTTCCCCTTTTACTTTTAAATTCTGTGATTGCTTTGTGGGTTCAAATGCAAGAACATTATAGATGTACTATTATCAGGTTTTCCTTTAGACTTACGCGACAGGGTTAACTGGATTTTGCAGCAAACAGTTTTCTACTGGATGAGCTGGTCTTATACATGGATAGATCAATATGGCAGACAGACTGGTTTCCAGTTTTTAGTCGTGGCAAGTTTGTGCTTTCGACAACAGTCGGCCGTTGCATTTTCCTCCACATACACAGTGAAAGCATACAGTTCTACTGATCAGCTACTGAGATAAGTGCATGGTGTGACCGTGAACGACATATTTAATTAGAGAGGCTTTTTTTCTTTCAACTGTGGTTTGTTTTGTGACCTGCAAATTCAGAAAATGGCGAGTGACCTGTTGCCAGAGATATCTGACGGTACTTTATGTGATTTAACAGAGTATTAAACTACTGATCTGTTGTAACTGCTGCTTTCATCCATGGTAAACTGCATTTCTAGTGTTGGACACTCGTGTCCTTCCTCTCTGGGTCACTTCCTGTTCAGTATCTAACCCCTGCAAGACAAGTCTCCATTGTTCTAGTAAGAGTGGAGATTTGTACCATTTACCAGCCCTAATGATAAGTTAAAAAAGTTACTAAGTTAGTAGCGTTTCCTTTACAAGATGTTGCAGAACCAACCCCAGCATTCCTTGGCTGTTGTGGTTTTTCTAGGCACATTTACGTCAAGTTGTTTGCAGCTGTTTTATGGACAGTCAGCTTCTTTTGAAACCAATGCAAGGTGCAAGGCCCGGAGTTGGGATCGAACCCAGATTCCTGGCATTACAAAGCCACAGATGCTGACCCCTCATTATAAGGCTAAGTAACTATGTATTCTTGTCTGCATCTGCATAATTGTCTGTCTGTGTCAAATGCTGTCAAGTTAAACATTTTACTTGTTGTTTTAGCTGACTTTTAAAAAAAAAATCTATTTTAGCAGAACTGATACCTACTTTTTCTGCAGGCAAGATGGATGCACAATTTCCCAACAGATTCCACATTCCATCAAGGACAAAGAAATATCATCTGGATTATCCTCGTTGGATTGTCCCTCTTGATTGCAAATCATACATACCGATGTGCTGGGTAGTGTTGGCTGTGGAGAAGGTAAATATACAGAGTAATATCAATCCAGATAAACATAGATTCTTCTTCTTTCTTCTTCTTCACCTTTCTAACCCCCCAATGGACCATAGGTCCTCAACCAACTCACGCTGAGTCGTTCTATCCTTCGCTTTCGCATGCAGCTCTCCTCGCGCCCTCCCCATCTTTTAAACGTTACTCTTCAGCTCCCTTCTCCGTGTGTTTTTTGGTCTTCCAAACATATTAGCAAATACAAAAGCAGATACAATAGGCAAATTAAGGCTAAAGATTAAAGACGAAAGAATTGACTGATTGCACCAGGTTTGATCTCACTTCAACAAGAGATAATTATAGGGAAATGTTACTTGTTTGTCAAGACATTTTTGTCATGATTCCTTAACTAAGTCCCAAGGAACGCATCATACGTTCACAGGTTCCTACCCAGAAGCCCAGTAAACGCAAGATGCGCTGATTTTGCGGCTCTCTTTTATCACCCCTTGAGCTTCTGATGCTAAACCCCCTGGACTGAAATAGTTAAGCAAACAGTAAAGGGCGGCTAGTTGCGGGTTTGCTGAAACCAGATGTGTTGTGCCGAAAGTTATAGATACTGCTCCCTAGCCGTGAACCATAACATCAAATGCCAACCACAGGGATGGACCAGCACGAAGGTGGGGGACAGAACATAAGAGACGCTCTGGACAGGAATGTTCCCACGTGTGGGTTCTTGTGCCTGCATTGGGTGGGGAGGGGGAAGAAGGGGGATTTAGGGGAGAGGGAGGTGTGGAACACCAACTTAGCCCCTAACAAGCATGTCATAAAAGTCAACTAATTAGGGGTGTTTACTTCGAAGTCGGGGTGCATCTGCCTGAGAGGTGAGGAACCAACAGTCTGCTAACAAATAAACCAGATTTGTAAAATGGATGTGCATGCAAAGTCTGGAACAAGACTAAAATCCAGAAGTGGATGAACAACCAGAACATTCCACTGGAATGCTGTGAAGGCAAAAAAGAACAAAGACAGAAAAGTGCCTGAGGTGGGAGAGCTGGTAAAGGAAGGTATTTTTGTAGTGGGAAGGATATTCTTTAAACCACAGCTACTTGATGATGATGATTGAAACTGACAGAAGGGCACAGACAATGTAGCAACATTAATCAGATATAGCTAAACCTACATCATAAAGCAAGCTGAGGACAGGCATGCTTCGTGCAGAGTGGCATGCTTCGCTTCAGAGGTCAAGGTGAAGGGTAGTGTCTGGATTTTTTCTCCGGTATGCCAGTGTGTTGGGAAATGAACAGGCAGGCAGACTGGCTGGCTCTGCACAACTTTGTGGAATACTGATGCATGAAAAAGTAGACCTGGTTAAGGCCTTATGGGAGCATGTGTACAATTTAGAACAGAAAATTGATCATCAGTCTGGGGAGAGACGCAACAAGGAGTGACTAGGAGATCTGACCGATACTCGACGCCTAGAGGAAAGGAAGGAGGGACAGATTATCAAACTGCTACTGGCACCTTTGTTGTTGGAACTCTGCACTGGCTGGTGAATATGGGGATGGAGCGCTTATGGAAATGCCAGGAGTGCTGTGATGTCGGTTTTAGAATCAACTAAGCTCATCATAATGCATTAAGTATGTAAGTGGCAGAAAACCGCAAAGTCTGCAAACAAATAAGCCAGATCTGTAGAAAGAATGTTCACATGAAACCCAAGTTCTGGATCAAGACCAAATTACAGGAGTGGATGAACAACCAGAACTGTTTGCTAGAGTTACAGCCAGTGAGCGCTAAGAAGAACAAAAGAATTCAGCAGGTAAAGAACCTTTTTTTACGCCCGTGGCACATCAAGTATATGATGCTAAGGTTGGTTAGTTGCGTCTCCTCTACAGGACGTGGCAGAACCAACCCCAACAGCCCCTGGCTGTTGTGTGGTTTTTCTAGGCAAATTTACGTCCAGTAGTTTGCCATTGCTTTCTCGACGGTCGGCTTTCTTGATACCACTGTCGAAACCAACATAAGGCGCATGGTCCGCAGCTGGGATCGAACCCGGCATCCTGGCATTATGAAGCGTTCGCAACGACTTAGCCACAGAGCCGACATGTTATGTTAATCCCACATTTTGATAGACCAGTTGGCATTCGATGGGTGATGGGGTCAGCTGGGTGATGGGGTCAGCTGGGTGATAGGGGTCAGCATCACCCCAGCTTTTATTTCCCAGGACTTTACCTGGTACCCATTTTAGGCTGAGTCGACCTGGGAGTCAAAGTAATTTCTGGTAAAACAAAAAATCCTGACTCAATGCAGATTCAAACTTAGGACCTTCAGGCCAGAGGTGAGCATCTAGCCATTACACTACCACGGCTCCACAATATACAACCATTTCATATTTCATTTGTGTTTGTTAGTTAATGCTATGCTGTTTAAGTCATCATGTCTTCCCACAGCCTTATCTCTCATACACTTCCAATTACTGCTGAATCATCTAGTAAGTGATGCACAACTAAAACTTTATAATTCTTCTTCTTCTTAACGTCCTCTCTTTCTGCTTTATCGGGTGTCAAGGGAGATATAAGGTCATGCTTTGAGCTCTTCTGGCTGCTTCAACCACAGACACATTGTGGTGCAGAGTTTCTCTGATGCTATCTTCCCATCTTGTTCTTGGTCTACCTCTTGCTCTACGTCCTTCTCCTCTTTTGATATATACCTTGTATGGTACAGCATCAGAAGGCATTCTCTCCAAGTGAGCAAACCATTTGTTTTGCTGTCTCTGTATGTAATTCAGAATTGGTTCTGTGCCGACTTTATCTCGTATGACCTCATTCTTGATTTTATCTCTTCTGGTCACTCCTAGTCTTTCTAAGACACTGCATGTTCATGATTACTAATTTTTATTATGTTTTGTTGTGAGTGACCACAAAGATAATAAAGCAACAACAACAAATACTCACAGCCATACACTGTCGACTGAAACACGTCTGCTTCATCCGTCCAGGACCTCCAAACTTCTTCATATCCCTGCAGAAGGTACACTCTCCACATTCGGTTCTAGTGCAGGCTTCACACTTCTTACATCTGGTTCTCCGTTTCCGAACAGACGAGGAGGAGACTGATCCCTTGAGCACTTTACTGGTTTTATAGCCAAGCTTCAGTTTCTGGGTCTTCTTCTGTAGTTGGTAAAATAAAAATAATCATCTACTATAATCCTCCGCAAGAAAAGAATATTTTTCGGTTCTTTATTAATATCCTATCCCAAATGATGTCACAGGACAGTCCAACATTTTAGAGTGTGGTAAGAATGGTTTACCGGCTTTCTGATGCTTTTAACGACCCCAAAACATTTAGAACTAGCCCTAACCCTGACCCACCTATGTCCCACGAAAGAGCGCAGCCTAGGTATAACAAATGCTTGAAGTCTAGGTCCCACGACTGCAAGCAGCTTATCTACCACCCCCTGAAATATTAGACTGTCCCTTGACCTGTGGATTTCCCGTTTGGGGTAGGATATTAATGAAGCACCTCTTTTTCTAATAATTTTCCTATCATCTGACACAAAGAAAGGCAACTATGTCTACCAAGGCAAATATAAGAATATCTGGGAAAAAGGGGAGGGGGGCGCAATTTTATGCTACCAGTGTCAACCATGGACCCCCTCTACAACTAACCTCTCTACAACAACCTCTCTACAACAACCTCTCTACAACAACCTCTCTACAACAACCTCTCTACAACTAACCTCTCTACAACAACCTATCTACAACTAATGTGCAGAAAACAAAAAACAGAGATCAGATGTCTTGGGAAAAGAGATAGTGGTACCTCGGTAAAATGTCTGCTTTGATATACGTTCAACTTCGTATTCATCCTGTTTAGACGCTAAAACTCTTGTTTGGTAAATGACTATGGAATATTAACTTGTATGAGTCAAAATTAGTCACGACATCGTACGTTATCTTTGTTTACCTCCCTTGAGACAAACCCACAGACAGATGTCAATGATTTTGTAAAAATATACCACCCCCAACAAAGCCCAGACAAGCCAAAATGACCAGACAGTGTCACATGTCTGAAACATACTGAGGAAAAGACAAAAGCAATATTATCTGACCATATTAATATTTTTTTTTTTGGTAAAAGTAAAAAATGATGAGCCATAATCAGGTTCCAGTAGTGAAGGGAGAGAGAGAGAGAGAGAGAGAGAGAGAGAGAGAGAGAGAGAGAGAGAGAGAGAGAGAGAGAGAGAGAGAGAGAGAGAGAGAAGAAAAAACAAAATAAAAGAAAAAGAAAATACACCAGAATTTCAGATTAATTATTTTTTTTTAAGGGGAGTGTCCTTCCAGACAATAACATCTCCTCCTTCCACTTTCCCAGCACCATCCTATAAGGCGCTTAACTCTTCCCAAGAAAGTAAATTTTTATTTATTTTTATATAATTGCTTCTGAATTTATATATTTTAGTATTAGACACTATATAAGTTATTGTATATAACACAATATGTACAATATGCCAATAATAATACATTTCTGAAATATTAATATATATATATATTAAACAATTTCTTTCAAATAGATGAAGAGGGTAGTCAATAAATGGAATACATTTAGGCTCTGGAGCACACAAACAGCATGTATGGGTGACTTTGTTTGTTTTTTTAGTATCCAGAAGCCATGAGTTCTTAACCCTTAGACTCGGTATTATGGATATCGCAACCTTTCTGCCTTGATTCCACTGTAAATACCGTAAATCTGGGAGAAATGTGGCTTTCCTGTCTACCCCCGGGAGTGAACCCGGGACCCGGACCACAAGTCTCAGGCTGTGACCCCTGACCCCTATCACTGAGGCTTATGGAAAAATCTTACCTTAACTTGGCTTTAAAAAAAAAGGCTATCTGGCTATTTTTAGTTAATGCATTTATTTTCTAATCTCTAAAGGTACGAAAACAACCAATAGCATTAACTAAGCATCTCGGAAACAGGTTATATAAAAAAGTTGGAAAAGTGACATTCACAGGGGGCTGCATCCAACAAGAAATGCTGGTGTTGTGGTTTCACAGGGAGACAGGGTTTAGACATTTTACATCTTCATGGAAGAACAGGGGCCAGTGCCACCCGTGGAGCGCTGAACCACAGAAACAGGCTAGGAGCCATGGTGGTGCAGTATCTGGATACTTTGCTGACCTAAAGGTTTTGGTTCAAATCCACACTCGGGCTAATTTTGTAAACTAACATGGATCCAGAACTGACCAGGCCTAAAATGAGGATCATAAAATGTTCTAAAACCAGGAAGGCTAACCTAGAAAACAAATGCCCGATTGGTGAATAAAAATGTTGTGACTAGCCATGTATGCCTGTTGTGCAAATAGCATCTTCTTCTTCTTCTTCTTTGCGTTCAGTTTTGTAAGCTCAGATCAGACCATCAGGCGGGTTGCCTCTATGAACTTGCATGTCAGCAGCAGGTCCTTCATGGTTCCCCATAGCTTGCTCTGCACACTTTGCTTTTGAGGCCAGGTTTCTTTTCGAAGTTGTAGTTGGTAGAGTGGGCAGGTCTGCCGAATTTGCTTAGGTGTTTGTGCTCCTGTTTGACAGACACACTGGGGGGACTGTACAATCTTTATTTTATGCACGTGATAGATGCGCCTGCAGTATCCTGTTCGTAGACGGAAAATTGTTGTATGTTGCTTTCTGTTGAGCCTGCAGTGTCCTGTCCGTAGACGGAAAATTGTTGTATGTTGCTTTCTGTTGAGCCTGCAGTGTCCTGTCCGTAGACGGAAAATTGTTGTATGTTGCTTTCTGTTGAGCCTGCAGTGTCCTGTCCGTAGATGGAAAATTGTTGTATGTTGCTTTCTGTTGAGCCTGCAGTGTCCTGTCCGTAGACGGAAAATTGTTGTATGTTGCTTTCTGTTTGAGCCTGCAGTGTCCTGTCCGTAGACGGAAAATCTTGCTTTCTGTTGAGCCTGCAGTGTCCTGATAGGGAAAATTGTTGTATGTTGCTTTCTGTTGAGCCTGCAGTGTCCTGTCCGTAGACGGAAAATTGTTGTATGTTGCTTTCTGTCGAGTCTGCTGATAAGGTCTTGTGCTTGTTTACTGTTGGTTTGTTCTGTCTACAATAACTTGTATTTTCCTGCATAAAAAGGGAGGAAGCAAACACTGACCCCAAGACCAACTATTACATTTTTCTTAAAGTCCATGCCCTGAGGCGTTGGTAGTCACGTCTATCCACAACCTTCTGTCTCGTGTATTTTCAATCAATTCTGATACAGATGATCCTCCATACCATGATGTCAAACTGTCCAGCAAATTTTCTATCGGTCTCCCTCTGCCTCACTTCCTCCCCCCCCCCCCCGTGTGGGTTCCGGGGCCCCATTGTGGGGAAAACAAGAATAGACCCACTGCTCCCCAAAAGCATGTCGTAAAGTCGACTAATTGGGGAGCTTCCTTTGAAGTCGGAGTGCATCTGCTCAACAGTGTGTATTCAATTGAGAATGAGATCTGTAAAAACTGATGCACCTCAACACTCAGATTCTGGAGCAGGACTGCAGTTCAGTAGTGGACGAGCAACCAGAACCTTCCGCCAGAGTGTACAGCTGGTGAACGCGAAGAAGAAGAAGAAGAAGACTTCCTCTCCAACTATTCTACTGTCATGATGTACTCCAGGTTTCTCCTTCTCATCACTTCTAATCTTAGCTGCATCTTTAAAATATGACCAGTATTGTGCAGTGTTACAGTATTTTGATTCCTCTGACAGGACTCATCACAGCAGATAAAATTTTTACTACAAGAGTAGCCTCACCTTTGTCGATTCTGGCCAACCAATCACGGGTTCTCCGGTGACTGCTAGATCCTGGTCATCATTTTTATGATCTTCAAGAACTTGCTGAAATTTGAGACATAAATTTAAAAAAAAAAAAAAAAAGACTAAAACCAGTCATACAATTTATTAAAGAACAACAAATGAGATGGTATGGCACCTGACAGGAATGCCTTGGCACCAGCTGCCATACTGAAGAAATATAATGGACACAGAGCAAGGGAAAGACCACACAAGATATGGAGCAACATCATCAGGAGCAACCTAACAGAAATGAACACCAACTTGTACAATTCACTAAAAAAAGCACACAAATGATCTTTACATTACCCCCCCCCCCCCCCAACACCACAATGAGGTAAATGGTGGAAGAGAAGAAGAAAAATCTGTTTAATAGATAAATCTTTTCATAGATAAATCTTTTTATACATAAATCTTTTCATAGATAAATCTTTTTATAGATAAATCATTACTTGATAGGTGAGATGGTCAACACCACACCAGCCGTCTTTGCTTCTGATAAGATTCCTAAGTGGTACCGCGGTATACATCTGCTCTGGTATAAGTCCAACTTTGTATGCATCCAGTTAAGATGCAAAAAATGTTGCTTGGTATATGACCCTTGTTTAGAACATGACTCGTGTACTAGAACTTGAATGAGTCGCAACGACTCACTACACCATGCACTACCCTTGTTTACCTTTTCATTAACCAAGGAAATGTTTGCCAGATGAACGGATGTCAAAGATTTGGCAGAGAAAATATTACCCCAACAAAGCTCAAACAATCCCTAATGCCGTTATCTGGTCTGACTAGAAAAAGTCACATTTCTTAAACATCCTGAGGAGGCAGAAGCAAAGGTTTTTGGACAGATTTTTAGTTAACCATGGTTAACCTCGGAAGTGGCCATGGTCTAGTGGTTAGACGCTCCCCTGCGGATGCGAACGTCATAGGTTCGCTCCCTGGCAGAGCCGGACTATTTTTTTTTCTTGTGAAAAATGACCTTGGCTCCCAGGTCAACCCAGCCTTGAGTGGGTACCAGGTGCAGTCCTGAGAAGTAAAGGCGGCCGGCGGGATGCTGACCACATCACCCATCTTGTGCCGTTGGTCTATAAAATACAGGTCTAGCCCTATATACCCATTACGCCTGAGAAGTGGGTGGAAAAGGGTTAGCCTCAACCAGATCCAAGCAGGGAAAAGAGACCCAAAAAAAAAAAAATCTGATTCCTGAAGTTTTACTGAAAAAGGAATTTCCTGCCAAACAATAACATCTCCTTCCCCTCCCTTTTGAGCACCATCCTAGCAGGCACGTGACTCTTCTCATCAAGGTAAATTCAGGTTTAATTTTCATTTATTTATTTGAATTGCTTTTGCCTCTGTGTACTTTAGAATTAAGTAGTTTTAAAACCATGCAGCAAATTATTTTAGAAACAGAAGATCAGATCGTTTGGTCATTTAGTAAGAATGCAGCCAGAACAACTGCCAACACAGGCGCTACACTTGAACAAATCTGTGAAAGCAAGAGGCAGCCCTAGAAGAGATGGACTGATGACAGTAAAGAGACTGACAGTAAAGAGATTCCACATTGACACAGAATGACACTAGCCAAGGCTGCCCATCAAGCAATGGATTGCAAACTGTTCCTCCCCACAATGCTTAACGAATCAACATTATTTTATACAATTCATCAGTGAATAGTTGGCCAATAACAATAAGAATTGTTTTTATAAGAAAGGATTCATTGTTCTCCCTATATTTCTTATGGGAACATTTGTTTTGTATATGTCTTAGATTAGGATGTGAGCTGGGTTGAGCTGATTCAAGAACCGACACCACAGAACACAGGGCATTCCCATAAGTGCTACTTCCCCATCTTAAACAGCCAGCACAGCGTTCCAATACCCATAGTGCCAGTAGCATCCTTATTATAAGTCCATTCTTGCCTTTCCTCTGAGCGTTGAGTATCGGTTAGATCCCCTCGTCACTTGACACAACATCACTCTCACCAGACTGTGATGATCCATTTGCACCCCCGAACTGTACACGTTCTCCCACAAGGCTATAACCACATCTGCCTTATCATGCATCAATATTTCACTAAGCTGTGCAGAGCCAGCCAATCTGTCCGCCTGTTCCTTTCCCAACACCCTGGAATTTCTTACAGAAAAGATCCAGACAATGCTCCCCACCCATGACCTCCAAAGCGAAGCATGCCACTCTGCACAAAGCACGCCTGTCTTCACCTTCTTCAGTATGCTTTCGGAGTCAGTTACAATCATGACAGATCAGAAAAGATACATAGATTAGGAGGCATACTGATGCACCACTGTGGACATTTGAGTCTGGGTCAACCTGGCAGCCCAAGTCATTTTTATCAGCTCTGTCCGATTCAAAGCCACAACCTTCAGGTCAACAGACAAGCATCTAAACACTGGTCTGCCATGGTGCTCATATCACTGCTGTGTCAGAATTATGAAACTGGATTCACAACATTAGGCCCCCCAACTAATCCCTTGATTTCCCTGAGGACAGCCTCTAGATCCAACATATCTTTGGGCACTCCTCTCTTGTTGACTGGCAAAGTCACACAAAAAACTATTACATCTACTATAATCTACTATCTACTATCTACCCTCAACTAATCCCTTGATTTCCCTGAGGACAGCCTCTAGATCCAACATATCTTTGGGCACTCCTCTCTTGTTGACTGGCAAAGTCAAAAAAAAACTATTACATCTACTATCATCTACTATCTACTATCATCTATTATCTACTATCTACCCTCAACTAATACCTTGATTTCTCTGAGGACACTCTCTGGATCCAACAGATCTTTAGGCCCTCCTCTCTTGTTGACCGACAAAGTCACAAAAAACTATTACATCTACTATCATCTACTATCTATTATCATCTACTATCTACTATCTACCCTCAATTAATACCTTGATTTCCCTGAGGACACCCTCTGGATCCAATAGATCTTTGGGCACTCCTCTCTTGTTGACCGGCAAAGTCAGCAGTTCACTGAGGTACTCCACAAGATGTTTCAGCCCTTGCAGTTCACAGAGAGTGAGATGATTCCACTTCTTGGGAGGCCTTTTGCTCTCCCTAGTACTGCTGCTGCTGGCATCAGACAAGCTTCTCTGGGGTATTCTTGGATGTGTGGGTTGAGTGTCATCTTCGTTGGGAGAGCTGTTTTTAGCTGCATCTATCCGATTAAGTTCAACTGTTGTGTTTTTTGACAGCTTTCTGCTGTCTTCATCTTCCAACTTGATCTAGAAATAAAAGGATACAATTGTCAATGAATGATGTTGGCACTCAAGGGTCTTTGCTTGAAATCTGCACTGTAACAGATGTTTTTATAAATGACCTTGACTCCCAGGTCAACCCAACTAAACATTTTTACCAGGATATGTCATAGGAAGTAACAATTAATATAAGTCAAATAGAAGTAGATGAAGTAGTAGAAGTAGCTGCTGTGACAGTAAAAGAAGTAGCTATTGTGACAGTAGCAGAAGTAGCTCTTGTGATAGTAGCAGACGTAGCTGTTGCAATAGTAGTAGAAGTAACTGGTGTGATAGTAGCAGAAACAGCTGTTGTGACAGTAGCAGACGTAGCTGTTGCAATAGTAGTAGAAGTAACTGGAGTGACAGTAGTAAAAGTAGTGTTGTAATAGTATTAGAAGCAGCTGTTGTGATAGTAGTAATAGTAGCTGTTGTGACAGTAATAATAGTTTTATTAGTAGAAGTAGCTCTTGTGATAGTAGTAGGGGAACACAACAAAAAGAACAAACCCACTACCCCCCTATCAAGCAAGTTAGGGGGTCCTTCGAAGTCGGAGTGCATCTGTCTGAGGGGCAAGGAACCAGCAGTCTGCACACCACTAAGTCAGACCTGTAAAACATACCTGCATGCAACACTCATGTTATGGGACAAGACCAAAGTCCAGACTTGGAAGAACAACCAGAATTTACCGCTGGAGTTTACAGCCAGTGAACACTTAGTAACCACGGAGATAAGGTGTCTGAGAAAGGCTGTAGGAGTGACCAGAAGGGATAAAATCAGGAATGAGGTCATACGAGGTAAAGTCCGCCCAGAACCAATTCTAAATTACATAGAAAGACAGCAAATCAAATGGCTTGCCCACTTGGAGAGAATGCCTTCTGATGCTATACCACTAAAGGCTTATACCAAAAGAAGAGAGGGAGGTAGAGCAAGAGGTAGACCAAGAACTAGATGGAAGGATAACATCAGAGAAATTCTACAGTACCACAATGTGTCTTTATTCGAAGCAGCCAGAAAAGCAGGACCTTATATCTCCCTCATCACCCGAAGCGGTAAAAGAGGACGTAAAGAAGAAGAAGAAGAACACTAAGAAAAAGCAGACTTGATTTTACATTTATGAGGTTGTTTTTTTTTTTTTTAAGTAACCAAGTCTGAGACGCTGTGAATGAAGAAATAAGAGAAATGCCTGGACAACCTCTGATATGAACAGTTAAAAGACAAAGAAGAAAGTGCTATACTGGACACATCTTAAGAAGAAGCAGGCTATGACATCCAAAAGTAAAGTAAGTAAAGGACCTTTTTCCCATGCCCTTCAGGCCTATTGGGCATTTAGGGCTAGACCTATATTTTTTAGACCAAACGGCCCTTGAAGGGTTGGGGGTGGGGAGGGGGTGTTGTGGTCAGCATCACACCAGCCACCTTGACTTCCCAGAACTTTACCTGATACCCACCCAAGGCTGGGTCAACCTGGGAGTCAAGGTGATTTTTTGGAGAAGAAAAAATCAAACCCTCGTCAGGAACCAAAACCCACGACCTTCCAATCCGCAGCCGAGCATCTAGCCACTAGACCGTCGCGACCCATGACATTCAAAAGAAACTCAGATCTAGATTCCATCTATGATATTAAAAAGATTGCACAGGATACAGTTTAAAAAAAAAACTTCTTTTTCTTAAGAGTCCATGCTGTGTGGCGTTGGTAGTCATGTCTATCCACAACTTTCTGTCAAATGTGCTTTTAATCAACTCTGATACAGATGATCCTCCATACCATGATGTCAAGCTGTCCAGCATCTTTTCTCTTAGTCTCCCTCTGCTCCCCTCCAACTTTCCTATCGTCACGATGTACTCCAGTTTTCTCCTTCTCATCACACGACCAAAGAATGCAGACTGTCTCTTTCTGATGTGGGCAATCATTTCTCTATGTGAGTCAGTTTCTTTCAAGACATCCTCATTACTCTTTTTATCTGTCCAGGATATTCTCACCACTTGTCTATTTTAAAAACAATTAAACATAAATCAAACCTTTACCTCCACTTTTTCATCCCCGTGTGATGTTGGTAGTGGTGAAGATATAGTAAAATCCTCATCCACATGAAGAAAGCTGTGATCCTCCTCGTCGTTTTCATCTTTGTCGTAGGCAGCCAGGAAGGTGCGGCCAGTGAGGCAGCTGATGTAGCGATCTACAACATACCACATGATCTCGGAGAAGAATGGGTACCGAAACTTTGAAGGAACCTGCAAGGCAAAGAAAGATTGCAAACACAAATATGAATCTTCCCAACTCAACTCTATTTGAATGCTGGATCAATTATAGAAAAAGTGACCTTCATAACAATATTCTTGAATCTGCATCACGTTAGATGTTTATAAAGGGACTTGGCTGCTATGTCAAATTAATCAGTCGTCCCCATTGTGGGATGCCATTTTTTTGTTATTTAAAGCCCTACCCTGGCTTCTGTCAGGGGTCCTGAATATAGCCGAGGCATAGATATGGCCTAGCCATAGATATGGCCTAACAGCTGAAAGGGGTTTCTGGGACCTCCATCTGCATGGTGGCACTTTGTGTCAATGGGTGTTTATCGCTTGTGTGAAGTCCTGGTGGGGTACAACTACTTACCTACCTATGTCAACCCAGCCTGAGTACCAGAAAAGATCTGGGAAAATAAATGCAGCAAGAACGATTTTAACATGACTCTTGGGTCTAGCACCATATAGCACTTGTTATAATATCACAATAGACCTCACTGCACATTGAGCATTCCCATGCGTGCTCATTCCTCGTATGCAGCAGTCACACCAAGGTGCTTCTACTAACTGTTCCCATTATCCACTAGCCCAGTCCGTACAGCATTCATGATATCTGCTCTGTCCATGCTTCATCTCACATCGCGTTGCTTGCCAGTTGGTCCGCTTGCTCTCATTACCCTTTACACCAGCATGACCAGGTGTGTAGATCCAGGTGAGAGAGGTTAGGTGCGATTTTCAAATGCTTTCTACCTATTCAGAGCACATACCGCTTGTTGCTATCTTCTGAAGCACATTCTTCAAGTCTGATATAATTACTGCATGTGTGGCTATTTGCCTATGCTAGAGCTCTAAAAGCAGCAACTATCTCTGTGGTCATGTTTGACGAGGTTTTCTTGTAAGCGCCACTAAAATAAGTGGATGTAAAGGTTTGATTTTTGTTTTGTTGTTTTTAGTATTGTATCCTGTGCAATGCTTTTTGACAACATATAGCACTGATGGGACTAGCACCTTATAGTACTGATGGGACTAACACCATATAGCACTGATGGGTTTAGCACCATATAGCACTGATGGGTCTAGCACCATACAGCACTGATGGTCAAGCACCATATAGCACTGATGGGTCTAGTACCATATAGCACTGATGGGTCTAGCACCATACAGCACTGATGAGCCTAGCATCTTGTAGCACTGATTGGTCTAGCACCATATAGCACTGACGGGTCTAGCAACATATAGCACTGATAGATCTAACACCATATAGCATTGATGGGTCTAATACCATATAGCACTGATGGGTCTAGCACCATACAGCACTGGTGGGTCTAGCACCTTTTAGTACTGATGGGTCTACCACTATATAGCACTGATGGGTCTACCACCATATAGCACTGATGGGTCTAACACCATATAGCACTGATAGGTCTAGAACTGTATAGCACTGATGGGTCTAGCACTGTATATCACTGATGGGTCTAGCACCATACAGCACTGATGGGTCTAGCACCTTTTAGCACTGACGGTTCTAGCACCTTTTAGTACTGAAGGGTCTAGTACCATATAGCACCAATGCGTCTGACACCATATGCCTGCTTGAACAGAGCCAAATAAAAACCACCAACATCTTCATCATCAAGTTGTCAGTTCAAATCAGGTATTTAATTTTTTCTGATCACAGCACTCCAGTGTCCCCTGTTCTCAGTATCATCATTACGTGTTTAAGCATTCATTTTTTTTTTTTTTAAATTACAATTTTCTAATTAGCTTCTTCTTCATTCACCGGCTGTAAGCTCCAGCAGAAAGTCCTGGTTGTTCGTCCACTTGAACTTTGGCTTTGTGCCAGGGTCTGAGGTTTGTGTGTACATCCATTTTACTGGCTTATTTGTGTGCAGTTGTTGATCCTTGTCGCTCGGGCAGTTGCGCTCTGACTTCAAAGGAAGCCTCCGATCAGTCAACTTATATTATATTCTTGTTAGAGAGGCAGTGGGTCTATTCTTGTCCACACAATGGTGTCCCTGAACCCACATGGGGCTCCCTTATTAGTCAATTCTGTTACTGGGTTGAGCTGAGGTGAGAACCGTCATCACGGCACTCAGGATATTCAAATATGTCTCCACCTTCATCTTCAGCAGCCAGCAAAGAGCTCTAACCGACTGCCATCTGATTGTATGTCCCCTTTGCCTTTTCTCTGAGTGTTTATAGTCTCGGCCAGATCCAATGTGCACACCCATCTGCACCATTCTCTCAAACTCCATAATGATCTATTCATGCTTCCACACTGTTTACCTGCTCTGAAAGATTCTTGACTCCATCTAGCTTGTCATGTCTCAAATCACTATCTAATGGTGTGGAACCAGCCAAATGTGAATACCTCAAGTATAAATAATTCTTTGGGTAAGTTTTGGTAAAGAAGGGAAAACAAAAAGTAGTTATTCATGTAGGAGTTGGTACAGAATAAAAAAAAAAAAAGAATTACTTGTGTAAGTTAAGTAAAGAATTCTTTGCAAAAGTCTTTGTCAAGAATCAGCGAAAAAAAATTAATAATAATGTAAGTTTTGATACAAAATCAACAAAACAGAAAGAATTTCCCCTAAATACATATGTTTTTTTGAATGTGGTGGGCCAAAAGGCACAAATATTGCAGCCTAGCCGTAAACCTTAACACAACATGCCAACAGCCCTTTTGGTTAACACAGAAAAATAAGAAGAATCAACAAATCAGATAGGGCAGTGTTTCCCAAACCTGTCTTAGTCACTGCGCCTTTTCCACGGTGCCCTAACCTCAGTAAAAGTAGGACTATTTGTATGTAAGAGATTTTTTTTTAACTCGTGATACTTTAATCCTGGACAATCGGTAGGCAGGCCAAACAATTTTTAGAGGCCTCAGAGATGTGGTTTTACAGAAGAATGCTTAGAATACCTTGGACAGCCAAAAACAGCAGTCAAGAGGTTTTGAAAGAGGCGGAAGCCTGAAGACAACTTATCACATACATCAGAAGGAGACAGTCTTCATTTTTCGGCCTTGTTATGAGAAGAGGGAAAATAGAACATGTTGTGACCACTGGAAAGATCTGTGGAAGGAGGGATAGAGGAAGACAACAAGAGAAGATGCTTGACAGTCTTGCTGCATGGCATGGAGGTGTGTCGGCACACTAACTGATACATGCTGCAGGAGATCGCAGATTATGGAGAGGCATGATCGCCCACGCCAGTCGGCAAGGCACCTGATGATGATGATGATGATACTTTAAATTTTTGCCGCGGCACACAGTTTAGTAATCACTGACATAGGGAGTTACTCACGTAAGTTTTGTCCTCCACGCGAGAGACCAGCAGCTGGTTGTCAATGTTGAAGCTGTGAAGAAAGTTGCCACCAAACACTAAAGAATCCTTCGGGGTGTACACAGCATGGATCCAGCCTATAAGAACACACAAAGAAATCTGTTATGTCATCCAAGGCTGACGTCACAGCTATCAGGGCATCTATATATGTGCTCAGTTTCAATCGCAGCAATGATGGTGTAGCGGGCTAGACACTCACCTAGTGACCCGAAGGTTGTGGGTTTGAATCTGCATAGAGTCGGATTTTTTTTTCTTTTTAGCGTTCACTAGCTGTAAACTCTGGTGGGAAGTCCTGTATGTTCGCCCACTTTTAGGACCTTATCCTGTTCCAGAAATTAGGTTTTTCATGTAAATCCATTTGTAAATATCTGCTTATATGTGTGCAGAGTGTTGGTTCCTCGCCTCTCAAGCAGATCCACTCGTTCAAAGGAAGCCCCTCTATTTAGTCCCCTTTTACAAAATGCTTGTTGGTGGTGGGGGAGAGGGGGCAGGGGTCTATTATTTTTCCTCAAAAATGGAGAGGAAGAGGAGGAGGAGAAGGAGAAAGAAGAGGAGAGACAGGTAATCCCAGAATGTTCTGGAAAGTAAATGCAGACGAGGTGACACTAACTTCATCACCCATTAAGTGCCAACTGGTATATAAAATGCGGGTCTCGAACCATTTACCAAATATACCCCAAGATTTGAAAAAAACTGGTAATTGACTTCTTCTTCAGCGTTCTCAGCCCTTGAGGTTCAATGTTGCAGATATATCACACCTCCATTCCTCTCAGTGAATGAACTTCCAGCTAAAGACTCCAAGTGTCTGAAGGTTTGCCTTACATTATCTTTCCACAGATCTTCTTGATCTACATCATCTACTCGCAAATCAGCTTCTTTTGTATGCAGTTTTTGTCTCTCTCTGTTATCGTCCATTCTCTGTTTATGTCCCAACCAATGCACTCCGCAGGCCCTAATCATGCAAGTAATTGGTGCTGATAATCTCCTATATTGATTTCTTGGATGTTGTGAGGGCCCTTTGGGAGCGAGTGAACAGTGCCGAGGAACAGATACATCCTTACGGTCTGAGGAGAATTGCACTATGAGGAGTTACATGGGAATCTGGCTGAGGCCCGACACTCAGGGGAAAGGCAGATATATACAATCAGACAGTTACTGGTACCATCGGAATTTTAACACTTTGCTTGCTGCTGAAGATGGAGATGGAGCACTTATGGGGGTTTCCAAAGTGTTGTGATGTTGATTCTTAATTCAACATTGATTTCTTTATGTTTCACTCTATTAGTGTTTCCCTTTATTTTTAAAAGAAAAATGTACATAAAATAAAGTTTGTAAACATCTGTAAATGACCGACTAAGAATGTCGAATTACGAATCAACATCACAGCACTCGGGACACTCCCATAAGTGCTCAGTCACCCATCTTCAGCAGCAAAGCGAAGATTTCCAATTCCGATGGTACCAGTGACCGTCTGATTGTATATCCGTCTCATCCTTTCAGTTAGTTTTTTTTTTATAAAGAATAAATGTGGGTGTAAAGGGAAAAGGGGGGGGGGATATTCAGGTTTTGGCCTTTTTTTCAATCGTTTTCAAAGCAAAGGTTAATGCCAGAAATTGACCACTGAATGAATTAGCAACAACAAATGAAATTTATACAAGATACAAAATTGCTGATATAAACAACTTTTTTCAGACGAACGAAAGAAAAGAAGAAGAAGAAGAATGCCAGAAATCCATCTTTTTCTGAAGCGCCCTATTGCTGTCATCAGTCATTTTTAGATGTGTTTGTTAGTAACCGATACTGCTACATGCTAACAACAAATAGGACTGGGCTGTAAAGGTTAGTCAAAAGGTATTTATGGCTAACAGGAAACTACATCTCTCTCTCTGTGATGCTTAACGCATAAGCAGTAGGACAAAAGACAGGAAACTACATCTCCCTCTGTGACGTTTTAGGCATAAGCAGTAGGACAAAAGACAGGAAACTAGATCTCTCTCTCTGTGACGCTTTAGGCATAAGCAGTAGGACAAAAGACAGGAAACTACATCTCTCTCTCTCTCTGTGACGCTTTAGGCATAAGCAGTAGGACAAAAGACAGGAAACTACATCTCTCTCTCTCTGTGACGCTTTAGGCATAAGCAGTAGGACAAAAGACAGGAAACTACATCTAACTTCTCTCTGTGACACTTTACGGCATAAGCAGTAGGACAAAAGACAGGAAACTACATCTAACTTCTCTCTGTGACACTTTACGGCATAAGCAGTAGGACAAAAGACAGGAAACTAGATCTAACTCCTCTTTGTGATGCTTTACGACATAAGCAGTAGGACAACAGACAGGAAACTACACCTACTCCCTCTATGTGACGCTTTACGCATTACTAGTAGGAAAAAAAGACAGAAAACTACACTTAACTCCTTTCCATGATGCTTCAGAGCATAAGCAGTAGGACAACAGACAGGAAACTATACCTACTCCCTCTATGTGATGCTTTATGACATAAGCAGTAGGACAACAGACAGGAAACTATTTCTACTCCCTCTATGTGATCCTTTATAAGCAGTAGGTACACATAAGCAGTAGGACAACAGACAGGAAACTATTTCTAACTCCTCTCTGTGATGCTTTATATGACATAAGCAGTAGGACAACAGACAGGAAACTACATCTAACTCCCTCTATGTGATCACTTTATGACATAAGCAGTAGGACAACAGACAGGAAACTATTTCTACTCCCTCTATGTGATGCTTTATGACATAAGCAGTAGGACAACAGACAGGAAACTATTTCTACTCCCTCTATGTGATCCTTTATGACATAAGCAGTAGGACAACAGACAGGAAACTATTTCTACTCCCTCTATGTGATCCTTTATGACATAAGCAGTAGGACAACAGACAGGAAACTATTTCTACTCCCTCTATGTGATGCTTTATGACATAAGCAGTAGGACAACAGACAGGAAACTATTTCTACTCCCTCTATGTGATGCTTTATGACATAAGCAGTAGGACAACAGACAGGAAACTATTTCTACTCCCTCTATGTGATCCTTTATGACATAAGCAGTAGGACAACAGACAGGAAACTATTTCTACTCCCTCTATGTGATCCTTTATGACATAAGCAGTAGGACAACAGACAGGAAACTACACTTAACTCCTTGCTGTGCCGCTTTATGGCATAAGCAATAGGACAAAGGAAAGAAAGAAGATGAATAAGCTGAGCAGGAAATTAGGAGAGCTGCATGAGACTGCACATGATAGCATGAACTGGTTCACTTTTATTTATACTCCATCAGAGGCTACAGGGCAGATATAGTCCTCAGACTAACCTGAAGGAATAATGAATGTATACCCTGCGTGGAGAGTCACTCTCTGGCACAGCTCTAAAGCATCCCCCAAAAACATGTCCCCCTGTTTGGCTGACAGAGTCCATTCGATGTATCTGTCGATGTTTTTCTGTGAGGGAGGTGCCAGCCAGAATATCTGTTGATGATAGAATGGACAATCTGTAAGGATTTTTACATCTTAAAATTATCAATGTTTGTTTGTTTTAGTATCTAGAAGCCATGAGTTGTTAACCCTTAGGCTCGGTATTATGGATATCGCAACCTTTCGGCCTTGATTCCATTGTAAATACCGTAAATCTGGGAGAAAATGTGGCTTTCCTGCCTACCCCCAGGATTGAACCCGGACCACAAGGAGTACGTCACCCGGTCTCCGCGAAATCCGGTTTAGCCAATTCCGCTAGAGAGCCGGGCTAAAATTATCAATAGCATCCTGTAGCTTGTCCTCTACAGAATTTTTTAAAAACTGCCATTGACTGCCTTTATTTTAGCACTTTAGCGGTGTAGGCAGGGGGGTCTTCAAGCCTGAGGATTTACGGCAGCATGGCTAGTGTTGTCGCCACAGACTATGTAGGTGAAGATTCGATTTTGCCCCTGACAGAAAAAAAAAATCCCTAGCCTTACCGAGGATTCGAACCTGGGTCTCCTGCTTGAGAGACCTCTACAGAACAGCAGCAGGAAAGTTGGAGGGAAACAGAGGCAGGGAGGAAACCAAAGGAGACGATGTTAAATCAGTGGTTCCAAATTAGATAAGACCCATGGACCCTCTTCTTACTTTTTTTAAGGGCTGTCAAGGACTCCGTATCTTTTAATAGGCATATTTTCCCTGTGTGGGTTTCGGGGGCCCCATTGTGGGGGAAAACAAGAACAGACCCACTGCCTCCCCAACAAGTATGTCGCAAGAGTCGACTAATTGGGAGAGGGCGGGGATGGGGGGGGGGGGGGGCTCCATCCAAATTGGAGTGCATCTGCCTGAGAGACAAGGAATCAACAATCTGCATACAAATAATAAGTCAGATCTGTAAAACGGATGTGCACGCAACACTCAGGTTCTGGAACAAAATTAAATAAAGGCCATTAATGGATGAACAACCAGAAATTTCCGCGAGTTCACACCAGTGAACGCAAAGAAGAAAAAGAAGAATAGACATATTAAAAGAATAGAGAGTAAATATTAAAATCACAACAAAAAAGACAAGCAAACAAACAAGCAACAACAACAACAAAAAAAGTTAAGGGCTGCTATTTTTGTTTTTAAATGATATCACGGCTGTTTCTAAATTTGTTTCATGGAACACCAAATGAGAACCAATGCGTTCGGTGGTTTAGCATCAGCGCTTCTTCAACACTTCTGTATCAGCAGTCTTCTTCTTCTTGTTCTTAGCGCTCATCTGTTGTAGACTAGCAGAAAGTTCTGATTGTTCATCCACTTGTGGACTTTAGTCTTGTTCCATAACTTTTGCGTGCACATCTGTTTTTCAGTTCTGGCTTATTTGTATGCAGACTGTTGGTTCCCAGCCTCTCTCAGGCAGATACACTCTGACTGAGTAGAAAACATCTGCAATCAGTAGCCTTGTCTGGCATGCTTGTTAGGGGGCCGTGGGGGTATCCCCCTCCCTCGCCCCCCAAATGTGGCCTTGAACCTAAACAGAGAGCGCTGGACAGATATGATTATTGGCACCTCACTTCAGCTTTGCTAAATAAACTTTTCTTACTGGGAACCATAAACTGCTGTCCCTAATAGGTGAGACTGAAGCAATTATTCAGGAGCCAAGCAGACAGACAGAGAAAAAGGCAGGTGGGGACACAGAGAGAGACAGAGACATACAGAAGACAGAGATATACACAGAGAGACTAAAGAAAAAGAGACAAAGAAAAATACTATAGATAAAGAAATTAGAGACTTGAGATAAAGAGACCAGAGATAAAGAGATTAGATATAAAGAAACTAGGTACTGTTCAGGTTTTTCACCCCATCATGTCCGGTGTGAGATTTCATTGGGAATTCCCTGACAGTCCTACAATCTAGGGGGGTTAGGTTTAGGGTCAGCCCTAAAATAAGGAAACACAAGACAGGGCAAAACAGAGAGACACAGAGAGAGAGAGAGAGAGAGAGAGAGAGAGAGAGAGAGAGAGAGAGAGAGAGAGAGAGAGAGAGAGAGAGAGAGAGAGAGCAAGAGAGAGAGAGAGCGAGATATGCCCAGACAATGAGAGGACAAAAACAATTACACACTGATAGAGACAGAGAGAGAGAGAGAGATGTCCAGACAATGAGAGAAGGACAGAGAAACAATTATACAAGGAGACAAAGAGAGAGAGAGATGCCCAAACAATGAGAGAAGGACAGAAATAATTACACAAGGGAGGAGAGAGAGAGAGAGAGAGAGAGAGAGAGAGAGAGAGAGAGAGAGAGAGAGAGTGAGAGAGAGAGAGAGAGAGATGCCCAGACAATGAGAGAAGGACAGAGAAACAATCAGACAGAGAAACAATTACACAAGGAAGGAGAAAGAAAGAGAGAAGGACAGAGAAAAGCTGGGAAATTACACAAGGGGAGAGAGAGATAGATAGAGAAAGATAGAGACAGAAAGAGAGAGAGAGAGAGAGAGAGAGAGAGAGAGAGAGAGAGGTAGAGATAAAGAGAGACAGACAGACAGAGATAGAGATGCTCAGACAATGAGAGAAGGATACATACAGAGAAATACAAAGAGATGAAGTATATGAAACAGAATACAAAGAGACGAAGTATATGAAAGAAAATACAAAGAGACGAAGTAGATAAAAGAGACAAAGAAAGACAGAGACAGCGAGAAAGTATGTGTACACAGTTCTAATGCCCACCTTCTCTCCGTGCAATATGTGGTACCATACTGAAGTCCCTCCAAAATCTATGTGAAAATCTGTGTAGCAGCCGGCGACACTCATCAGACAATACCTGTGATGAAACAACACATGACACAGTTATTGTTATTGTTAATTTGCAGGGGGGTAAAATGTTGGCCACATTCAACCCTGCTGAAGACAGCTTTGGTTATGATTATGGTCTGGTTTTATCCGCACCTAGTTCAATTGCTTAAATTATTTGTTATGCTAGTACAGTCGAGTCCACTTAAGTCGAATTTCAGTTAAGTCGACATGACCAGCTTAGTCCCGATAATGTTCTCTATTGTGTGTGCTGTCTGGATAAGTAGAAATCCCGATACCTGGAAGCATTTTTTAGGTCCCTGCGACTTCTACTTATCCAGACTCGACTGTAGTTGTGGCTTGCTGTCCCAAACTGCGTGATGCTGTCATTTCTGAACATGTCTGGGTCCTCTCTTTTGGCCTCACTTTTGGTCATCTTCCTGGCTGTGGTTCCTGTGTCTTGTGAATGACTGTTATTACTGTTCTCCAGGACTGCACCGTATTTGATACATATCCTATGTGGTGGTATTCTTCCTGAGGTACTGTGTCCTGTCATCTGTCCTTGAGGTCCTTGTCCTTGTTTGGTTTTGCATCATCTCCCATTGTGGGAATTCTGATATGGGTATGTCCTGCTGAGACTTCAAGTTGTCCTCTGGTCATACCAAACAAGTACTAAGGCTCATTAGGAAGCCTGCATTTAAAGTCAAGAGGAACGGTTTTATTGCCCTGAGTTCTATCCCATGTGGCTGGGTCTCCCTCTCCACAGAATGGCTAGAAGCCTGCCATGAGGGCTGCACAAAGCATAAACTTTGTAGCTTCAGTCTTCTTCTTCTTCTTCTTCAATCCTTCTGTCAGACAACATATCAGGAGGTCAGTAAGCCTGAGTTGAGTTGAGTTGAGTTGAGTCAAGAATTGACATCACAGCACTCTAGGCATTCCCATGCATGCTCTGTTCTCATCTTCAACAGCCAGCGCAGAGATCCAGTACTGATCATACCGGTCACAATCTGTTCAAATGTCCCTCTTGCCTTTCCTCTGAGTGTAGTGAGCCAGACAGACCCTCTGGTTACACCCAAGTGCCTCACTCTCCCTAGGCCATAATAATCATCTTTCTCTACTGATTCCGTTGCTTGTTCCCAAAGGGCCTTAACCACATCTGCCTTGTCATGTATCAATTCACCAACCTGTAGTCCAGATCCAGACAATCTGTCTGCCTGTTCATTACCCACCACGCTGGCATGGCCAGGAGAAAATATCCAAAGTATGCTCACTACTTGTGACCTTTCCAGTGAAGGTCGCCACTCTGCTCAAAGCATCCCTGTCTTCACTTTTTTTCAGCATGCTTTCAGGGCCTGTTACAATTACGACATGTGTCTGCATCTTGTTCTCTAGCCACTGAAGAGCTGCAGTTACTGCCTCCACTTCCATTCTCATGCTAGATGTTGTGGTGTCATATGCTAGGCTGTCTCGCACTAAATATTTTCCATTGACTTTCGCTACAAACCCCCAGGCACTTCTCTTTCCTCTCAGCACCGAACATTCTGTATAGATAATCAGATCACCTTGGCGTGAATTGTCGTGAATCAACTGGTGGACTTCAACCTCTGTAGCACCCACTTTCTGCACACCCAGCCCAATGTTATCATGACCCTACACAGGTGAGACTTTTCAGCTGGTACTCTGACCCACTCCTCTCCTCGCCCAATGTTCTCCAGCATGCATACTTGTCTTATTGTGTCTTCTGCTTGAGCCATCCACGATTTCCCCCTTTTCAGCCTCTGTCCCTTGCCTGCAGCCAAAGCTTTAAACAGAGGGTGTTCCCTGTCTGCAGCTACTCTGAGGTATGACTTAGCCTGCAGCACCTTTAGCCTATCTGCAATAGTCGGCAATGCTAGGATGTATCACATGCACACAATCAGGGTGTCTCTTGTACAACCCAGGATCAGCCGCATAGCTTCATTCTGTATGCACTCCAGTTTCTCTAGCTGACTCTTCGAGACAGTGAGTAACCCCGATCCTTAATCAATCACTGAGATGATTAAGTGCTGGTAAAGTGTAAAGAGCATTCTCTGCTCCATGTCCATCGCTGCCATAATCTTTAGTGCATTTAGACTTTTTTGGGCCTTTGATACAACCACCTCTGTGTGATCCTTGAAAGACAAGCTTCTGTCAAAGATGATTTCCAGGTACCGCAGTCTGCTGTCTCTTTTGATGTCCCTGCCATTTATTTTAAGTCTGGAAACATCAGCTCTAACAATCCTGTTGTTCCCCGTGTGGGTTCCGGGGCCCCATTGTGGGAAAAACAAGAATAGACCCACTGCCTACCCAAAAGCATGTCGTAAGAGTCGACTAATTGGGGAGCTTCCTTTGAAGTCGGAGTACATCTGCCTGAGGGGCAAGGAACCAACAGTCTGTATTCAAGTGAATCAGATCTGTAAAACTGATGCACACGCAACACTCAAGTTCTGGAGTAGGACTGCAGTTCAGAAGTGGACGAACAGCCAGAACTTTCCGCCAGAGTTTACAGCTGGTGAACGCAAAGAAGAAGAAGAAGAATCCTGTTGTCCAAAGAACACCACAGGACGGTAGCCTTTCTGGGTTGATTACAGCACTCATCTCTGTACACCAATCGATCACCTTATCTACTGTTGCCTGTAACTCATCAGCTATTTGATTCTGATCTCTCCCCTTCTTATATACAAGAACATCATCTGCAAATGTCAATATTCTGCCAACTACAGGTGTTTTCAGGCAGGCAATCTTGCTCGTAAAAACATTGAATAGTGCAGGTGAAATTGCAGATCCCTTTGGCAGTGCTGGAGCCATAATACATGGTTCAGAGGTCAATAAACCCAGTTGGAGAGCTACCCGGCGAGTATACAAAACGGCTGCTATCCAATTCACCAACCAAGAACAGACTCTCTTCTCCATAAACGCTTTCATCAAGATACTGTATCTGACTCTGTTGTAAGCGTCTTCTAAATCAGTGTCTCTATGAGTCAGTCAGCCTTTATGAAAGCTATTTTGCATTCCATATCTTCCTGTGTACCATATAGCTTTGTCTTCACTGGAGTTTGAATAGGCCAGATTGCTTCTCTGCTGACAGCACAGTTTTGTCTTCACTGAGGTTTAAATAAAGCTGCAGAGTGGCAAGCATCATTTAAGAGGTCCCAGGTGGTTAGCATCCGTTGGATATTTTCTCCAGGGTATGCCGGTGTGCTGGGAAATGAGCAGGCAGATAGAGACTGGCTGGCCAGTCTGCAACACTTAGTGGTGAACTGATGTATGACAAGCTGGATATTGTGAGGGCCCTTTGAGAGCAATTGAACAGTGCAGATGCACAAACAGATCCTTACGGTCTGGGGAGAATGGAGGTGCAAGGGGGATCTGGTACTTTACACTAAGGGGAAAAGGTAGGACGGATATGCAATCAGACAGTTATTGGTGCCATTGGAATCGGAACTCTTCTCTTGCTGCTGAAGATAGGGACGGAGCGCTTATGGGGGTGTCCCGAGTGCTGTGGTGTCAATTCTTAATTCAACATTCAATAAACTTACCGTATACTTCTGTGTATAAGTCAAAATGTTTTTCCATATTTTTAAGGTTAAAAGTGGGGTCATTTTATAAATAGAAGGTGTCTGAAATATTTATTTCTTAATTTTGGTTTAAAAAATAGGAGTCTGCATCAAGTTTGATTTTGTACAACTGACCTTGATTTCTTGGTCAACCTAGCCTCAAATTAAGTCCATTAACTCTTTGAGTCTCAGGGGGTTTAGCATCACAGGCCCAAGGGGTAGTCAAGAAAGATGTAAAATTGGCGCATCTTGCGTTCATTGGGCTTCTAGGTAGGAATCTATGAACGTATGACACATTCCTTGGGACTCAAAGAGTAAGCATACTGACCAAGGGAGTCAACACCATTCACAAAGAGGATATCCTAAATAAAATTGTCAATCTTATCATAAGAACTCATCTATCAGTGCAAATCAAGGAGAAATCACAAGAAGAAGAAGAAGAAATAAACACAATGAACACCAAACAGAAAAAAGTCTCACTTCTGCACTTTAGGGTACTTCATCTTCTCAATAACATTGGTGGATTCTGTCTGACGCTCTTTCAGATGTCTGGGCCAGGCTCTATCCACCCAATCAAGTTGACGAACCTAGCAAACAGCAACAGCAGAGTTCACACAAAAAGGCCAACTGTTCTACAAAGTCAAAGTGTATCTCGCAACACCATGATCAACATATTTAAAACGTTGTTAAGACCAGCCATTTTACATGGCTCTGAAACTTGGAGCACAATTAAAAGAGATGAAGGCTTATTACAGACTTTTGAAAACAGAGTATTACAACAAATCTTTGGAGCTATCAAAGATGTAAACAGTGTGGAATGGAGAGTGAGAAGCAACAATTAAATTCATAATCTGTTTAAATAACCATTGATCACTGGTATCATGAGAGCTAATAGGTTGAAATGGCTGGGGCATACTCTATTCTGGTGGGAATAGGGATATCAGCAGCAATGAACCTCAAGGGTTCAGAACGCTGAAGAAGAAGAAGTCCTTTACAGCTCTCAAACCTAAAGTACAAGTAAAAAAAAAGAAGGGTAAAGTCTTATTACAAACTTTTGTAAACAGTCTTAAAATGAATGACCCATCTAAGATGAAAACAGCAGACAACAGAGAATGAAAAGCAACAAATGAAATTCATAATCTGGTAAATTCCTGCTGATTATAACTGGCATTATAAGATCTAATAAATTGCAATGGTTGGGGCACATAGACAGAATGGCAGACAACTGAGAGATAAAACACTGTATACACAAAAGGGCTGAATAGGAGAAAATTACAAGGTAGACCAAAAAAAAATTTTTTTTTTTTTTAATCGATCACCGGCTGTGAATTCCAGTGGAAGGTCCAGGTTAATCGTCCGCTTGGACTTTTGGCTTTCACCTGGACCTGATTTTTGCGTGTACAACCGTTTTTCATTTCCCTGCCTCATGGGCAGCTGTACTCCGACTTCGAAGGAAGACGTCAAGCCTATTTCTAGGGTGACTGTGGCCATTGTTTTGTGTGGGTCGGGACGTTGCCTGATTTGTGTGGTGTCCACTTTGTCTCCTTAGCCGCAGGTATTGCCCCCGGAGTACCCCTTTGGGGCAGCCCCCTGTGGAACAGTAAGCCCTCAAGGGAAGGCAGGGGCAGATCATGGGCATTCCCCGCCATCCAAGGAGGCTTCCATGCATGCAGAGCCGGCACATGGCGCTCTGGTTCTGGGCTCACCCAAGGAATCGTCACGTCCTGCACATGCCTGCTTAACCTCACAACCTTATCAGGCCTCCCGCTCGACAGGGGCTGCGCCCTCTGGAAGTCAGCGGGGAGCAGCCCGTGGGTTTTGGACTTTTGTGACCACACGGATAGGTACATTCTTTTTTCTTCGCACGTTAGATTTCTTTGACGAGCCGTTAGCCCGACAGAATTTTACATCCTGCATCAGGCATATCGTTATCAGTTTTGTCCCAACACTCGGGCGAGTGGGGTCTTTGGGTGTGGACATTCAGTCTTTTTCAGTTCAATACAAATTTTGATGGTCAGATTTTGATCCGTATAATCTAGTTTTGTCGGACATTTAGGCTTAGCCATCCGATGGATGGTTGCTGTTGTGGTGTACCTCAGCGCGGTGACGACGACACTGAGGGTTAACCGAGGATGTACATGAATGGCCAGCCTATGGATGGTTGCTGTTGTGGAGTACCTCAGCGCGGTGACGACGACACTGAGGGTTAACCGAGGATGTACAAGGATGGTCAGCCTATGGATGGTTGCTGTTGTGGTGTACCTCAGCGCGGTGACGAAACACTGAGGGTTAACAGAGGATGTGCAGTGAACAATGTTCTCTTTATTTCGCAGTCTTTTAACCAAGGGTTGTAATTTTGGCTGTACGTTTGGCAAACCTACTCATGTTCCTAATGAGTTTTGATAACATTTTTCACCCAAGCGTTTGGGGGCGGGCTGATGAGGGCCACAAGGACACATCTTAACATACTGGCTGGTCTACAAATGCACAAGATCACCAAATGGAAAGAGAAAGTCAATCGCAGAGATGAATGGAGACGGTTGTAATATGCAGTATTTGAACCCAAAAGGCTAGCAATGCTGAAGGAGGATAAGATGGAGGAGGAGGAAGAGAAGAAGAACGAAAGAGAAGGAGGAGAAAGAAGAAGCAGAAGATAATGAAGAAAGAAGGCTAATAAATGTTTTTCCAAATTATGCTAAACTGTTTATAATATTTAAATGCAGTGCTAATATTATGGCTCATCAATGTGTTAATGGAGTGCCGTTATTAAATCTGCCATGCATTTGTTAAGAGGGTTGATGTAAGACTGACAACATTATCATTCCAATATTAATAAGTAAACAGTTTATCCCTAGAATGCCTGTTTAAATATGTAACTTACCAATATTATTAGGTAAACAGTTAATTTTTAACCTGTCTGTTTAAATACGTAACTTAAAAATATTAATAAGTAAACAGTTTATCCCTAGCCTGCCTGTTTAAATATGTAAGTTAATATTAATAAGTAAACAGTTTATTCTTAACCTGTCTGTTTAAATACATAACTTACCAATATTATTAGGTAAACAGTCTATCCCTAGCCTGTCTGTTTAAATATGTAACTTACCAATATCAATAAGTAAACAGTTTATCCCTAGCCTGTCTGTTTAAATATGTAACTTACCAATAAAAATAAGTAAACAGTTTATTCTTAACCTGTCCGTTTAAATACGTAACTTACCAAAGTTGGGGAGTCAACATAGTTCTCTAAACGAGTGTGTGAAAACTCCAAGCTGATAACATTCAACAGCCTATCTCTCTCTGGGCTTTCGTAGTACCTCACCCAATCCTTCATGGACATTTCCATGGCCTTTTGTGTGCTTACATCCATTACATCTAAAATACGCCGGCTTCCTGGAAGATACAGATAGAGGCAGCAATGTAATTACATGAAGTATGAAAACATTTACGATTATAACCCTTTGTTTTACAAATCTCAGATAAAATGCTTCTTTTTTCTTTTTAGGCCTCTATGAAGACTGTAGGCCAACACACGTCTTCCACCGTTCCAGACAGCGTGGATTCCACTAGAATGCCAACTAGCCAGACCTGGGATCTCTCTACTGCATGCAAAGAGCCAATATGGTGCAGCAAGTGGGACAATGAACAAGCAACTGGGAAAATAAACAAGCAACTAGAAAATCGAATTGAGTCTCTGGAGATGTGGGTATACAGAAGAATAGGTCATATTTCACGGAAACAAAAATAGTCCAAGACGATGGTTCTGGAAAGATTAAAAATAAAAAGATAACTACTGAAATAAATAAATGAAGAGGCAACTGAAATACTTTGGCCCCATTAAAAGACACAACACGTTTTTTAAAAAATCATACTAGAAGGAAAGGTGGAAAGAAAGAGAGCACGAGGTGGGCAACAATACAAGTGGGAAGACAACATCAAGAGATGGACAAGAGGCAGGGTAAGTTGAAGATCCATTGCAACCAACCTTCACTGTGGAGATGGCACATGATTGATCGATTGAAAGAGGTGCGTGCATTATCAGGTGTAGGGAAAACTCTAAGCTGCTGACATTCAACAGACATTCTGTCTGGGCTTTCACTGTATCTAACCCAATCCTTCATCTTCAAGTGCCTTGCCAGGATGCGTAAGTTTCCTGCGTCGCCACATATCTCGGTCTTTGGTGCTCTGGATCAATTCTACTGATGATATTCTCCCTGCCACTGACTTAAACCATCCATCATCAATTCTCTTGGTCTGCCTCTGCCTCTTCTACCAGTGATCTTTCCAGTTATCACAATATTTTCCAGTACTCCTTTTCTCATTACATGACCAAAGAATTTTGTTCATCTTCCTCTCATTGTTGTATATAATGTTCTGCTTTCTTTAGTCATTTCCAGGCATTCAATGTTGGTTATTCTGGCAGTCTAAGGTATTCTCAACATTCTTCTCAACAACCAGTTACCTCCAAACTCTTCCAAATTTGTTTGCTCGCATTCCAAGACTCACTACCATACAACAGAACAGGCTCGATATAACATTTCAATCCTTCATGGAAAATACAATGTGCCAACAACATTTAAGGGCACATGCAGAAGGAAAAAAATGAAGCGCACACAAAAGATCCTTTCCCAACATACTGCTGACATAATTCGTTGGTCAATAAATATGTTCAAGATAATCCAGGCCAACTTCATCGGGCACGAATGGATTCTCTAATTAAATGCATCAGAAATAACTCGTCTAACCTTTGTCTTTGAGCCAGACTATGCAGGTGTTCAAGGCAATGAGGCAGGTGTTCAAGGCAATGAGGCAGGTGTTCAAGGCAATGAGGCAGGTGTTCAAGGCAATGAGGCAGGTGTTCAAGGCAATGATGCAGGTGTTCAAGGCAATGAGTGTGCAAATTATCTGGCAAACGAGGCCGTTACCACCACTGGCCCGGCACTGGAAAGGTGTGATGTCATTAAGGCCATGCGAGATGCAAATCGCAGAGAAGATCACGATAACAAGCAGGGCTCAGTATCCTTGTCCAGGCTGGTGGACTGGGGGAGGGGGGAGGGGGAGGAGGGTGTGAAGCCTGGAGTAGCCAGATGTGAACATTTCACCAAGAGCACAACATGTCGGGTTAATCAACCCAGAACATGCCTGATTAGTTGTTTTACTCTTGTGGAGCTACTGAGGAGGAGATCGGAGCAGCATTCTATCCAGAGTGTTGTGATGACAGTCCTCCCTAATCACTACTATCAGGTGGCATTTGCTCACCTAGAAAGATAAAAAAGAAATGAAAAGTGGATTTATAGAAGCTTCAGTGGGTCATCAAACTATGGATGCCCTTGCAGGCTAGGCCACCCTAGGAAATGGGACCTTCAATGGACAGACTGGACATTATAAATTTTATGAGAGAGAATGTTTGCTAAAGACCTCAAGCACGACAATAATGACTGCTCTCTGACTTGGATGCAAAGTCTAGATATATCAACCGCAGCACCCTGCCATCAAAACCGTGCAAGAGCTCACAGTTACTACACCAACCAATACAGAACAGGTGTCGTTAGTATACAAACACTAAAAGACATGCTTAGGAGAAGATCTGAGGTGTGGTAGCTAGAGGTGCACCTGTGGATATACAGGTTGTGGATTCAAATTCAAATGTCATTGTGTGGGTTCCGGGGTCCCACTATGGAGAAAACTAGAACAGACCTCCTGCCTTCCCAACAAGCATGTCATAAGAGTCGACTAACTGGGGGTGCTTCCTTCAAAGAGTGCATCTGCCTGAGAGGCAAGGAACCAACAGGCAACATACAAATAAGCAAGATCTGTAAAATGGATGCACACACAAAAGATCAGGTCCTGAAACAAAGCCAAAGTCCAAAAATAGACGAACGACCAGGTCTTTCCTATCGAGTTTACAGCTGGTGAAGGCAAACAACTACAAAATTAAACCTTGGCTCCTAGGTAGACCATGCCTTAAATGGGTATCAAAATAAGTCATGGGAAGTAAAGGTAGCTGGTATGATGCTGACCACCTCACCCACTGAGTGCTCGGGATATACAAAATATAAGTCTATAAGTCTAGCCCTGTATGCCGAATATGGCTGAAGGCATGGAGATTGGTTCTTTACTTTTCTTTAGGAGAAGATCAGAGGAACTATGATCTACCCAATGTGCAATGACCTTGGCGTGAACAATGATAACATAATAAAGGATGAATGTGCACATACCAACACACTGTTTGACATCGCTGACTTTGAAGTTTTCACTGGGCACTCTGTTTTCAGGGAACAAACATGAAATTCACTTGTTAAATCAAGCACAAAAACAGAAGTAGTTCATTGGACAATGACACAGACTGTTCACAATTTACCAACTCCAAAACTAACTATCCTCTTTGACTAAAAAAATAATATATACAAACCTTACCCACAAGGAACTGCATTTTACAGCAGGTTGGTGTGGCTTTTATAGGTGTCCCAGTTATCTTCTTTTTGTTCGCGTTCACCGGCTGTCAACTCCGGCAGAATGTTCTGGTTGTTTGTTCTGGATTTTAATCTGGTTCTAGAACCTGAGTGTTGCGTGTATATCCGTTTTACAGATATGATTTATTTGTGTGCAGATTGTTGATTCCTTGCCTCTCAGACAGATGCATTTCTACATCGAAGGAAGCTTGACACCCCCCCCTCCCCAAGTTAGTCGACTCTTACAACAAGCTTGTTAGGGAGGTGGTCGGTCTATTTTTTTCCCCTTCCCATAATTTGTCTGTTTAGAAAATGGATCAACATCATGGCACAGGGGTGGTAACCCATAAGTGCTCCGTCTACTTCTGACTCAAGCCTGAGTTCGAAGAATCTCAGCGTAGTCTATGAATTTGTAGCACCGGCGAGGATCCTGAAATACTTTGGGTAGATTTTTAACTCCAAATTTTGTCCGGGCAGCACTGTTAGGCTACTCTTTTCAATTTCCAACTGCCAACGGATATTTTAGGTGTGCAACAAAGCACACAGGCATCCCATCTTACTACCCAGAGGCCAGGGCAAATTACTAGAAGTACACGTGAAAAATCCCAATCTTCACCGGGGCCTGAACCCAGGACCTCCAGCACTGGAGGTGGCCATATCTCGAGACCACGCAGCTCCCACAATGTAGCCCCGGAACCCACACAGGAAGTGTGCAATTATAACTTCTTTGGAGACTAGCGGAGTATCTGGCATTGACAAGGTGAGTTAAGCTGATTCGAGAACCAACATCACAACACTCAGGGTATTCCCATAAGCGCTCTGTCCCCATTTCAGCAACCAGCGCAGAGTTCCAATAAGAATGGTGCTCATGTCTGGCAGATGTAAGTTGCACCCTCATGACCTCCAGCCTCGACAGAGATATGGAGTGTTGCCTTTTGCCATCTTTGTCCTCAAAATATGCACTTACTTATCAGATAAGAAGTCAACTCCATCTAGTCAAATTCTGCAGGGCCATCAATATTCTCACTTACACATCATTTTCATTATCCAACAGGTAATTTCAGAACACACAAGGGGAAGTCAATAAGTAAAATGGTTACAAAAAGTTGCAAATGGTTATGGGATAGCAGGCAAAGTTAGTTGGTGGTTTCTAAAGATGTCATTAGGTGACAGCAACACTGAACTTTACATCTTCGTTTGTTAGGTGTAGGTGTTACATGTGCATTTGCAACACAGAAGCAAAATGGCCACTGTACTTACAGAGTGTACCCTCAAAGAACAACGTGCTTTTGTGCATGTTTTTAGGGGCAAAAGGGCTGCCTGCAAAGGACATTCATAAGGAAATGCTTTTTGTTTATGTGAACAAATGTTTATCCTGTAAAGCAGTGCATAGCTGGGTAAAAATATTTCTCAAGGACGCTCTATGATTGTTGATGAAATCCAATCTGGTCATCCTGTTGCGATTGCAACAGACTCATCCATGCACCGGGCAGAGGAGATGATTAGAGGTGAGAGGCAAGTAACCATCTAGGGTGGAAAATTCTGGAATATCCAACTTACAGCCCTGACTTAGCCCCTAGCAATTTCCACCTTTTTGGTCCCCTGAAAAAACACCCAGGCAGGAGACATTTCGCAGAAATTGAATGTGGATTGAAAATGTGGTTTAGAAAACAGAGCATACAGTTCTATTCAGCAGGTTTGGGAGGACGATGGGACAAGCGCATCAATATTGCTGGAAATTATGTTGAAAATAAAAGGACAGTGTCTGTGTAAAAAAAAAAATATTGTTTGCAAGTTGTTATCGTCTTTATATTTTTTTTTTTTGTTTTTTAACAATCATTAGTGACTTACTAATTGACTTCCCTTCATACTTCAGATCTGTCTGTGGTGTACTTCTAACCCTCCACTGCATGGAGGATACAAACAGAGCACAGGTGAAATCCAACAAAAATGTGTACCAATGGGATGTTCTTCTTCATCTTCAGCCCTCCAAGCCCTTGAAGTATACTGCTGCAGATACTACCAACCTCCATTCATCTCTGTGACTGGCCTTCTCGTTTCAGCTGGTGACTCCAGGTATCTGTGGGTCTCTCCGTATATTATCTCCTTTCATCTTGATTTGCTTTGTAGTCTACACCCACTCAACTCTTTTGTGTACACAGTTTTTGTCTTTTTGCTATTGATATTCCCTCTATAAAGCAAATATTACATCCTTATTTATTCTGCATCTTTAATCTACTCCAGGAATGCCTAGCCTCAACAGGGAAGGAAGAGATCTCTGGAATGAACCCTTCTGTTCACTTTTTACTTATACAGAACTTTTAAGTGTCTGATATTTTTTGTGGTCCACATTCTGCGTGGTCGACCTCTGGCTCTATTACCACTGTATCTGTATAACACTGGTCTGTGGTCTGATGCCAATCCTGTTACATGGCCAAACCATCTGATCTACTATTCATTACCCACCTTAAACCCAGTCCTGTTTTCTCATAAAACACTATAGGCCTGATCAAGCCGTGCCTCTGCATCCACTCCATCGTGAATTCTGCAGCAGATAAAGACAACAATGAGTTAGAAAATAATTCAGATAAGTTTAATCATGAGATCTCTTCTTTGTATAATACATGCCAGGCAGCGGTGGTAGTCATGTCTATCAACAGCCTTCTGTCTCACGTATTTTCAATCATTTCTGACACAGATGACCTCCCATGTCATAAAGTCACTCTTCTTCTTCTTTGTTCACCACCTGTAAGCTCTGGCGAAAGGTCCTGGTTGATCGTCCATTTGTACTTTGGCTTTGTGCCAGGGGCTGTTTTTGCGTGTTCATCTATTTTACTGGTTTATTTGTGTGCAGTCAAAATCGAAACATTAAGAGGCAGGGGAAGACCGAGAAGAAGACGGATTGAAGGAGTCACTGACACCTTGAGAACGCATATCATCGTGGCATATCAAGCGGCTGAGCACGCTCTGGCTTGGATGCTGATCGTCTGATGAACTGCGACGCCTAGCGGCATAAGCAAATTTTGACAAAAAAATATTTGTGTGCGGTTGATTGTTCCTTGCCGTTCAGGCAAATGCACTCCGACATCTAAGGAAGCCCCCAATTAGTCGGCTCCTATGATTTGCTTGTTGGGGAAGTAAGGGGGGTAGGGGGGAAGAGGGTCTATTCTTGTTTTCCCAAAGTGGAGCCCAAGACCCCACATGGGGAAATGTCAAACTATCTAGCATTTTCTAATCCTGTCTCCCTCTGCTGCTTCTCCACAACTTTCTCACTATTACAATGTACTCTCCAGTTTTTTATGGTGTGACCCTCATACTCAGCGGTTAAAAAAACCCTAAAATTTGATTTCATTTTGATTTTTTATATATAAAAACAGTTCCCCGCAGGAACAGAACCCTAGGACCCGAGAATTATTAATTGTTAAGTAAAGCAAGTAAAGTAAAGATCCATTTTCACGCCTTTAGGCGTATCGGGTATATGGGAAGAGCGCCCATATTTTTACAGACCATCGGCACTGGGTGGGTAATGTGGTCAGCATTATGCCGGCCGTCTTTACTTTCCCAGGACAATTAATTGTTAAGTACATCCACTAAAGTCAAAGCCACAAAACAGAGGCAATCTAACAAAATAAAATATAACAATCCAACAAAATATAACAATCCAACAAAATATAACAATCCAACAAAATATAACAATCCAACAAAATATAACAATCCAACAAAATATAACAATTCAACAAAATATAACAATCCAACAAAATATAACAATCCAGGAAAATATAGCATAGGCGATCACTTACCAGATCCTTTCAGCTCCTCAACCATACTAGCATTGAACCTATCATTAGTCAGTTTATCTTCTAGACTGTATGTTCGTCTACCATAGATGTCGTCTTCATCTATCTCTTGATCTATGTACAGTTTTCTTTCTTTTGCTCTCTGTCGAATAAAAACAAACTGCTAAAACAGAAAGTAAACTGCCACAGGAATAAAGGCAAACCAAACTATACATGGGGGGTCATTGTAGTGTAGTGGCAAGACGGACTGCTTGCGGAACTGAAGGTCACGGGTTTCGGTGATGGACCTTTTAAAAAAATGACCTTGGCTCCCAGGCTGACCCAGCCTCAAATGGGTAGCAGGTAAAGTCCTGGAAAGTAAAGATGGCTGGCAAGATGTTTACCACATGGCCCACTGGTGCCGTTTGGTCTATAAAATATAGGTCTGGCCCTATATGCCCAATATGATTTACTTACTCAAAATATACATGGAAAAGGCAAGAGAGTGAAGTCAAAAAGATGGGGATGACATGAGGTGAGATGTATGTGATAGCAAAGGATAGGACAAGTTCGTGTAAGTTGACTGCGGGCCTATGCTTCACTCGGGAATAAAGGGCAGAAGAAAGAAGAGGAGGAGGAGGAGAAGATCCCAGTGTGGGTTCTAGGGCCCCATTGTGGGAAAAACAAGAACAGATCCATGGCCTATCCAACAAGCATGTCACAAGAGGGGACTAACTGGGGACTTCCTTCGAAGTCGGAGTACATCTGCCTGAGAGGCGAGGAACCAACAGTCTGCATACAAAACAATTAGATCTATATAATAGATGTGCATGCAACATTCAGGTTCTAGAATAAGTCTAAAGTCTAGAGGTAGATGGACAACCAGAACTTTCTGCCACTGTTTACAGCCAATAAAAGTGAAGAAAAGGGAGAAGAAGAAGAAGAACAAGAACAAGAAGAAGAAGAACAAGAAGAAGAAGAAGAAGAAGAAGAAGAAGAAGAAGAAGAAGAAGAAGAAGAAGAAGAAGAAGAAGAAGTACACAGTGTGAAACTAATAAAAATGAAAATAATTGAACTTAGTGAGAGAGAAAGTCAGAAAACAATAAATGAGTAGATACTGCAACAGATAACACATTTCTCCTTTCTTGGAAATGTAATAACAGATGATGAAAGAAGTGAATAGAAATAAAACTACAGACTAAGAATGATCAGAACTGTTTTTGACCATGTCAGAGAAAGATAGACAGAAGCAGACAGAATGAGAGAGTAAGAGGTAGAGAGAGAATGAGAGATAGTGAGGGGGCTTGGGAGAAATCATCATTATCATCACTGTCCTGTTGTGCCATTACATGTCACATAGGGCTCACAGTCTGTTTCACAATTCCACTCTATCCTTGCAATCCTTTCAATATTATGGAAGGAATTCAGTCCAGTACTTTAAGCCTCTCTCCTCAATCCTTTTATCTCCCATTTTAATGTTTGCTTGGTGATTCTTTTCAGTGTCTGTGAATGCGCTTTATAATGTTGTCGTGCTGGGGTCGATCCCAGCTGCAGATGGTTTGTTTTGCGTTGGTTTGGCCAGAAAAACCACAAGAGCCAAAAAATGCAGAGGTTGGTTCTGCAATGTTCTGTAAAGGATACGCAAATAACTTTTGTTTGGTGATTCTCTGCTCGTTTCTTCTCAGGATGTGTCCAATACAGTGCTATCTTCTTTATCTAAAGAGATATATTGACAGAAAAAGTAAGGTAGAATGAGTAAGAAATAACACAAAAAAAAAAAAAAAAAAGAGGGAGAGAGAGAGAGAACGTGTGAGAGAGAGAAAAAATACAGCAAAAGAGAGTGACAGGTACTGAAATCAAGTCAGAGAAGGAGATTGATAGAGGTATAAAGACTAATAAATAGAACGAAAGACAGATAAATAAAGAAAAATGAGAGAGAGGGGGGAGAGAGAGAGAATCACAATTAAATAGCAACTAAATATAAGCAGTACTGCCCCCTCACCCTCCCCCCTTTTCCGCAGACAAAAAAGGGGTCCTGTGGTCCATACTGTGATTTAAAAGGACTGCCACTGATGGTCTAGCTACTACGGTGTTCGGCAATTTGCGGTCTTTTCGGGAATTTCCGTTTCCCGGTAACAGTTCAAAACTTGTTTGGGAAATGTCGGCTGGTTTCGGGATGGGTCCTAATCTCTTATGAAATTTTGCGATTGGTGTGATTTTGACCAGCTATAAATAGCTGAAAACGGCGGGAACAAACCCGATTAACAGCACATGTCTACGACAGCCTGACGTGCTCTGTTTTTCTGTTACATCAGTTTGATTGAAAATAGCGGTAAGTATTCAAGGTTGGCTTTAGGCTTTAACATTACTTGACATGGTAATGATAGTTATAATTGAATTCTCCGTCCAATTTTACATTTGTATATAAAATTTCTTTCTTATGTATGGCTTAGTCGATTTACAGTAGACATTTTTTCAGGCAATCGATATTAGGGCTGTGTCTAAAAAAAATTGTCTGCCATCTTGTCTTGTGACTTATTGACCTTTAAACCATAACAGTTCTTAAATAATTCCTGTTTCTGGGAAGCGAGTTTTAACAGCTGTTTGTTTACATCTCATTTCCACAAAAACCTAGATATCTCGGCTTAGAATTGACATACAAGCATAAATTAGGTACAGTTGGAAAGAGACTGTTTACAGCTATCTAACTGTGCTGGTTTTTTTGGTATAGGAGCATTTTGAAAATGTGACCAAATTACCTAGATGGTCCACTACTATGAGTACTATTGTTAATGTTATGATTTCATATATGCAAGCGGGTGGGGCGAGGGGGTGCTGTGTATAATGTTACCGTAAATTTATATCCACAAGAAGACAAGAAATATCTTTAATGGACAAGTTAAAGCATTGATTTCAATATTCAGATTCTGTAACAGCCATTTACAACAGAAGATACAGCTCCAAACAGTGTCTACGTGCAATTCCACACATAGCCATAAAACATTGACGTTCAATACTTTTCCCCTTCATAGCATTCATACACAGCAGACGGACCCCGCCGACTGATCCCTTGCACAAAGAAAATCTTCAAACGCATAGAAAATAAAAATCCATTATATGCAATTAACGGTAAATGAGTTGCTATACCAATTTCCTTCCACCTTCTGTATCTTCAGCCATGACGAGGATAATATACTGGACTTTCGGCAAAAACAAAGTCTGTGTAATGACAACAATGATCTTGTCCTGCAAACAATGGATTTCCTCCCATGTACACATTAAGTGATGACGTTTTAACGTTAAGGTCACGGGGCATTAGGTCATCGCACATGCGCAGGAGTTCTAGTAGTAGTAGTAGTAGTAGTAGTAGTAGTAGTAGTAGTAGTAGTAGTAGTAGTAGTAGTAGTAGTAGTAGTAGTAGTAGTAGTAGTAGTAGTAGTAGCAGCAGCAGCAGTAATAGCATAGTAACAGAAGTAGCAGTAGTAGTTGTCGTTGTAGCATCCGCGAAGGTGGTGGATACAGGACATTGAAGATACATTAGCTGCGAAAACACACAGGGCTGGAGAACTGGCTAGAGAGAAAGAGGGAGGGAGAGCTGTAAACTACGGCGGAAAGTTCTGGTTGTTTATCCACATCTGGACTTAAAACTTGTTCCAGAACCTGAGTGTTGCGTGCATATTCGTTTTACATATCTGACTTATTTGTATTCTGCCTGTTGGTTCCTTACCTCTCAGGTAGATGCACTCCGACTTCGAGGGACACCCCCAATTTCAATTAGTTTACTCTTACGACATGCTTGTGGGTCTATTTTTGTTATTACTACACTTGGGCCGCGGAACCCGCAGGGGGAAGTAGTAGTAATAGTAGTAATCAGAGATGTCCTATTCAGGGTGTTTATTTGAGATTTATAGTTTTGTCGTTTTTTATATTAGATATATTGGCACACTTCCGAATAACTGGCGTAAATTATGAAAGTTAAAAACATACCCTAACAGGGCCTCAGTGATATGCAAAAGTAGAATTTAGTCAGGATCGTTCGGAAATATTAGTATGACAGGCAGACCATCAGTTTTGACACATATTAGCAATAACGTTCTACCGATTGATGATGTGGCAGCTGTAGATGTTCTTTGCCTTAGCGTTATGTGTAGGCTCAGAGTTAATTATATTTTATTTCCCAGTGTTTAATAGTTATACTAGATGACATGTTGTTAGGGTGTGTTTTTAACGTTTATAATTCACGCCTGTTATTCGCAGCAGTGCCGATAGTTTAGTCAGGTTATGAATCGGTATCACTTTCTTCAGCAGCCAGAGTTTCAATTCCGATGCTACCAGGAACAGTTTGGTCCTATGCACGTCTTGCCTTTGCTCCTGATGTGAAGTGTCGGCCTCTCTCTGCTGCACCATTCTCATCAGACGGTGAAGAAACTAGTCGTGCCTCCACATTATTCATTCGCTCGGTAAGGGCCTTGACAACATGTAGCTCACTATTCCCACCTCCCCCCTCCCCCGCGGCACTGAATCCCACAAGATGCATAGCAAACGTTTATCGCCGAAGAAGAAGAAGAAGAAGAAGAGTGAATGAATCAAGAATTGACATCACTGCACTCGGGACATTCCCACACGTGCCCCGTCCCCTTCTTCAGTAACCAACGAAGAGTTGATATGCTAATAGTACCAGTTGCAACCTGATTAAAAGTCCTCCTTTGTTTCCCCTTTAATGTCGTATATTTTCCAGAACCTCTACTCACCCCCCCCCCCCTTTCACCACCCACACCCATTGAAGAAGAAGAAAGACAAGGAAGAGGCGAAGCTTGTGGAAGATAAGAATGAGAGGAGGGGTGGAAGAAAAGAAAGAATGGAGAAACAAAGAAAGAAAAGAAGAAGAAAGGACAGTCACACACATACACACACAGAGAGACAGAGAGAGAGAGAGGGGGAAAGAGAGAGAGGGAGCAATGCTTTCAGCTTCTTTGACAATTTTTTTTAATCAGACCTCCTCATGGCTGGTGTTCTAGAATTGGCACTATTAAACGTTGGGCATTGGTGTATTCGTTGACCTGGCAATCTGAGCACTTATGTCTTGCCGTGAACATAAAGTAAAGTAAAGATCCCTTTTTACACCTTAGGCGCATCAGGCATATGGGAAGAGCACCCATATTTTTACAGACAAATCGGCACTTGATGGGTAATGTGGTCAGCATTACGCCGGCTGTCTTTAATTCCCCAGGACAGCCCATCCTGGTACCCATTTAAGGCTGGGTCGACCTGCGACGCCCCATACCATGATAAAAATCCATGCAGCCAGCAGTGGGTTTCGATCGTGGAATTACGAGTCGGACTCGCAACGCCTAAGCCACGGACGCCGCATGCCGTGAAGATAACCCAACTCTTAACCAGTGTTGCCACTTTTCTTTGACATTGGTACCCAGTCAGGGAGCTGATAAGTGGAACAGCCTTTTCCTACTCTTATGAGGCAAAATTTTATTGTCAAGATAGCCATTAAGAGTTCAAATGTTATCCTGTTTCTTAGCTTAGATTTGATAAATTTACCCCAAATGAAAAACATCTAGAAAAACATCTACCATCTGAACGTCATAAACGCCATTTAAATGCAAGAGAAAACATCTAAATTTGGATGTGAAACATCCAAAGTGGCAACACTGCTCGTAACTCAGAAACCGGAAACAGGAAGCACTTCCGTCTTGTTTATTGTTTTTCTTTTGCGACTAGCTACGAGACAAGAGTTTTCAGAAACAGATTTATTATTATTGCTTTCTCTCAGCATTTGAACCACCAATGACCGATGCAAGTTAACACCCAAAACTCTGAAACTTATCAAGAGTGGTTGCTCAAGTCGTACATCGATCAGATGTCTCAGACACATACAAATACCGCCCTGTCGTGGCGCCGGTTGTACTTGAGCCGGGCAAAACTCAAGGCGATCAGTCGAACGTCTGCGTTACTGTCTGGTTTTGCTATGGTAGGTTTGCGTTGATTGCTAAGATCATTTGGGCAGTAAGTAAGGCACTAGAACAGAAGATAACTACCCGTGAAATGTGCTCTCTCCCTGTAAGGTCACTTCATAGGTCCCGGGTAGTTAACATCTTTTCTGGCTCTCCTCTGAAATTCTAGTATACCCGATATTATAGCGGCCAAACAGATACCCTAACAGTGCCTCAGTTTCGTGTAAAATGCAGACTTTCTGCGACGAACACATCGCGGACAAACTAGGATTACTTGACAATGTCACGATATGCAACACTGCAGACGATAGTAGCTAAGGTTGACAATTTCGAGCATTTCTGTAGACGATACTAGCAACCATTGACAATTTTGAGACATGCAACATTACAGACGATAATATGGAGATGGCGGGGAGACTACGCACTCCGACACAGATTAGCGATAATGTTCTTCCGATTAAACTCACAGCCGAGCATATATCCCGCGCGTAGCAGTGCAGATGGGGATCAAAACTAGATGCCTAGGACTCACAAGCAAATAAATTGGAGGAAGTTGCAGGAGATGCAGTAGCTGCTGCTCGTGAGTCCAAGCCATCTAGTTTAGCCCCCCATCCGCGAGTAGCGGCGCAGGGGATACTGTTGGCAGTGCGGCATAGTCGCAGAAACAGGTTTGCAATTAACATTTCGCTGAGATCCTGTTAGAGCATTTGTTTCATTATTCGGAGCAGATCCTAGTTTTGCCATGATTTGTTCCTCGGCAGGAAGTCCGCATTCTGCATAGGACTGAGGCCCTGTTAGGGTATGTGTTTGGCAGCCATAATATCGGTTAGAAGTTCGGAGGAGAGCCTCTTTTCTTTTGAATTCTTTCTCCAGATGATGATGATGATGCCGGTGTGTTGGGAAATGAGCAGAAAGACAGACTGGACAGTTTTGTACAACTTGACGATGAATTGATGTATGACAAGCTAGATATTGTGAGGGCCCTTTGGGAACAAGGAAACAGTTCAGAGGCACAAATACTTATAGACCGCTATGGTCTGAGGAGACTGGCGCTGCGAGGAGTTACCAGGGAATCTGGCAGATGCTCAACACTCAAGGAAAAGGCAAGACGGATATACAATCAGACAGTTGCTTCACTTGCTGCTAAAGATGTGGACGAAGTGCTTATGGGAGTTTCCCAGTGCTGTGATGTCAATTCCTAATTCAACATTCGTGAAAGGTCACTAAACAATACAAAAAATTATTAGGGACAGGGTTATGAAAACCTGCTAACTAATGCCATTAGCGAGAAAGTAGAAGTGAGACCATATCTGAATTACATTGACAGACCACGTCAAACAGTGAAATGCTTCGGCCATCTAATGAGAATGAGATGTTTTACAGCAGAACATCTGAAAGGAAGGCGAAGGGAAGACCAAGAAATAGATGGATAAATAGTTTAGCTAAAACCTGCAAAAAGCCTTTGAAAAGATTGGTATGATAGATTCACTAATTTTGTGCTTTAAGAGAGAACTAAACAAGTTCTTAAAAACCAAGAGGTGAAGAAAATAAGCTGGTATTGAATAGGACACAGTTTAAGAAAATCTAAGAATAGTATAACTAGAAAGTCTTTTTGCACTGGAACAAACAGAGGCATAGAAATAAAAGCAGACCAGAAAAAGGAAGAAAAAACCCAGGGAAAAGGGAGCTAGAGAGGGAAGTTTAAAAGATGGAGAGGACATGGGGTGAGCTGCGTGCAATAGCAATGGATATAAATATTTAGTGTTTGGTTTAGGAGCTTTGCTCCATTGGGGGATAGAAGGCAGAAGAAGAAGCCACCCAGGAAGTGCAAGACAGATACAATAAACCATGACACTGGGATAAAATCTGGTTTCAGTGAGATGACAATAGAAGAAGAAGAAAGCCTAGATAATTATCAAATACCCCTCCATGTCATGACAGAAGGCTGTCAAGAATCTTTTTTGTCTGTCTTCTTCTGTCTCTTTTTCCACAAATGTTTCCAGTTGTCACATGTTCCAACTTCCAATGTCTTCTTCTAATGTTGGTGATAAGTTATCTTTGGGCCCTCACCTCTTTCAAAACATCTGTATACCCATAAGTTCAGTCTTGTCATTGCCTCTCTCATCCATTAGATGGGTCTTTCTGGAACTGAAAGAGTTAACTTTTTTAAAAGCTTTTATTATGTTTGAAATTGTTTATCTTGATGGCCGTTTGAGTTTGATTTTTATACTATTTCCCGATTATAAATTATTTTATATCATTTTAGTGCATTCGTAAGTATATGCAAGATAAGTAATAAAAGCTTATAGTATACAAAGATTTTTTTAATATTTATTTTTTTTGCTACTTTACTAATCTTCAAGGGAGTCGCTGTGGCGTAGCAGCTAGAGGCTCGCATGTGGATCGAAAGGTCGTGGGTTCACTCCTTGGCTGAGCCGGTCTTTTTTTTCAAAATTAACTTTGGCTCCCAGGTCGACCCAGCCTTGAGTGGGTGCTGGGTGCAGTCCCAGGAAGTAGAGGCGACCAGCGTGATGCTGACCACATCACCCATCTTGTACTGATTTGTCTATGAAATATAGATCTTGCCCTATATGCCCTACACGCCTAAAGGCTTGGAAAAAGGTCCTTTACTTACTTACTTTACTTTTTTTTTTACTCATCTTCAGGTGGCCATGGTTGAGATTTCAATAGACAATGATGCGCCGGGTGGGAACGGCACAGAAGCCAATGGTGGGGAAAAAGCCAGCAGTGAAGCAGGAGTCCCAGAATTGTTGCTGATCGTCTTCGCTATTTGCACAACTCTGCTAGTCTCCGTCCACCTCCTGGCCTTAATGATCAGCACATGTATCCTTCCCAACATGGAAGCAATCAGCAATGTCCACAGTGTTCAAGCGGTCAATGAGTCGCCACATGAAGAAATGCGGCTGTGCGTGGAGGTCGCCTGGGTCTGTTCTACGGGGATTGGAATTCTTCTGTTTCTTGCGGAGATAGCTATTCTCAGCTGGGTAAAATTCTATCGACTGAGTAAGAATGCAGCGATAGCTTCCACTGCTATTGTCATCCCCGCAGGAATCATGTTTATCGTTTTTTCATTAGTGTTTTATAAAAGACTAATGGCTCATAAATACCAGAGCCATTCGGAGCGGTTACGACAGCTTGATGATTTGGCAAGAGAGCTCCACACCAATGATGATGGCATCCATATTGTTTGAGGTTGCCTATGGTAATAACTGCCTTAATTTATCTTAGACTATAAGCTGGTGTATCCTTGAATCAAAAACACACATTATCTTCTGTTTTTGTTTCAGTATTTATAACTATAAAAAAAATATTTTCTACATGGACTAATGTCTGTGTGTTACCAGATCATAAAGAAAGCAAAGAATAGTAATACCTACCGCACATGTAATAGAAGGTGACTTAAAGGAGTATATATGATGTAGTAGCTTCTCAGTCGGAATCCTCACATGAGACACTTTATCATAGCTTATTAAAGTTCAGTTAGGAAATATTAAAGTTCACCATTATAATTCTGGTTTTTTTTTATGTAAATATTACGATCTTATTGTGTAACTTAAAAATAAAAAAAGAAGAGTTATGAGAAGCAAAAAACATGGCAAGGAAATTCCACTCTCACGACAATCATATTCACATCAGAGAAAAGGAAAGACGGACATATAACCAGAGTGCGACCGGTACCATTAGTATTGGAACTTTGCGCTGGCTGCTGAAGATGAGGATGAAGCATGCATGGGAATGCCTCGAGTGCTGTGATGTTAATTCTTGACTCAACTCTACTCCTATTCACATAAGCTGAGAACTCCTCATATGAGTTCCTGTGCTTTATTTGGGGAGAAAAACAACAGACTTACTGTCCCTTAGTAACTAAAATGGATGTGCAGGAACAACTAACTTGAGTGGGTATCGGGTGCAGTCCCGGGAAAGTAAAGGTGGCCGGCGGGATGCTGACCACATCACCCATCTTGTGCCGATTGGTCTATAAAAATATAGGTCTAGCCCTATATGCCCTATACGCCTGAAGGTGTTGAAAAGGGTCTTTTACTTTACTTATGAACAACTCAAGTTCTGAAACAGAACCGAAGTCCAGAAGTAGACAAATAGCCAGAACTTTTTGCTGTGGTTTACAGCCGGTGAAGAAGAAGAAGAAGAAGATTGGATGAGAACTTTTATAATGATATTGGCTTGTTCTGATGTTCAAAAGTGTTGGTTAATTCTGCCTTGAAAAAAGGCAGGTAACTCTATTCTGTTTTTTTCACTGTTCACATTTTTAAACAATGAAATTAATACGTGTAACCCAGTTGTGGGTTGTGCGGGTCAGATGATGAAACCATCACTGTCTGTAACCCAGTTATGGGTTGTGCGGGTCAGATGATGGAACCATCACTGTCTGTAACCCAATCATGAGTTGTGCAGATCAGATGATGGAACCATCACTGTCTGTAAACCAATCATGGGTTATGCAGGTCTGATGATGGAACCATCACTGTCTGTAACCCAATCATGGGTTGTTCGGGTCAGATGATGGAACCATCACTGTCTGTAACCCAGTCATGGGTTCTGTGGGTCAGATGATGAAACCATAACTGTCTGTAACCCAGTAATGAGTTGTACAAGTCCCATGATAGAATGATAAACAACTTTAACCCATGCCTGGGTTTGTAAGGGTCTATGATACAGTCATCAGTGCCTGTAACCCACATGGAGTGTACGATCTAGTGATTAATCCATCAACACTCAATATAACCATCATAATTTTTCCCTAAAACAAGAGATTTGCATTGATGTGCCCATCTCTTCTCTTCAAATATACTATAAATATCATATTGCGGGAGGGTTTTCTTTTTTGTTATATAGCCAGAGCAGCGACATATTTGATGTATATATAGCTTTACATCTTTATATACCGGTAATTTATTACTTATTTATCTTTGTTGAAGAAAACTTCTAGTTTCTTGAAATGTAATTAAGTTTATGTTTTTGAACAGCATGACCTCCCCTGTGAATTCTTGGGCCTCATTGGCTTGGGGGGAAATAGACCCAGTTTTCTTCACAAGGGTGTTGTTTTCCTTCTTTCATTCGTTCATTTGAAATAGATTGTCTAAATCTGCAGTGCTGTCTCTAGTGTGAACTTTACAGTCTTTTATAATTCATTTAGCGGCCATAAAATTTGGCTTCCATCACTGTCTCTCTTAGTGAGAAGTTTTGCCTGGAAATGTTGTATTTGGGACAGTCTTGGAGGATGTGATCTGTACAAAAGGGTATTGTGAAATGCAACAAACGGAATATTTGCTGACATCAGATGTTTTGGGCTGAAAGACAGAAATATCACCACTGCCCCTGACATCCCCCCACCCCTTTTCCTCACAAACATGTCATAAAGTAGACTATTTAGGGGTTTTCCTTCAAAGTCGGAGTGTGTTTGCCTGAGAGGCAAGGAACCGGAAGTCCACATACAAATAAACCAGATCTTCAAAACAGATGTGCACGCAAAACTTAAGTTCTGGACAATACAAACATCCAGAAGTAAACAGACAGCCAGAAATTTCCGCCAGTTTACAACTGAAGAAAAAGATCTAGTTAATGACAATGTTGCCAGCTTTCTGTCCCATTTCAAGTCAGATACACCTAGTATTTTTTTTATTCACAGTTTTTTGTTTCTATTTTGCAAGTCATTGCCTTTTGCCAGTTTTTTCAGAACTATAGTATTTCTCGTATGACCATGTCATCAGTATTCTCATACTTTGTCATCCGCCCCTGGTTGTCAGAATTTTAATGACTTCGTCATTAGCCCAGGCTGTCAGTATTTTCTTGACTTTGGCATTTGCCCAGATTTTAAACACTTTCTCGTGACTTTATAATATATTCATGTCATTAGCATGTACATGACTGTCAGATGCCCAGTTCATGAACATCATGACTTTATCATATGCCCCTACATGATCATGATTCTTCTTTGTCATATGCCTTCAGATCATCATCATCTCTGCTTTGTTTTATGACCCCAGATCATCATCATTCTACTTTGTCATGTGCCCCTAGAGAATCATGATTCTACTTTGTCATATGCCCTCAGATCATCGTCATCATTCTACTTTGTCATATGCCCCCATATCATAATCTCTGCTTTGTTTTGTGCCCCCCTCCCCCAGAAGATCATCACCATTCTACTTTGTCATGTGTTCTCAGATTGACATCATTATTCTACTTTGTCATATGCCCCTAGATCGTTGTCATCATTCTGCTTTGTTATATGTCCCCAGACCATCATCATTCTACTTTGTCATATGCCCAGATATTAACATACAGTGCCTTTTTCAGCTTTAATTTAGCCTGCTAAGTCATGTATGTAAGTAAGAAAGTGGGTGCAGCTGTGTATCTATAGATAATGTATATACATATATGCATATACTTCTTTGTAGAAGTGACGGTTAGTTAAAACATCTGAGATTTCTATAAATAGCCAGACAAATTCAAGATGGCCACCATGATCATGTGACATATTTGCATGATGTACTTTTTTTTTTGTAGCAACCATTCATAATGGTGCTCTGAAGGCTTCAAAACACTACACTCGTTTTTAATTGTTTAATTACTTTTATTAGACCAGTTGTTCTAAACAAAATCTGAAAACACCCTTGGTAATGGGAGACTGTATTGCTGGTCAGGAAGTGTTAAACATTATCTGCACTCAGATTTTATAAATTCTATAGTCAGAATGTGCATTTGGACCCACCCTCATACGTTAATATTTTATTATTGTATGTATTTTATTGACATCTGGGTAAAGATTCAACATCACAGCATTCTTCTTCTTTGAGTTCGATTTTGTATACTTAGGTCAGTGCATCAGGTGGGTTGCCTCTATAAACTTCTATGTCAGTAGCAGGTCCTTCATGGTTCCCTATAGCTTGCTCTTGAGGCCAGGTTTCTTTTTGAAGTTGTAGGTAGAGTGGTCAGGTCTGCAGAATGTGCTGAGGTGTTTGTGGTCCTGTTTGACAGGCACACTGTGGGAACTGTACAATCTTTATTTTATGTATGTGGTTGTTAAGCCTGCAGTGTCCTGTTTTTTTAATGGAAAATTGTTGTATGTTTCGTCCTTTTGAGTTTTCTGATGGGGTCTTATGGATTTTACTGTTGGTTTGTTTAGGCCTTCAGACAAGCCTGTAATAGATCTGTCTCCCCTCCCTCTCAACAGCCAGCGAAATGTCTCCATTTTGAAAGTATCCATTGCCATCAGGTTAACTGCTCGTCTTTGCCTTTCCCTCGTCTCGAGTGTCACCCAGAGCTTGCAGACACTCCTTTCTGTGTTGTGTTTTTTTGTGGAAACTGATAATATTCAACTGTTATTGTGTGTCATGTACTTATTTTAAGGCTGTGTTTTTAACAGTGCTGTTTTACTGCTGTGCAGTAGAATTATGTTTAGATATTGTTTAGGTACTCATATTTTTATTTCTGCAATTATTTGACCTCCTACCTTGACTATGCTGCTGCCTTTGTTGGAGTTGCTGAAGCTTCTGCTGTGTCATCAGTGACTCCTTTTAATCACAACTGCTCTTACTGTTACTAGTACTATCACTACTACTGCTTCTGCTGTTACTAGTATTATTGCTACTACTACTGCTGCTGCTACTACTGTGACCTCTGTTTCTTTTATGCCAGTTACTAAATTATTATTTCTACCACTAGTGCTGCTGCTATTACTACTTTCATGACAACAGCTGCTGTTACTACTGGTAATACTACTAGTATTACTATTATTATTGCTGCTAATACTACTAGTATTACTATTATTATTGCTGCTAATACTACTAGTATTACTATTATTATTGCTGCTACTACTACTACTACTATTGCTGCTACTCATCATCATCATCTGCCTGAAAAAAACTTGGTCTCTCACCAGCTCTCCCGCTTCATGCACTTTCACACTCAGGGAGTCACTTATATCCTGTGCCCATCTTCGTGTCGGTCGGCCCCTGCCCCTCCTTCCTGGTACTATGCCTTCTGCTATAATTTTTTTCCAATCCCTCGTGGCGCTTGATATGACCAAAATATTTCAGCTTTCCAGAAAGAATGCTGTTTATTAGCCAATCTTCCTTGATCTTCAGATCTTTTAAGATGTCAATATTTCTCCTCTTCTTTGTCCATCTTCTTTGCTGCTACTACTACTAGTATTACTACTACTATTGCT